CGCTGGCCATTATACTGTTCTACTATTTCCAATCTATCTTATGAGGAAATTATTTGATTGTTTATATTATATTATATTTATTTTATATCATTTTTAATTATTTTATTGCAGTTGATTTTCCGTATTCAATGTTTTACCCCACGTCATTGTTAAGTAAGAAAGTATTGTAACGATGAATAGATTAAATATAAAAAAAACAGAGCCGGACTCGAAATTAGTTTAAATAAATTGTGTTCAAATGTACGAAACAAAAAAAAATTAAGTGTGGCATATCATTGTCCTCAGGATTAGAGTTATTTCAAAACTTCAAATAAAAAATGCAGGTCCGTATTTAAAAAAATTAAGTTGGCCTCTGTATCTCACAAATTATCAGCTAAATTGAAAATCTAAAAATACTATCACACAGCCCTAATAAAGTGGCTATGAGAATGTGTAATTAGTTTTTTGATTTTCTAAAAAGTAACGACAGGAAAAAATAAAATTGATTTTCAAAAAAATCCGTTTTTTCCAAAAAAAACTCAGCAATCCTTGAAATTTTTAAAACTTTTTTGATGGCATCTTGGTGAACATCCCAAAACGCAACTTTACCCCAATTTAACCATCTTCGTATCTATTACGGTTACCGAGATACCAATGCTCGTACCTCGAATTTGTAGCCAACCTGTATACTGTACGGTTGAATAAAAACGATGTCATAGCGGGTATTGAAATAACATTTCAATCTGTTCAAGTTCCGAACGTTTTCTTTTTATAAATATCAAAAAAGGAAAAGTTCATCGCTTCGATGAAAAAAATTGTCCTTCACTCAAGACAAGATTCATGTAAAAAATTCTACATTCTATGGATCAGACCATTTTGTTTACGATGATTACCTAGACATATTTTGTTTATATTTTTCGAGTCAGTCATATACAATCTCCCTTGTACACTGTTATTTTACTTATAAAGTCAGTACAACCATACTATCCTAAAATATTTATTCTTAAAACTGTTACGTGTCCAAAACTATAAATTTAAACACAACCAAAATGAGTAAAGGTAAACTGGTAATTTCGGAGCGCAACTGAAATTTTATAAACGATATGGACCGATCTCAGACACTCCTAAAACGGATATTAAATGAATAAAGATGACGTAACGTTGAACCTTAGCTCTTATAAACTTCGTGGATAAGCAAATTCGCTTAATTTTTGTTGAAGACACATCACCGACATTCGACTATCTGATTATCTTTGTCTTTGCCACTGATTGAGCAATCGTCTGTCTTTGTTTTGTGTATATGTCCAAAGAATATACCTAGCTAGAAAAAGAATGGACTCTACCATACTGAAAAATGGTCCTACAGAAGTGGCGCCATCTATTGAGTAGGGCTTGTTTTAAATGGACCGAAGCGCGAGCTTTTTAAATGAGCGTATTTATTGAATTTTACTCTAAAATAATTACATTTGATTATTAAATCTTATTTTTACACAAATTCAACGATACTTGTTATTAGTGATGTGTAAAAAAATAAGATTTAACAGTATAGTTTATACAATTATTAAATAAAATTAAAGCCAAACATGTATGTGTAATCGTTTATTATAATAAAACGAGACTAACGTAATACGCCCAAAGTTTTGTAAATGGAGTAAATATAAATAGGTCCTTAAATGATGTCAAAAATAAAACACTTACATTATATTTTTAGGGCCACAAACAAAAGGAATTGTCTAATTAAAACACATATAACAAATTATAGCTGATAATAGTTTGTAAAACGGTTTGATAATCATTTGATAATATTATGAATGGCGCTATGACGACAATATTTTTTGAGAATTTGACAATAGTATGACAATAGCCGTTGGAAACTATGGAAACTACAAAAAAATTCTGTTTTAACGCCATCTGGCAATAACTAGTAGCAACTTCTTGACCTAAAAATTAATTGTACTCCCACCTAGCGCCTGAGGCTGGAACTATTTTATTTGAAATTTCCGTGGAAACGGTGGAACCGCTTTTGCTATTTCACTACTTTCCCGCCCCTGTATATGTCATTTTTATGTCATAAAATAGAAAATGTAAATATATAAATTTGAGAAAATAATATTGTTATTCGGGATATCAATTATTTATTGGATAATATTTACTAGTATATTAATCTTGTCCTAGAAAGAAATAAATAGAAAAATGCTTGTGAAAGTCCCGTAAACAAAGTCGTGTGTAATATACATATGGCATAGCTTTATCCACGAAGTTTATAAGATCTAAGCGTTGAACGATCATTGTACGGACTATATTTTTATTTTCTGAATGTACAAGGTATTTAAGAAATACCAAACAAATTTCTTTTTTCAAAGAACTTTTTTCTTCAGGAACATGGATTGTATATAATTAACTCTAAGCCTATACAAAAGTATACAATGTAGAAGTTGCACAGTACTCAGGCTTCCAGCTACACGTGGAAGTGCACTCCCGAGTTTCTCCATCCGTGAGTATTTTTGTGCAGGCGTTACCTACCCTTTCGGTGGGTATCTTAGCGACAAGAAGAAAATATAAAAAAGTAGACGATAAAAATTATTATTTTTTAAAAAATTTTATTTTATTAAAAACAATTTAGGGAGTTTTAGTCAAATTTTAATATGTACCGGGTGTCGCTTATAAGTAGAGATACAAAGATGCGGTTTCCACATTACTATGCTACTTTTTTATGAAACTAAAGATGCTACACACAGATTTTGTCCCTTTTTAGTTCCTGATATACAGGGCGAATTCGAAATTATTGCATTTTTCGACTCTCCTCGTATCTCGCTTATTTTATAACTTATCGAAAAGGTGGAAACAGAATCTCGCAGAGTTCATTCAAATGAAGAAAACAATTACAGGGTGTATATTATTTTTTTAATTTTATTTGACTTGTTATGAGTTTTCTAATAAACTAATACTCTATACTTATTTCGATAAACAAGATAAAAAATACATTATTTAACTGTATAACATAGACGGCCGGTTTAAATTAGAGACAATCGAATAATTTATTTCATGTCAAATTTTGGTTATTGGCTATTCCACGCTAGTTTTTATGTGTGAAATTATTAAGTAAATTAAATAAATAATAATACTCTTTTAGGCTAGGTTGATTAATGTTAAAAAATTAAATATTGAATTTACTTGCCTTAATAATTATGAAAATAAGTATAGAGTATGTTATATTGTCAGTAAGCCCATAAAATGTAAACAAAATAAAATAATAACCCTGTATATTCTCACATGATAATAACAGTTGATAACTTCTAATTTGTCTGCATCTTTTGTCCTATTGTTATTTCGAATTTTAATTTTTTTTTCGAGATTAAGTAGACGTATTCTAATTTTTTTAATGTTTATTGAACTTATAGACTGATATACAGGGTGTCCCAGGCTGAGAGTGCATTACAAGTTTCTACAGAACTACAATATCTAGATTGGATATTTTTTGAAAATTATTGTTTCGCAACGAGATCTATTGATTAAAAATATTTTCAACATGACGGCACTTCCGGAAATTCCGGAAGTTAACAGCAACTTTCTTATCTTAAATGGGCACCCCACAATTTATTTTAGGTTTAGGAACATGTATAATCAAAAAGTAACGAATTAAAAACCCTTTTCACTAGTGAAATAAAACGTAGATTTCCACTTGAAAAAAATTATTTATGATAATTTTTTAATCGCTCAATTATGTGACCGCTATGGCCAATATTATATGACATTCGAACAATTAAATTTTTGAAATAGATAGCCTCATGTCTTCTCTTTATGTCACAGCGACTGTGGTAATCACTAATTTGACGTTTAGGCTATACAAATTTTTTTGACAAGGCAGTTTTTTTGTCCAAAAATTTAAAAAAAATTTTTTCTCAAAAACGGTTGATGTTTTGTTATGATGTTATAGTGTTTAATATCAAGTATGTAACAAAAAATGGGACTACCCATTTAAAATAAGGAAGTTGTTGTCAACTTCCGGTATTTCCGGAAGTGCCGCCATATTTGAAATGTGCAAAAAATCTCCCATCTAGATATTGTAGTTCTCTAGAAACTTCTAATGCACGCTCAGCCTGGAACGCTCTGTATAAACGGCGTTTGTATTCTTCTCAATTGTTTTTAGTATTTTATGTGTAATAATATAATAATTAGTAGATAGTTTGTTTAGTCAATTTTATTCTATTCGTTTAATACTCTAATAACGGTTAAAATAAATAGATAAAATATATACTCAAAAAAATAAAATAACAAATAAGAAATTCTTTGTAATAAAAAATCCTCAATCTATATTTTTCTCTCATCGTAAGTAATTATTATCGTAAAATTTTTAAAAAAGTTCAACGCTTATTTACAAAAGTCCGAAATTTTACGCCATAATAGTGCAATATTCACGGATGGTTGGTTGATTAAATTAAAAACTAAATATTAACATCCAGGACGTCCAAACTGAGGTGCAAACCTTAATTAATAGATCATTATTGAATATTATGTCAGTTGAAAAAAAAAACAAGTTTATCAGAGGCATCAGTCAGATTAGGTTTTTTTTACCTAAATCGTATAAACTAACACAGTTACAGTACGACAATTGGTAAGTACTAAAATTGATTTATATCTTCTTCAAATATCCCGCCCCCCTCCTAGATCTAGGGAAATTTTCCTAGACCCGGCAACTACGCCTAAGCCTAGATAATCATACTAGGTCCTTTTAATGTTTTGTCAGTCTGGCTTTCTTTAAACGTTTTTTTTAGAAGAAATCCATAGTACTGACAAAGTACAATTTCTATAATTATTGTATAAAGTATTGTTTTAGTTTTGTATGTTTGCTGTTAGTTTTATATGTTTTTCTATTGTTAAGTGAAGTTTTGTATGTTTTTTATATTCTTTTTTTTAAGCTTTGTCAACAAAATTGTAAAATTTTTTTTATGACAATAAAGCAATTTCTTTCTTTCTTTCTTTCGAAACCGATTAATATAGCCACGATCCGTTTGCGCCATTGTGATTTTTTCAAAAAAAGAACCCAAGACTGCAGTATCAAAATTTGAATATTTCTCACGGTTTCCTAGATACCCTATAGAAACAACCAAAATGGTCCACACTGTACACTGAAAAAGGTCTAATTTTTTCCGTATCGCTTTTGTATGGTTAGATAATTCTGATTTAGAGTTGTACAATTTTATTAAATGTCGGTTTAACTGGGTATAACTAGTGTACATTTATAAACATATTTTTTTCTCGATTATAACAATTAATCAAGTAACAAATAAAATTCAAATAAAATAGTAAAGCACAAGGGGGGGAGTAGCATATGATTCGAATTCCCGCCACCAAAGCGCTAGAATCGCAGGAATTGGCGGGAAATTCAAAATCAACAATCAATACCTTGTTTATTTTTAAGAGTAGTTCAAACGATTTAGATTAGAAAAGTACGGTCGATTGAAATTCACCGACAGTTTCGACGTCTCAACGTTTAATTTGTTATATAGAATTATTAGTTCAATCTACAGCTAAAAAAGTTTGTCCTAAGCAAAAATAACCCTCGCGATCATTTTTTTTTATTTTGTCTCGTACTCGCAAAAACAAAACACACTTTTTCCTCAAGCATCTCTTTCTTTCGCGTTCAAACTCTTTATTCTGTCCAACTAGTGTACTCACTTATTCCGAACTATGTACATTGTCTCTGTTTTATATTTTCTTCTCGTGACTCTGAAACAACCATCCGTCGTCTATCGTACCCTCCTGATGGCTTTCTTTATTATCCTTTTGGGCATACCCTCTTGCACGGGTGGGGCACTAAAACAATACTCAGTATAAACGTCTACGGTAAACACATATTATGGAGCGATTCAAAATTATTAAAATATTTGCAAGTAAGAATTGTTCCAATGGATGCTAAAATATGTTCACCGATCGTTCAACCACAGATTAAGTATACTATATGTATACAGATAAAAATCTTATCCCTAATTCGTGGTACGAAAATTGTTTTTTATGACGATGTGCAAACGAGTAAAATTTCCTGTGCGTAAAAATAAACTCGCGTCAATAACAATAAACAACGTAATAGAGAGATATCGCTAAACCGAATAGCGTGCATGGACGTTAATAGGGTCAGGTGTTATTTCCTTTACGTGAGGTGGTATTAACTCTCTTCATTTATAGTTATCGGATCGGAAAGAATTCTGTTCGCGTCGCATCCGCTATTTAAACTTAACCTAAGTTTGAATTTAAAACTTTGAAATTGTTTTGTTTACTAGGTATTTTAAAACTAAAGGGCTAAAGTGCTTATTTCCAGTGCTTTATTGTTCAACGTCTGTCAGTGGGTTTAGGGCAAAAAGCAACAAATTCTCTTAGAAGGGCTAAGTCGTCATCTGCTGTAAACCTAAGCCTCTTTATAGGTTCTTTAATATTGGAAGAGGTGGAATCCATATTTTGGGGCATATTTATTTAATTAAAACTTATCCCTTAATTAATACTTAAATATCAAATTACCTAATAAAACTAAAGTAATAATTGAAAACAATTCAAACATAACCTAAAATAAAAGATCTCGTCGGCCGGCCCCGGTTGTCAAATACCGGCACATGCCCATTTAAGCAATTTTTAAACGTTATTTAGAAATAGCGCTTGGTGTAATTGATCCGCAAATTACGTCAGGCGGTAACGTTATTAGCGGGCGTTGCGTTAAAAATTGACTCGCGCATATCGTAACCATGATAAGGTACGCGTAAATACTGCATGACGCTATTCGGTTTTCCGATATCTCTGTGCTGGTCAGGCGCTGTGCACAATTTTAGAGGCCATAAGTGGTAAACTAGTAACCTAACCAGTGCCCGATTTCGAAAATTGGAACCACAAGAAACAATAAAGAAAAAACAAAGTTTATAATCTGTATAATCTGGTTCAACGCTACGTCATATTTCTCGTAGATACTCCCTCTACTACTTGACAACCACATGAAAGAGATTTATTAACGTCACCTTATCTGATAGTAGACGTGGGAATTCTAGTTCCTTGGAAGGAACTAGTTCCTTAGTTCTAGTTCCTACAGAGGAATAGTTCCTTGAACTAGGTCTTTAGTTCACAATAGTTCCCGACTAATATTGACATCCCCGTTGCTTGCTAAAGGGTTTTGTTGTCAGTCAGAACTATTCACCGTATGATCTGTATAATTTTTATAATGTACGAAATCTAACGAGACGTATGTTAAAAACATATAGGTAAGTTTTATTGCATTTTTCTAAACAATATGAAATGACACCCTAAACGGCATATACACATAATGATGACGTAACGTTGAACGGCCGTTGTAGAGGGTACAATTAATAGTTTACTTACGAGAACGTTGGTACGTTACTGCTCCCAGTAAAGTTGAATACTGGCTTCGCGGTAGCGTCGAAAGATGGCGCAGGACCGGAGAAGTTAAAACTTGCCGGCGCGGCCGGCGCAGTCTAGAACATAATAAATAAAGGTTAAGGTAACGCACTTGACATACTAAGGAAACAAGGGAAGGATACATCGATTTAGTTTCTAAGATAAAAAAATTCGTATAAATGTATTGTATTGTGTGTATTTGGATGATAATTGGTGTCTGGGAGTTTTTTGACATGAGAAATTTGATTTTGATGTCAGTATGACTCCTACTTGTAGAGGGCGCCACCTACATAATTTTTAACTGGATAGAAGAGTAATAACTTTTCGTCTGTACCTGTATAAAACTGATGAGTAAAAAATATACATTTACAACATTTTTTACGTAAAAAAGGTCTCTTGGTAAAAATCCCCACGAATAATGGTTCTCGAAATACCTGGAATCGAAATTATCAATACCTTTCATCAATGGCATAAATTAAACATGTTGACTAATTAGTTTTTTTATTATTAATAAGGCTTCGACATTCAAGGTCATTTCGCCTATTATAGAGACATTACTTCAACAGTAAGTGTAAAATAATAACAAAAACATATTATATTTGCATTTTGCAATTTGCCACTAATTAGTTATTAGACTGAAATCATAAATTTGAAATGTTTTTGTGCCAAAAGTTAAACAGTAACTGTTTTATCATTTTTTCCCAGAAAAATGGATTATTAATTTTAAAAAATCAGAAGAGAATGGTTGCACATAGCAATTTTTACAAAGAGAGATTTTTTACATAAAAAGTCACGAAAATGTATATTTTTTCACTCTGTAGTTTTATACAGGTACCGACAAAAAGTTATTACACTTCAAAGCGGTTAAGGAGTCATATTGACATCAAAATCAAATTTCTCATGTCAAAAAACTCCCAGATACCAATTTTCATCTAAACATCAACATTAGTTCAGAAATTAATTGAAAAAAAAACTAAATAAAAATGAAACTTCTACACCCTCGAAACTAAGACATACATTTATACAAACTTTTTTTACTTATTTTTATCTGCAGAATATGCTGCCGAAGTTTCCGGAATACAATTCAGACCACCCTGTATATTACTTACCGACGTATTGGATCCAAACGAGAACCCCGTCTGTCCCTCCTTGGGCCCGTTCTGGTCAGCGGCGCCGAAACTAAACACCGCCTTCTGGCTGGCTCCCTGTCCGCTCGCACCAAAATTAAACAGTCCGTTGGGAGCGGAGCTTTGGGGGGCGGTCGCAGCAGCCGACCCGAACGCGCTAACTTGGTTCTGATTGGCAGAACCGAACAACGTCGAAGCGCTAGCGGAAGAGGAGTCAGCTGCTGCGGTCGGCTTCGCGCCGAAACCGCCGAAGGATGCCGACTGGGCGGCGCCGCTGCCGAAGCTGGGCGTGGCAAAGGCGAATGATTTCTGAGTCTTGTCGTCGGAGGCGGAGCCGAATTTGAAGGAGGGCGTGGTTTTGGGAAGCGGCGCCGTCGATCCGAAAGAGGGTGGCGCGCTGGATTGTTGGGATGCTTGTGGTGCCGTTGCCGCCGGTAGGGTTGACGGGGTTCCGAAAGAGAAAGGTTTGGTTTCCGTGGAGGTTTTAGCGCCAAATGGCTGAGTGGGGGCGCTGAAGTTCAATCCGTTCGTTGATTTCGGAGGTTCCGAGCTAAAAAATACATAATTAATACACTGAAGAAAGCTGGGACAATGGTAAATATTGTTTGTTCAGCCATCGTTCACGTCATACATTGTCAAACTCTCTCTTTCACTTGACAATCAGATGAAAGAGATTGGTGACATTACAATAATTATTGCACATTGTTTTTAGTAATTGTCATTGACATTTGATTTGGGGTTATAATTTTATTGCCGGACGCTTTGAATAAAAATATTAAGGAAGGAGTATAATGGTATCCACGTATTAATGCATGGTGGACGGAAAAAGGACTCTAGGGTGGGGATCCATGACATTTCTGTTTGACGATTCACTTGACACATTTGAATTTGATTTGAAATTTTGCTGATTTGACTGACGTCTTTACTGAGCTTATTTTATGTTATTTATTATTTATTCTAAAACTAGCAATTAGTACTAGTAGTTGTTTAGAGAGTCGTTTAGAGAAAATCTAGGAGATTTTGTGGCAGAACTTAAATTAAGAGTAACACTATTGCGATTTATCGAAAAAGATTGTAAACTAGTTGGTTGTGTAGCGTGCGGTAGATCTCGGTCAAAAATCGAGGGAAATAATGGAATAACTTTTTGCTAGTAAGTGACTATATAATATACATACGTGTAGTAAACCGATCATTTATGAAATTCACTTAAAATTAACTAATTATATATTTTTTCTTGCATTTTCCCTTTTATTTACTACTTGTCAAAGATTAGATGACAAAGAATTTAGATACGTCAATTTGACTTACCTGCTTCAGCAGTGTATCGGATGTTTGTGTTAATAAATAATTATTATAACTTACTTAACTGTATTTTTATTAGAATTGTATATTTTTAAACAATTTTAATAACTACCAACATCTATGCACAACGTAAAATAAAACAAGAAATTATGGAGTACCCCATGTCTACCCTACATCATATTTTTACACGTTTTGAATAAAATTAGAAAGGCACTGATAAATCGAAATTTATATCGGCGTTTTAAGTTGGAATTTGAGTCCCGTCGCGGTCGATCCAAGATTTTTGTCAGATCATGTCAAAATTAAAGTTTGATTGGGCTGTCGGACAATTTTTAATGTCGACTTTTTCGTTTTTAAACTGAAATTCATTTTTTTATTACTAAAATGCGTTGCCGATTTAGCGAGAATGAATAAGTTCTCATCGTAAAGTTTATGACTTATTTGACAGGAGAAAAGAGACACTGGTAACAGTGGTAACACTCTTGCCCGTCGATGCCGTATAAGTAATTACAATACAAACGTAAGTAATCTTATGTAAACAGAAATTAGCTAGGTTTTTAATAATATATACAGAGTGTTGCTGATGCTTTGAAAATAGGCATTTCTTATATAATTTAAGAGGTTCGTGTATATTTAATTATTTTTTAGGTATCTTGAACTTCTAGAGTATCAAACTGTATTTTATTGCATAGAATCAGAAGAAGAAATTTTTAAGTTTATTTTTAAAATAGGTACGACTTACCAGGAAAAAACTGGTATATGTATATAAAAGTGGACAACGCTGTGCCAGTCAAGCTTAATCACGTGACTAAAAGTTTATTTGATATGAACTATAGTTGTGGTAGATCACTACATATATTATAGTAAACGCCACGAATGTTTGGGAGTGATTCATCGGTCGCTACCATGTGAACTAATCTGTTCAAGGTCGCATAAAACTTAATTCCGTGGCCGTGGTGTTTCAAGTCATATAATTATCAATATATAATCTGTTGTAATTTGTTGTTTTAACTGTCAAAGTCTTGTCAAAATATATATTTGGTTATAAATATAAACTGGAATGCCCCATTGGTCGCACTGCAAGCACACCAATGGACTGACGCACAAAGACGAATCAATCACAGAAACGCGATATAGTATCGTCTTTGTCAATCACGCTAACATTTTAGAATAAGTAGGAGGAGCGCAGGCATATAATTAGACCGGGCCTTTAAAAACCTACGTCTGCGGTAAAAATTTACGTTTTTAATGTAAAAATGATAGCGCGCGTGTCGATTCTAACTTCATCGAGCGATGAATCACTCCCAAACGTTCGTGGCGTTTACTATAGTCTGTCCAACGACAAAATTCTTGACAGTGATAGATGTGTCTGTCATTTTAATTTCAAAGTAGTTTATTTTATTTTAGAAAGAAATAAGTTGGTACAGTTGGAACGCATAATTAATATATTTAAATTTTGAGTGACAAATGATTATTTCAAAACAGGGGCGGATACAGGAATTCATTTTAGGGGGGCCCCAATAAAAAATAATGTAGAATATGCTTTTTAAGGTGCCATTTTTAACCCAAAAGCCTAATATTTAACACAATTTATAGATTTTAGGAGGGGGGCCGCGTCCCTTGGGCCCCCCTCTGTATCCGCCACTGCTTCAAAATATTGTGGAAAAAAACTGTAAAAAACTGAAAAAATCTAATCTTGGTTAATTAACTTTAATCTTATTTTTTTCTGCAGTACTAAAATGTATTATTTACTTATCGTGTGATGTTTTTGGTACCATATACGAGATGGTATACAACTTTATTTGTTGCTAATACAACTCTCCGGCAAAGTGTGTCTCTGGCGGTCTCTGTGCACCGAATATTAACTGTAAACTATGGTCTGGGTCAACACTTAATATTCCCTCGAGTTTTCCTCCACTTAATTTTAAAAAACACGAAACACAAGTAACAACACAGTCCAAAATGCAAAATATTTATCATTTCTATTTGACATAATTTGACACAAAATTATAACCTATAATTTGGCGAGAGTTTGACAACTCTCAAAAATCTTAAGTCGAGTTCATACGCACAGGCGTCCGTTTGTCGTTCATCGTTGCGTCAAACCAATAATATTGAAATATAATCTGTCGTTTTTGAAATAAACCAATAAAACTGGTTAAAAACAACAAGAGACGACACATGACGTATTTATTTATAAACCCATCCATAGTTAAGTTAAAAAATATTAGAAACTTTTTTTTAGTTAAATAAATGGATTGGTATGGAAGTCATCTGCTTTTTTTCTGTCATCGACTGTCGAAATCTTACCTGAGAAAAAAACAGAGTATATATATATTATATTCTTATACACAAATGTTAAAAAACGGAACTCGGTCAATTAATAAATTTCAGAACGTACTTAACATTTTCTAAACAGTAACGTTGAACGATGGCTGAACAGAGGTACAGGCTGAACACTATCATGCTCATTCTCTCCACCTCTGTATCTCAGTTTTATACATATCTATAGTAGTAACTGTACCTTGAAGTAGCAAATTTGAATAAGTCTTCCTTTTTAGACCCGTTCGTTGCCGACGATCCGAAAGTCGGCGCCGGTCGGCTGGCTTCGGCACTGCCGGCGGCCGGTTTCGCCGAGCCGAAGCTGAAGGCGAAACCGCCCGACGGCGTGCTCGTCGTGGGAGGTTTCTGCTCGGCGGGCTTGCTGAAAGATGGCGCTGCTTTCATTAGATCGCCGTTGGACGAGGATGTTGCCGCCGCGCTGCCGAACGAAAACGTCGGAACGACGGCTTGATCTTCGTTGGCCCGTTTCGTCTTCTTGCTGGGCGAGTCGTCGAAGGTCGTGACGTCGGAGCTGGGTTTGGGTATCGACGGAACGCTTGTCGAAAGCGCAGGCGCTGAAAATAAAGTCCCGTATGCAGTGATGCCACTTCTACAAATTTTTCGATAGATCTACCGATCTGGTAGTACTAAGGCTCAGAACCCGGAAATTTTTTTGAGACATCAAAGAACCGGAACTGGAAATTATTATTTCCCGGTACTTTCGGGACTCGGTAATAATAATTAAAAACATATTTTTTGTTACGTGGGAAAGACTTTTGATACTTTCTAGCGGTCGAAATCAAACTCTTCTAAATAACTATTGATGCTATCCTTTACTGTTCTTACTTCTGAAATTATTTTGAAGTTTCTATAATGTTTATTAGCAATTACTGAAGTTTAAATATGTTATTTTATTATTTAGTATAATATTGCTGAATGTATTAGTTATATTTTTTGTGTTATGTTCTTATAGGCATTTGCATCTTTAACTGAAAAAGTTAAGTTTTTTTTTCTAATTTAGTTAAGTTGGTTTCGAGGTTCGCTGATGTTGTTTGATGTAATTTTTAAGCTACCTATGTGTTTTCTTTTGTTTTCACTTGTGTTCATTATTTGTATTCATGTTTACTTTCTCATGACTTCATAATTTGATATTATTTTCATTTGAAACTCAATTCTTTATCGGTTTTACTTTTGAGAACCATCCCTTGCTTGCTAATTGACGAACTCCACAATCATTGAACGAAAATATTTTAGTACAGTTCTGGAAACTCTAATTAATACTACCAATTAGGATTCAGATCTATATGGCCATCGCAGAACCGGGCCTCGGTAACAATAATTAAAAAATTATTTTTTTGTTACGTGAGAAAGTCCTTTGATACTTTCTAGCGGTCGAAATCAAGCTCTTCTAAATAAGTAATGATGCTATTTCTTATTGTTCTTGCTTCTTTTCTCTTTTGAAGTTCCTATAATATTTATTATGTTATGTTTTAATAGATATTAGCATTTTTAATTCAATATTTTAGGGTTTTTGCCTCAAATTCAGTTAAGTTTTTGTTGTTTGACGTGAACTTTTAAGTTACCTATACTTTTTTCTTTACTTGTGTTCATGTTAATTTTTTCACGACTGATTACTTAATAATTTGATATTATTTTCATTAAAAATCTGAATTTTTTATCCATTTTTCTTTGGAAAACTCTCTCTTGCTTTCTGATTGATGAACTGCACCACCATTGAACAAAAATAAGTCAGTACCGAAAGTACCGAAAAAAACGGAAAATCCCGGTTCCTAAGAGGCGCGGTACCGAAATTCCTGGATCCGAAAAACAGCTCCGGTTCTGGAAACCCTAGGCAGTACATCTAACGAGAAAAAAAACTATTTTCTACCGCTTTTCATGCTTCAGAATATTTTAGTTTTATAAATATTAAAACAGAATTTTGTAGTAAAAATATTCTGTACAAAAATAGTATTTACGATTCTTTTTGTGTGTGCCCATATTTTTTAGAGCTCACGAGCCGCCACTGCATAATATTAAGAACGATTTTTTTCTTACCTTTGGGCAATCCAAAACTGAAGCCAGCGGGCGCTGTTGCCGCCTTTTCCGGCAATCTCTCGCCGGGTTTTAGTAGGGGATTCGTCGGTTTAACCTCTAGCTCTTCTTTTTTCCTAATTCCATCCTCCGCTTTTTTCGGCGCAGTTGTGCCTAAAACAGCAGCAGTACTGCCGCTAGCGTACGCTGGTGGTGGTTTCGAGGCGTCATTTTTCTGGGAATCACCGGCCGTAGCGATGGTAACGGAAGAAGTAGGCAAGACCGTCGCAGACTGCGTGGGTTTAGTGGCATCTTTTGGTGGCACACCGAACGTGAAAGTCGGCGTTGTTTGTTCGGTAGTTTGCTTTCCGTCGACTTTACTTTCGCCGAATACCAGGGATGCGTTCGTTTTAGGCGCCTCCTAGAATTAAATTGCTTTACCGGCTTGTACGCTCATCGCTAATGGAGATAATGATATAGTCTATAAAATGAATAACTTTGAATTTTGACCGTTATTTTTTACGAACATGGCAAATATAAAATCCCTCAAAAAAGTTACTGATATTCTTTAAATTGAGTGCCTGAATGAATCAGATAGGTAACTCTTTTTACTTTCGTGAAATAGAAAAGGAAAATAATAAAACAAGTGACAGTTCTTCCTTTTCTTGCAAAAATCAACACAAAATAATAATTGTCAAAAGTAAAATGTCATCAGCTTTTGACATTTCTAAATATCAGACCAATGCCGTCTCTAATAGAACAGCCTCGGAGCGAGATTTATGACGTCACGCTAGTTAGATACTACGGATTAATAAATATGTTGTAGAATACATGGAAAACATAATGGTCGCGTTCATCAGGACGTAGCGCTACCGCAGCGATCACTAATTTTCTGCTGAACGCGCCGATTAGTTGTGAGCGCTCTGGGATCAGTCGCCATTTTTTCCATCAGATTTAAAATACGCTACGCTACCGATGCATGATGGATTAAACGTCACATACGCCAAATGTCACAAAATGTTTTGGAAAACGAAAACAAAGCATTTTGTTTATTGTTCTCGGTTGACTAATCCCCTCGATTTGTGCCAAAAATGGGTGAAAACAATTTAATATGCATTACTTATGATTTTGATCTAAAAAGCACGTTCAGCAGGACAACCAATCGATGATACATCGCTCACTGATCAACTTGTCCTGATGAACGCGACCAATTATTCTTCGTATTTTTGGTTTGTATTTTAAAAATGATATAGTTTACATGAAATATACATAACATACACTTAATAAATACTATATATACACCTATTTATAGCAATAAATACTTTGGCAAATAAACTATGAACCATACAAATGCAGCAAATGTTTTACAATATACATATAATGAATAGGTACATAAGATAATAGGTAAAATGTAAAATATATCATAAATTTTGGGGTTTGAAAATCGATCTAGTTTAACAAAAAACATTCAATATCTACTAATAGTGATGTATTATTATTTGCATTCACAAAATTTATATGTATATTTTACAAGTATCTATGTTCGAAAAATTATATTTGCAAATAATACAATATCATAAAAAAAGACGTCAGCGATGGCTATGAAATAAAGATGGCTGTCATTTTATATGTAAAATTATTCTAAAATTTTTGATTTTTTTGGGATTTAGGTTCGGGAAAAACGCTGATTAAGTTTTCATTTGGTTTTTCATTATTTTTTTTGGTTTAAAAAGAACATTTCGGCTAACATTATAGCCTTCATCAGTGTTGTGTCATATGAAAAAAATAGTGTCGAATATAATCCAAAAAATTACATATAAAATATTCACAACCTAACCTAATAACACATAATGTTTACTGCAATTAATAAATTAATATAAACTTGTCAAAAGATATATTTTGTAAAATTATTATTCTTAACACTAAAACTATCTACATTGACTATGGAGTACGATATCAGCCATAAACAATGTAACCAAAAATACGAGGAATAATTATGTTTTCCATGTATTCTACAACATATTTATTAATCCGTAGTATCTAACTAGCGTGACGTCATAAATCTCGCTCTCAGACTGTTCTATTAGAGACGGCATTGCGTCAGCATGGCCGCAAGTTGCTAACCTAATAAAATTAAACTAAAAAAGCCCGCGGGAACTGTCAAATTCAAAGTTATTCGTTTCACAGACTATATATCGCTCATTACTAATGGAAATTCATTATTGATAATAATGAAAATATGCTAAAACACCAGATTGTACCTGTAATCCAGGAGGTATGCCGAAGGTAAAACTGCTGGCCGTATTTTTGTCGATTCCAAAGCTGAAGGAAGGTATTTTCGATGCGCCGCCGCTGGTAGTTGTGGACGCGGCCAGACTGGAGGTACTCGATCTCGGGTTTTCGCAACACTGGCACTTGGTGGCGCTCAACGGATTCTTAACCATACAGATCTGCAAAAAAGCGTTAAAGAAATGTTTTTTTTTATTTTAAACAGAATATGTTATTTTATATATAAAAAAGGTGCGGTATTTGTGTTTTTTTTCATTTAGTTGGAAAATACCACAATCTTTATAATGACACATTTGTATCTCAATTAAGGCGTTTTTGTTAACAATGCAGAATAGTAACAATAGATACTTAATATGAAAAAGAAAAAAAGAACAAGGTCATATTCTATTTTCATATTCATATTATAGTAACACAATATTTTTTTGTTAAGTTTGTTTGACTTTTCTCTTGACAGCGCATGCCAAATTAGAATTTTTCGAGTTTGAAATACTTGAGCTCTGTTGAGCTTTATGCAAGGTGTACAAATCTGGAAAGACGTTATGCCAAGACTTGCATTACAGTAAAATTAACAAAAGACAACGAGAATAACACTGTATTCTGCTCTTACATGCAATTTCTGTTCAAACCCAGTTAGTGTATGTAAAAGTAAATGAAATAAAGCACCAAGTACAAAATAAGTAAATTTAAAAAATAAAATTAGATATAAATAGCATATATTCCTTACCTCACATTCCCATTCATTATCTTTTTTCTTAAATTCAGCACCAAACGTAGTCTCGCCTAACTGTTGTACCGCTAGTACACTCTTTGTACCCGATTTTAAGCTATTACAAGCTGCACATACAGAAAGCTGTAATAAAACAAATTTTGAACCGTTTTTTTCTTCGTTAGGCAAATTTTTATATCTGTAAACCTAACTTCTGACAAGTAAGTACCGTTTGGATTAACGCAGAAGTGTTTACAAAAAATAACTATTTTATTTTGAAGATTTTCTTGCAGTGGTGAAATACCCATATAGGATTTTTTGGAGAAAACAAATTTTAGTTTTATTATCCTTGAAAATACGAAAAAAAATAATATTATTTAGTAATAATGCATACTTTTAAAAACTATTGCAACTTTATACAAAATTAACTTTATTTTTGACGACAAATAAACTAAGAAAAAGTAAAATTGCTGTTTCCATTTAAATTACTTATTATTTAAATTTTGCCCACGTTGGGCGCCAAAAATATGGGCTAAATAAAAAAAAATCAAAATTTTCTAAAGTAGAAAGTAGCCGAAAAATAGAAAAACCTGTATGTAAGTATGTAGTAGGGTAGCGACCATTATGGCACCGTATACGTTTTTTTTAAACGTTACAACACTAACAAATATCTTACCTCCTCTTTGTTTCTTATCATGCACGTGGAGCATTCCCACGTACTGGGAGGCGGGGCAAACTTGGATCCAAACGACGGTCCCGTAGCACCGTTATCCGCGACAGAGCTGGTGATCGATTTTGGTTGAGCCACGTTGTTTCCCGGTTTGGTATCTTTGCAAGCGACGCAGATAGTCACGTTGTCTTGGTTACGTATCATACAGCTGGGGCATTCCCAAGTGTTCGATGCGGGTTTGAATTTGTCGCCGAAACTATTACTCGGCGGAGGTGCGACAGATGATTTGCTGCCAAAAGAAAAGTTGATCGTCGGCTGTGCAGTGGACAACGGGAAGAAAGATGGCGAATCTGGAAAAAAATATAACTTAATTTAACCCTTAACTGCTGACGTGGAGTCCAAGATATTACGTCGCCATTTTGGCACACGAATACTCTCGCCATAATTGTTTCTGAGCATTACATGAATGGGGCATAGTGACCAATTAACCAATAGTGAGCAACAAATTGAACAAAAAACCCAAAGAAACGATCATGGAGCAGTCGAAGACTAAAATAAAAGCTAGACATATATGCATCAAAATCGAGAAAATAAAGTTATCGTATGTACGTCTGATTTGTATAAAAATAATTTGCCTCATATACAGGGTGGTCCGAACTGTATTCCGGAAACTTCGGCAGCATATTCTGCAGATCAAAACAAGTAAAAAAGTTCGTATAAATGTATGTCTTAAAATGCTTAGTTTCTGAGATACAGGGTGTAGAAGTTTCATTTTTATTTCGATTTTTTCCAAATAATTTCTGAAGTAATGTCAATATTTGAATGAAAGTTGGTGTCTGAGAGTTTTTTGACATGAGAAATTTGATTTTGATGTCAATATGACTCCTATTTGTAGGGGTTTGTAGTTTTCACAACCTACATGTAGTTTATGCGTTTTGAAGAGTAATAGCTTTTTGTCCGTACCTGTATAAAACTACTAAGTGGAAAAATATACATTTCTGTGTTTTTTTACGTAAAAAATGTCTCTTGGTAAAAATCGCTATGGGCAACCGTTCTCAAGATATTTAGAATGGGAACAGTTAATACATGTCATTATTGACAAGATATAAACGTGTTGTGTAGATAGTTATTTGACTAAATATGATAAATTTGGGAACTTTCTATTTTTTTAAATTAATCATAAATTTTTCTTTGAAAAAATGATGATTAAACAGTTTCTGTTGAACTTTTTTTACCAAAACATTGAAAATTTATGATTTCAGTCTAATAACTATTTAGTCAACATGTTTAATTTATGACAATGACAACAAGTATTGATATTTCTATATATTAGTCGGTTTAGAACGTTTTTCTACGTTGTCCGATACCCAATTTCCAGCCTGTTCTATTCGTACAATCCTCTGTTGACAGGTTTCTTTCACTCATCGCTTTGTGTACGCTTTTTTGCCATTCCAGTTTTGGTCTTCCCTGTTATCTTCTGCCCTTTGGTTGCCAATTGATTATTTTCTTGGGCCATCTAATGTCCTTCATTCGCTCTACATGTCCGTACCAGATCAGCTGCTTTTTCTCTATATCCTGTGTTATCGTACCTTCTATACCCATTTGTTGTTTTATGGTATTATTTCTTATTCGTTGTTGTCTTGAAATTCACATTGATCTTCGAATGACATCCATTTCTACGGCCTCTATCCTCTTCTTGTATCTCTCAGTTATTCTCCATGTTTCTGCTCCATACAGGAGGTTGCTCTTTATCATGGTTTCATATATATTGAATTTTCATCGCTTTGTTATTGATTTGCTCCATAAGATTCCATTTAGACATCCGATTATTTTTTTCGCGTTTATAATCCTTTTCTCTATTTCTCTGCCGTCAGTTCCAGTGTTATCAAATGTAATTCCCAGGTATTCATACTCTTGACACTGCTTAATTTCGTGACCGTTGTCCAAGTTCAAGTTTCCTTCTTGTGCGCCCTATACATAGATATTTTATTTTGGCTATGTTAACTGTCAAGCCCCATTCTCCGTATTCTTCAATAAGTTTTCTTAGCATATATTGCATATCGTCTTTGTCATTGGCAACTATTATTTGATCGTCTGCGAATTGAAGTGTGAACAAACATTCATTGTCAATCTCTATGCCCATACCACGGACCTTTCTTTTCCAATTTTTTAAAGCGACTGCAACGTATATTTTAAAGAGAGTAGGGGAGATGCAACAACCTTGACGCAAGCCTTTGTCGGTTATAAATGTTTCTGTAAGCTCTTTTCCTACCTTTATTTTTGATTTTGCGTCCTTATATAGTTCCTTAAGAGCTGTTATATAAGTATGGTTGATCGTAGATTGTTCTAGTACCCTCCATAGTCTTGATATTGGGATAGTGTCGTACGCTTTCCGTAAGTCAACAAATTTTATATGTGTGTCCAAGTTTCTTGCCGATCTTTTTTCTATAACTTGTTTTAAACAGAACACGTTATCTGTACACGACCTTCCTGCTCTAAAACCATTCTGTTCTTCCTCCTCCTTTTCTCTATAATCTTCTTCTTCTTCTGAAGTATTGATATTTTCGATTCCAAATCTGTCGAGAACCATAACTCGTAGCAATTTTTACAAAGAGACTTTTTTTACGTAAAAAACGTCGTAAATGTATATTTTTTACTCGGTAGTTTTATACAGGTACGGACGAAAGGTTATTACTCTTCAAAAAATATGTAGGTGGCGCCCTCGACAAGGAGGAGTGATATTGACATCAAAATTAAATTTCTCATGACATAAAACCCCCAGACACCAATTTTCATCTAAATATTGACGTTACTTCAGAAATTATTTGAAAAAAATCAAAATAAAAATGAAACTTCAACACCCAATATCTCCAAAACTAAGCATTTTGGGACATACATTTATACTAATTTTTTTACTTATTTTTATTTGCAGAATATGCTGCCGAAGTTTCCGGAATACAGTTCGGACCACCCTGTATAAGATATTAAAAATCACTTCTTTCAATAAATATAATAAAAATATTTACAATTTCTTCATTAAAATCTATAATTTTTAAATAAAATTTGAATATAATTAGTAAGTACAAATCGTGATATCAATGTAAACATGCCTAACACTAGAATAATATTAAAATAAACAAATGCAATAAATAGGGTTGCTTATTTAATTTACGACAGCAAATTTTTTCTAATAAAAACTAATGTAAACTTTTGAATTATACATACCCATATTTTATGAGTATATTATTTAAAAATATGACACCATAGGTATATGAATATAAATCTATTGGACTATCATTATGTTCTCCAACTTTTGAAATGATCATTGATATTTTTAACATGTATAATTCATGGCTATTTTTTAAATTTTATTACAGACTATTCATTTATCGAATTTACACATCAAATCAGCATGATTTAATGTTAAAACAATTCTAAAAATATCACTTTTCCAATTAATTTTTTAGGAAACAAATGGACGAGTAAAATTTTTTCATTTGCCTATGTCCATTTTAAGAAAAGAGATATCTGCTTTAAATATACAAAAAATGAACATCAAGTTTGTGATTTTTTATTCAACCAAAATTTTCCAATCAGAATATCCACATTTAATTACCTCCAGGGACCTTTGTAATTATTTAAATAAATAAAAATAACTATGTTGAGACAAATTTAGATATTATCTCAACTCAATTTCCTATTGAGGTTGCACAGAACTTAAAAATACATTTATTTTTTCTTAAATTAATTAAATAAAAAACACACTAACCTGTTATAATATTTTTGGGCTTTTCAGTGGCGGAACGAGATGTTTCACAAGCCGCACATTTCAACTTATCATCTTCATTCCTAATCATGCACATCGAACACTCCCATGTTCCTACTTTCGGTTTAAATTTGTCCCCTAACGACCAACTTCCATTATTGGTACCACATTTCTCTTTTTTACCAGTATCAGTGACACTAGTCACACCCAAAACATTCTCTCCATTATTTTTCTTCACTTTGAACAACTCAGCAGAACCATTTTCTTGATTGTTCGAGTCAGAATGAATACTTCTACGTTTCTTAACAAGCGGTTCGCTAAATTTAAAGTTATTTAGAGCTTTGATTGATTTTGAACATTCGGCAAGAACTATGGGAGCCGAAAACTTAAATTCAAATTTATCTTCTTTCACAGAACCTGACTTTTGATCATCCACAGTTATTTTATCTTTCTCTGTCATGTCATTAACTTTAAGAGGTGTTGTGACAGTTTTACCAAAAAGACCAGTTAATTTTGGCTGTGTGTCATCAACTACTTTGCTTGTTGAAGGTGGAGGTACAACAAAATCAAATTTAGGTAGTTCCTTAATAGGTAAAGCTACAGGATTCAGCTTGAGCTCGGGTACAGTTTCATCAATTTGGATCTTTTGCCTGACAGAAGTGATTTTCCTTTTTATTTTCCCTGTATGTTTTTCTGTATCTTTGTGCACGGCTAACTGGTAACTTGTTTCGTTCAGTGCACTTTTGGACTGTGTGGCGATTTGCCTCACAGCTTCCGTGCTGTCTTGTAACCTAGTTTTTTGCTGATCCAATTTCATTTTCAGCAAGTCGGTAACAGAGGGTACCTGGAGCTCCCTATTCGAAGCGCTGCGAGACCCTCTAACCGTATACGGATTGGCTCCAATATATTTGGTTAATACTCCTTCGCTTCTGATTTTCTTTGAAACAACAGGAATTTTTTTAGCGTCGCTTACCGGAGAACTGTATTGCTCTAAAGTGTCTAAAATCCTTCTGGCAGTCTTTCCAAGTTGAACATCGCCACTTTTTTCCACATCTCTATTGACCGGTTTAATTTTTACGCTCTGTCTTAGGGCTTTCTTAAGATCCTGTGGAGTTCTTCCACTGCTTTTTCCATAGGCTGAAGCCCCACCGTAGATGGTGCGTCCACTATAGAAAGGAGACTCCAAGATTTTCTTGGTTGATAATGTACGATCGACGAAATTTTGTGATCCAAAATTAGAAGGATTGAAAGAAGGCATTCTAGAGCTTAGACTAGAGTTCCTGTGAGGGCTCAATGTGCGTTCTGAAAAAAGACTTCTTCCTGAACCTATAAAAAAGTTTATAAAGTACTATATCATATTTAATACTAATAAAACGTACTTGAATTCCTAAACAAAGATCTTGCTTTAATTGGACTACTTTCTAAAGGTGAGGTTTGTTTTGAGCTCTCATGACTAACAACTTCTTTACTGCCTAGTCTCCCAGAGGAATAACCACTAGTAGATTCTTCACTATCTGAATTAATATCCTTATTAGCACTACTAGCACCTATCCTATCACGAACTATACTTTTAGGATTTTTAAACAAGTTTGTTGATTCACTAGCTGATTTTGCATTTTTAAATGCGGCCTCTTTAGTAAATGATGTGCTATTCAACAATTTACGGGTTTGGTATCCACTAGGTCCTGCTATGGGTTCAGGAAAATTGGTATATAAGGGATTCTTTACATCATTGACTTTAGAAATGGGACTCAACACTTCACTAACATTTAAACTTATAGTTTCTTTAGTAGGTGGTAATTTGGTACGTTTTGAAGGGGGCTGGAACTCATGTATATCTGCTTCATCGTCCGAATCATCTTGACGTTTGCGAGGTGTAGATACCGGCGTTTCGCTTTGCTTCTTAAACCATTTGGAAAGAGGGGTGTTGTTTATGATTTCTGATACATTCTTCTTAAATTTTCCCACTAAAGACTGAAACAAAAAATCAAATTTCAAGAACAGAATAAGATTGTTTACTTACCGCATAATACATAAGAATTAAAAATGCTTAAACGGTACGGTAGTACTTTCCATCAAATTTAGATTTTAAAAAAATATAAGATGAAGTTGTCAAAGCGTTGTCAAATAACGTTTTGCGACACCTTGTTCGTCAAGGTTATGGTATTTAGGTTATTACTTGATGGCAATTTATTTATTTTATTATCATTATTAAGGTAAGGTAAGGTAAAATAAGACATTTTGCAGAATAATAGCGGGTATAAAGTACAATAAAGTAACGAAGTTATTAATAGCAACGAGAACGCGCCAATGCTGAAACGCAAAAACCTCCCTACCTGCTCGTTCTCGTAATCACGGCTTATAGACGAATTCTGGCAATCACTATCGTTAAGGTCCTTATCCATTTTTACACTGGATTAACACTTAAATCTAGATGAACTTCACAAAAACCTTTACAAAATTATTTAGCATCTTTTTAGGCAGACACTTTCACCACACGAGGATCAAAGATGGCGATCCTTCAACGGATTAGTTTAAATTTAGCTTCAGAGATGGCGACATATAAAATTTATTATTTTATGTATAAAATTTCTTTAAATTATATTTTGCTTGCAGTGTCATCTTAAATTATATTACTCTGAGCTTAATATTATCCATATCTTTTAATAACAAACATATAATTGATTAATTTATGACTGTTTCAATAAAAAAAATTTTGGATTTTCATTTAGGTAAATCATTTAGATAACCAATAATACACAAGCATAATTAATATAATTTAAAGACCGGTTTTCGTTTTATATCTAATATTTTTATTATATTTAACATAGAAGAGTGGTAACTGTGGTAATAATTTTACTACTATTATATTAACATATAATATAACATTAACATATAGTAACAAACGTAATTCCCAGTAAAACACAATAAACCCTGGTTGCCTATAAGCAGGTTCGCATACATACCTATTTTAAAAATAATTGTTATTTTATAATTATTATACTGTGAATAAACAATTATAATTATTATACATAGAAATAAAATTATTTCCAATATATATTTAATGTTTTCCAGTATTTATATAGCCTTGCCTTAAAGAAATAATAGAAATGTTAAAAACGGCGTCCAGTTGGCTGGGAAATGAACATCAATGACATTTCCCATATAAATTTACATATAAAATGACAGCGATCTTCATTCCATAGCCATCGCTGACGCCGTTTTTTCTCGATCATACGGTATAATTGATAACAGTAATCAGCTGTTTCCGTCAAAAATTTTCTAACCTCAGAATTGGGAAGTTGTTTTTGTTAAAAAATTGTTTGAAAAATGAAAAATATTTCAAGTGGATATTGAGAATGCAATTGATAAATTAAATCAATTAATAATAGCCAAAATTCTTTTTTAATCATATTCCAAGCAGCAGGTAGCGGAAATATGCCTTCAACACTGGATAAAACGAATTATTTGCAACTTTTCTCTAATCTTTTAAGTATTATTACAATAACAATTTGTTTCATCCTAAAAGTACCGCAAATTTTAAAGTTACTAAAGGTAAAAAGTGCTCAAGGTATAAACTTGATTGGACTTTTAATGGAGCTTTCAAGGTGAGATCCGGACAATGTACATCTTTGGTTTAATATTAATTTATTTTTCTTTTTAGTTATACTATTATGACCTCCTATAATTATAGGAATGGATATCCAATTCTTACATACTTGGAATACCCTATTATTTTAGCTCAAGAATTAATTCTAATTTTGTTAGTTCTGAAATATAAAGGTTATTTAAATATTTATAGTTTTATTGGGTCTTCAATTTATTTTTCTGTTGCTGCCAGCTTTCTTATTGGCTTAGTTCCTTTGGGACTGCTCTCATTTCTTGTGGTAAGAAAAATCTAAATCTTTCAGTAGTGGAAAACTTACGTTTACTTATTTTAGCCAATGTGTACACCAATTGGAGTCAGTTCAAAAGTAGTGCAACTTGTTGAAATATTAAGAACCCAAAATGCTCAATCAGTTAGTATTACTACATGGTTTATTTCAGCTTTCACCAATTTTAGTAAGTATATAATGTTTAATATTGTGATATTGTTATTAATAAATTTAATTTACCTGATCATTTCACTTATAGCGAGAGTGTTCACTACTAGTTTGGAGTCAGGTGACTTGACTTTGCTACTTAATTTTTCATTAAACACATTTATGAGCTCTTCTGTAATGGTCGCTGCTATCGCTTATAAAAGTCCTCAGAAAGGCTCAGTACAAAAAAAGACCGACTGATTTTTCTGAATCTAGTGTTTTGCTTGTTACCCTGTATAAGAATGAAAACCACATTATCGTTACTTAAAATTTTAGTTACCATTCTTTTAAATATTATATTTAGGTTCCATAATGTCAATTAAATAATATGAAAGGGTATTTGTTATTTATTTTTTATTATACGTTCTTTATTATTATTAAATTTTGTTATGTATTTATATTTGTGCGTGTTAAATATACTGTAGTTTTATTTTGTTTCATTCCCAAATTATTTTTACAGATTCTTCAATAAGTAGTATACCGGGTGCGTCTCAAAAGTGGCTCACCCCTATAACTTTTTTATTTTTTCAGGTAAAAAAACGAGATTTGGTATGTTAGTATATGACATCAATTAGGATTGATTGGTGTATTCAATTGTTTTCGGTCACGTCCTGTTTCACCGGAAATGACTAGAACTTTTGATTTTTAAATAGCACCCTCGGTATTTTTTTACTTTATTCGATAGAAAATGACATTCTGAATAGAATGACATATCATATGTCAACTTTTGACATTCTCGCTTAATAAAAAATTGTATTTTAAAATTCAATCTAGAGTGTCATGGCTATATTAAAAACACTAATTCTTCATCCAGGAGCCCTGGAAAAATAGATTTGATCGTCTAATGTTTTAGTGTCTTGTCCTCGTGCGTTAGAAAATGCTCAAATCGTATTTTTAATCATATCTCAATTTTTTCAAATGGAACGAGGGTGGCTCATCAGCATATTTGGAAAAAGCATTTTTTTACGAATAATTTGATACCACACACTTGGTATTTCGAGTCAAATTTTCGTTACGAACCGCAAGTTATAATTTCAAATAAACCATATGCGAAAATGTCAAAAGTTGACATATAATATGTCATTCTATTCAGAGTGACATTTTCTATCGAATAAAGTAAAAAAATGCCGTAGGTGTTATTTAAAAATCAAAAGTTGTAGTCATTTCCGGTGAAACCGGAAGTGACCGAAAACAATTGAATACGTCAATCAATCCTAATTTTTGTCATATACTAACATACCAAATCTCGTTTTTTTAACTAAAAAAATAAAAAAGTTATAGGGGTGAGCCACTTTTGAGACGCACCCGGTATTTAAAGAATTTAAACTACATATTTTCAAATTAAAGTTGTATAGGTATGTTTAAATAGAACTCATTCCTAAATACCACCTATACTGAGTGGTAAAATATATCATTGATATTTTTGTAGGAATAAAATAGTTATAACCCTAACTTATTGGAATAACAGACTTTTCGTTGCCAGTTACTATAACAAATCGCATCAAAACAGCTATTTACTACCTACTTGTCAGTAACACATGTCTTCCTACTACCTCTATTTTAAGATGAGCCGAAGATTAGTTTCAGATTTAGCTTCTTTTGTTTTAAGGACCGGACTTGATATATTTCGTATTTTTCGATAGTAAATTGTTTTGCAAAAATACCGTATGATCGAAAAAAACAAGTCCAGGTGGCTTGGAAATGACGATCGATGACATTCCTCATATAATTTTTTATATAAAATGACAGCGATCTTCATTTCAGAGTCGAACTTACACCATTTTCATTTGATTATATTGTACTATACTAGGCTTAAGCCGGAGTCTCATGCATCCGAAATCCGATGGTACGACATCCGAAATTTGAAGTTATCCTGTGAACTAGAAAAAGCCTGTCACATACATACGAAAGTTCGTTCCGAAATTTGACAGTTTTGGCATTTTTCTGCTGCACTGAATAGAGATTCATGTCATGTTTTATTGGAGAAACACTTATAAAAATAACTTCCTCGCCAAATATCCCGAAATTGCCCACTTCCTACTAAACTTGTTTTTAAAAACAAATGTTTTCAAAAAAAGTGAGGTTAAAAAACACACGATATCGTACAAAAGTTAAACAAAATTTAACTTTATACGACGTCGGACGATTAGTTAAAATTATCGGATAAAAATTGGTGTCAAAATATTTCAACCAATAGGAGCACCGTCGGATCGTCGCGTCATCGAATTTCGGATGCATGAGACTCACTTGATTTCAACAAATTCCGACCGCAGCGCTGCAACGGAAAAAATTTGAAATTATCATTATATAGTTCACGCCACCGTCATCTTGATCGCATTAAAATAATATTGAAATTGTGGTTTTGTCGTAAGTATTTCAGTTTTTTGCTAGTGCAGTTATTCAGACCATAAAATACTCAAGTACGAGGTTTGTGTTTGTGTAGTAAAAAATAAGTGAAAAAAAAAATCGAATTAGGCCTTGTGTTGTGTTGTGACAATTTCAAATGTTAATAAAACTGCCGAAAAAATGTTAACGCGTAAAGGAGAGAGTAGAGTTAGGGCGTTGTTGGGTGCAATAACATTCAATAACTCAACTTTCCCGGATATTCAAATCTCCCGAAACAACATTTTATAGCTTCATCATTTCTTACACCGATTTGATCAAAAACAAAAATGGATTCAAGCAGTTCGACGAAACAAGTGAGTAAACAAAGTGCTCGTTACATAATCAAAAAATTAAATCGACATATACTATGAGAGGATAAAATATAATTTGTAATATTAATGGTATACTTTTTTTAATTAACTAGTGATTAAATCTTTTATGAACATCTTCTAAAATTATAATTATGTACCTTTAAAAAAATTCGTTATAGCCGAAATAGCCAAAATTTTGATCCCACTAGCAAAACCGGTGATTAAAACTATGCTCGCTACTCGCTACTGTAGTTGAACTCATCTAAAAACATTTTTCTGGAATAATAAATTATAATATAAGTTAAACCTTCTGACGGTATCAAAATAATTACTTTTTTATTTTTATTTTTAGAATTTTCACAAATTATACTTCCAAACACTTTTAGAATACCTAATTATACAGGGTGGTCCGAATTGTATTCCGGAAACATCGGCAGCATATTCTGCAGATAAAAATAAGTAAAAAAGTTCGTTTAAATGTATGTCCTAAAATGCTTAGTTTCGGAGATACAGGGTGTAGAAGTTTCATTTTTATTTCGATTTTTCCAAATAATTTATGAACTAACGTCAATATTTGGATGAAAATTGGTGTATGGGAGTTTTTTGACATGAGAAATTTGATTTTGATGTCAATATGACTCTTAATTGTAGAGGGAGCCACCTACATATTTTTAATGTGTTTTGAAGAGTAATAACTTTTCGTTTGTTCCTGTATAAAACTACCGAGTAAAAAAATATAGATTTACGATGTTTTCTACGTAAAAAAGTTCTCTTGGTAAAAATCGCTACGCGTAATGGTTCTCGAGATATTTGGAATCGAAATTATCAATACTATGATCATTGACATAAATTAAACATGTTGATTAAATTAATATAGTTATTATAGTCTAAGGCTACATAAAAAACCTTATTATCGTTACATGGCTAATTTTTTGTGTGAAGTATCTTTTTGTGTAGCCATTATGAAATAGTCATGTCTGCCAGCGCGATCCCGGGGGCTTAAAGCGGGGGCGGCCAATCGAAAGGGTAAAATTATTTACACTTAAAATATTATAAGATACACGGGTTATAATGGCGAAAATAGCTTTTATTTATTATTAAGAAACGTGGAAAATTGTTGGCAGATATTTTTCTAGTCACTAAAATGCAGACACACAACGCGAAAGAGGCATGAAATTTCAAAAATTATTAAAAAATTAAATTTGAAGAATGAAAAAAATTATGGCATATTTGCATGCCAATAATTGGTGAAATGTCATATTTATTTATTTTATAAGCCGTATACAAAAGGGCAGATAAAAAGATTGTGGCTAAATCAGCTGCAGACAGTTATCAAAAGCGCGATATTACTCTAGCTCATTCAGGGAACGCTCGCCGTCTCATCCATTTAAGTACAGATAAATCATATATATACGATAATATTATAAATATATATTTTTTATTATGTCAATAACGATTTTTTTGTCTGCCCTTTTGCATACGGCTTTTTAAATTAATTATCAATAAACATGACATTCCACCAATCGACATGCATGTATGCGATGATTTTCTTTTGTCAAAATTCTATGCCGCTTTCGCGTTGCCTGCCAGCATTTCAGCCACGAGAAAAATATCTGTCAACAATTTTACACGTTTCTTAATAATAAATAAAAGCTATTTGCCAATTATAACTCGTGTACCTTATAATATTTTTAGTGTCAAAATTTCACCCTCTCGATTGGCCGCCCCCGCTTTAAGCCCCGGGATCGCGCTGGCAGACATGACTATTTCACAATGGCTACACAAAAGGATACTTCACACAAAAAATTAGCCATGTAACGAAGATGAGGTTTTTTATGTAGCAAGCACTCGGTCTATTAGACTGAAATCATAAATTTGATATGCTTTTGTGCCAATAGTTCAACAGAAACTGTTTGATCATCTTTTTTTCGCAGAAAAAATTGTGATTGATTTAAAAAAATAAAAATTTCCCTAATTTATTATTTCAGTCAAATAACTATCTACTCAACGTGTTTATGTTTTGTCAACAATGACATGTATTGACTATTTCTAATCTAAATATCTTGAGAACGGTTGCCTGTAGCGATTTTTGCCAAGAGACATTTTTTACGTAAAAAATCACGAAAATGTATATTTTTTCCCTCAGTAGTTTTATACAGGTACGGACGAAAAGTTATTACTTTTCGGAACCGTCAAAACACATGTAGATGGCGCCACCTACAAATATGAGTCACATTGACATCAAAATCAAATTTCTCATGTCAAAAAACTCCCAGACACTAATTTTCATCCAAATAGTGACGTTACTTCAGAAATTATTCGGAAAAAATCAAAATAAAAATGAAACTTCTACACCCTGTATCTCCAAAATTAAGAATTTTAGGACATACATTTATACGAACTTTTTTACTTATTTTTATCTGTAGAATGTGCTGCCGAAGTTTCCGGAATACAGTTCGGATCACCCTGTATAGTAAATTTTTCGTATACTCGCTATTATTTAAATCCTTGTATTTGTATCAGGGTTAGCATGATTTAAATCAAATGATTTAAATCATGATTTAAATCGTGATTTAAATCAAGTGATTAAAAAACAGATAATAAACCGAAAAATAATTGTAAATGTTATAAAACTATATAAAATTATCTACTCATCAATTTAATTGTTGGACCGATTTTTGAATTAATTTTGTGTGAATCCATTAGACCGCTAAACGCAGGGATTTATTTTATAATTTTTGCCACTTAATATCATTTGCAAAGTCTAGTGCAGAACTAAGTTGTTCTCTTATATAGACTATATCTTCATTCCCGAGAATCTATAATCGTTGTCAGAAAATATGTTGTTTTATGTTTTTTTTTGAAACGGTTTCAAATTCCTACCGACATTTTGATCTACAATAAGTACTTTACACTTTGACATTAGATAATACATACTAACTTCATTCTCGATTTAAGATTATTTCCGAACTATAGTGTATTATTTTATTAGGAGCAACAATTATACTTTTTTTGACGATTGACGAAAGACCTTTGAAGGACTTTCGTAAAGCTGTTCCGACGTTACAGGGAGGCACAAAAAGTACATTTTTACACCGAACATACTATTTTTTTAATCAATTTCAAACATTGCAAATAATATAAACAGTAATCGAGCAACAATTTGTACACTCGTTGAATTTGAAACTTAATATCAGTTTAATAATGTATTTTTGTACTTTTGTGCTTAATGCTTTACTTTTATGCCTAGGCGTTAAAATGACAAAAATTAATTAAAATGACAGGCGCCGGCGCCGTAGAATCGTTAATGTTATCGGTATCGTGCAGAGATATAAAGATTTAGCCATTTAGGACACGACTTTAATTGGAAATAAGTCCTAGTCATTTGGAAATCCGATATCCGAGTATTGTTTTGAATTAAAATAAAAAAAAATCTGATTTTTTTTAAAAAATCATGATTTTTTCCAACCCTGATTTGTATATACTAGTTGTTTGCGATATTCTCCGATGTTGGCAGCACCGGCGGAGAATGCACCAAGCCTATACAAACCTTTTTTTTTTGCCGTAAAATCCGCTCAGTACGACCCTGCTCTCCGCGGTAGTACCCCCAGGCCTAAACCGGCGACGATTCGCAACCGGCCAAGACAAAATAGAGGATCGCCGAATCCCGGCTTGTGCGGTCGAATATCCCGAACCACCGCTCATTGCTCATCCGATTCTCGTAGTAGCGCGACTTAGTGATGGGCCCCCTCGAAGGGCTAAGGCCCGTTGTCCTACTGTTCCTCATTATTTGGAGGCTCCAGAGGGCGTCCTGCGAGACCCTCACGCCGCCCTACTTCAACCTGGCAGAAGGGAAGAATATTACCGCCACCGCTACTTGCGGTGTGGACACTGAAGGGCCGGAGCTATACTGCAAATTGATAGGGAGTAATTCGGATAATGAACCAAATGTGAACGTCATACAAGGGCAGGTATGTTGATATTGATATGTACAGTGTATCCCTGGATTGTCTTTACAAGTGGAAAAACTTTTTTGTTATTGACATTTTTAGAAAAATGCATTTTTCATAAAAAAATTTTGCTTGTTCTATTATAATGGTTAATTCCGTTTATACTTTTCAAATTTCCATACCGTTTTAGAGAAAATTTTAAAAATAAACATTAAATAGTTCAATTTTTTTGTCCTAAAAATCAAAGCGCGTTTCTATGATAAAATAATTTCGTTTTCATTCTTTGATAGATTGTTATACAGGGTGTTTCAAAAAACATGTGCCATCTCTCGTGGGTAGATTCCTCACATAAAAATAAGATTTATTTTTCATATGAACATAGGTCCGATTCCGCTTTGTTTCGTAGCTACAGGGTGTTAAAATGTTAATATTTTTTCGATTTATTATAATTTTCTTCCAAGTACTTTAAGCGTTTCGAATGAAATTTTGGGGGTAAAAGGTATTATAAATTGGACATATTTTAATGCTAAAAAAGTGTCGACATATTCACCAGAGACGTGCATATGGGATGGGTTATTACTGGAATATTTTTCTAAAAAAAACATGTACGAAGTAGTGTAAGCAGTTTAATACCGATTAAAAGTTGTATCTTGATATTTTGTCGATTTTGGCCTCCTTTATGAGATTATAAGAACTCAATTATATGTGCAATTATATATACAATTAAATTTGCTTTGATATAAATCTAATAGCAACCTTGAACAAAATTTAATATCATTAACTTGCGAAAGTTTTAAATAAGTATTCATTGATTCCTCATCAAAAAATATGAAAAAAAGTTACTATAAATATGGGTATGGAAATGCATAGTTTTAGAGTTACAGGATAAAACTTTATAAAATTAGGTTTTTTGTAATTATCTTAATAATAGTAGTCATATTTAATAATAAATTAGGTAAAATATATAATTTATTAGTTTTATTTTAATTTTAATTTTATTAATTATCGTTATTAATAACATTGCGTTTATCTCATCAAGGAGGCCGAATTCGACAAAATATCAAGAGATAACTCTTAATTGGCATTAAACGGCCAACACAATTTTGATGTCAAAAGAAAAAAGTCAGTAGCGCACATGTTTTTTTTTGGAAAATATTCCAGTGATAACCCATATGCATGTCGCTGATGAATTTATCTCGACTTTTTTAGCATTAAAATATGTAGCAATTATAATAACTTTTACCCTCCAAGTTTTATGCGGATCACTAAAAGTATACTTGAAAGAAAATTATAATAAATCGAGAGAATATTAAGACTTTAACACCCTATAGCTACGAAGCAAAGCAGAATCGGACCTATGTTGTTATGAAAAATAAGTCTTACTTTTACGTGAGAAATCGCCCCACGAGAGATGGCACATGTTTTTTGAAACACCCTGTATATTGATGGAATTTTAATTAACGTCATATTTTTTACTATTTTAAGATGTTAAGGAAGCCCCCAATTTATTTAGTTCTGTGCTACGGAAAGGGCGATAATAATAATCGGAAATGTGATACTTTAACAAACAGCAAAAAATATGACGTTAAATAAAATTAATAATAATCATTTATCAAAGAATTAAATTAAAATTATATTACCAATTACCATAGAAAAGCCTGATTCTAGGACGCGGACGTCGAAATATGCGTTTTTTGCTCAAATCTTGTTCAATTTTTTTTTACAATGTTAATAATGCATAATCGGCCGTATCTTTTTTCGCGGCTTCAAGGGACTGTTTATATAACTATTTTAAAATTAATAATAACCATCTATCAAATCCTTAATTTTTAGGACTTATGAAATATAGTCTATAAAATGAATAACTTTGAATTTTGACTGTTATTTTTTACCAACATGGCAAACAAAGATGGCAAATATAAAAGCCCTCTATCCAAAAAGTTACTGATATTCTTTAAAATGAGTGCCTGATCGAATCAGATAGGTAACTCCCTTGATTATGTATATAAACAAGGGTAACTCTTTTTACTTTCGTAAAATAGAAAAGGAAAATAATAAAACAGGTGACAGTTCTTCCTCTTCTTGCAAAAATCAACGCAAAATGTCATAATTGACAAAAGCAATGACTAAAGTAAAATGTCATCAGCCTTTGACATTTCTAAATATCAGACCAATGCCGTCTCTAATAGAACAGCCTCGGAGCGAGATTTATGACGTCACGCTAGTTAGATCCCACGGATTAATAAATATGTTGTAGAATACACGGAAAACATAATTATTCCTCGTACTTTTGGTTTGTATATTTTAAATATGATATAGTTTACATGAAATATACATAATATACAGTTAATAAATACAATATATATATATATATATATATATATATATATATATATATATATATATATATATATATATATATATATATATATACCTATTTATAGTAATAAATACTTTGACAAATAAACTATGAACCATACAAATGCATCAAATGTTTTACAATATACAAATAATGAATAGGTACATAAGATAATGGGTAATATGTAAAATATATTTTAAATTTTGGTTTTTGAAAATCGATCTAATTTAACAAAAATATTCAATATCTACTAATAGTGATGTATTATTGTTTGCATTCACAAAATTTATATGTATATTTTGCAAGCATCAATGTTCGAAAACTTATATTTGCAAATAATACAATATCATAGAAAAAAAAGGCGTCAGCGATGGCTATGAAATAAAGATCGCTGTCATTTTATATGTAAAATTATTCTAAAATTTTTTGTTATTATATCATTCTACAACATAATTAATCCGTAGTATCTAACTAGCGTGACGTCATAAATCTCGCTCGGGGCTGTTCTATTAGAGACGGCATCAGCATGGCCGCAAGTTGCTAACCTAATAAAATTAACACTAGACAAGCCCGCGGGAACTGTCAAATTCAAAGTTATTCGTTTCACAGATTATACCATAATGTCATATACTAATAGTATATAACTGACCTAACCGACTGGTTTTTGGAATATAGCCGTTCTTATACTAAATTTAAATTTACTGCTTATTTAAAGTCCTCTCAAAATTATAAATTCGAAGAATTTAATTTATTTTAACGGGAAGTACTGTATAATAATAGTGTCTTCCTTATTCTTCTTCAAAATTCAGTCTATCAAATACAGGGCGAGTCAAAACTTAATATTGTGTTTTCTCCACTATTTTAAATGGAACACGCTGTATTTTATATAATATTCGAACAAAGCTTTGTTTAATCTTTTCGGTATTTTTGGAATGGAAATCTAATGGCAAATCCACTGAGCTAAAAAATATATAGTCTCAGACGCAAAAAAAGGGAAGGGAAAAATTTTTGGTTTAAAATGTTATATATTTTTTATTTTTAGCCCTATTTCCTTGATTTTTAGCAAAAAAATATAAATATATCAACTTTAATTTTTTAACTTAGTTTAATATAAACTTTAGTATTTGACTTATTATACAGGGTTAATAGAAGAGTTGTTTTTTGACTCATATCAACACTTTCGTTAATTTTTAAGAGCAAAATGAACTTGCCATTTTTTGAATTATCACTACTTTTTGATATTATTCAGAGATATTATTCTTCATAATGAGGAGGTGGCTTTGGTGTATTTGTAGCTTCATTAACATTATGAACCGACGTTTAAAGACAGTTATAGCAGTCGGGGAGGCAATACAAAATATTGAGTATTTTTACAAGTTTTTTTTATTTGTACACTTAGTTATTACTTTGTTATTACAGTTATTTTTTTTAATATCCTAGTTTCTTTAGTGTTACTAATATTTATTAAAACCAAGCCTGTATCATTACATTTTAAAGTTTTTTAAATTTTAACATAGAGTTCTAATCAGTGTCGATAATATGACATTACGACCATAGCCACCTCGTGATATTAGCTTACTTCGGGTTTCTCTTATTACCGATTCTGAACTGTCCTAGAACTGTGATGCGTATGCGCAGAAGGAAATATGAAGACATTATTTCATTTGCGCATGCGCTGCAGAGTTCTAGGACGGTTCAGAATCGGTAATAACAAGAACCCGAACAAAGCTAATAAAAAATAACATTATAAAGTAATAATAGTTGAAAAAATTGCAAATTGTTGGTGGCAAGTTCATTTCGTTATTAAAAATTAACGAAGGTCTGTGTTCGCATGAGCCAAAAAACAAAATGCTCAGGAGACATGGTTCTGACAGAAAAATAATGTTTTAGGAAAAGGCACTCACGAAATTATTGCACAGGGTGTTTTAAAGTTAAGGTAAAAAACAACCTTTCAGTTAACTCTCTATAATAAGTCAAATATCAAAAATTTATAAAGAAACTGAGTTTGTGAATTAAAGTTGATAGATTTATATACAGCTTGCTAAAAAATTCATAAAAATAGGGCTAAAAAAAACCCTGTATGTTGACAAAAATATCTTCATAATGTGCTTACCTTTGCCCCCATATTATATAAAAAAAATATAAATGAAAATCACAAACCAAAAACCTAATATAGAGCTTTTTCGGAAGCCTGGTTCACCCTGTATATTGAGGGCGACCCGATATAAACTACCAAACATTATCATTCAAGAGGCAATTTTTAAGCCGTTTTTTTTCGATCACACGGTATACTGTCAAATCAACTTAACGTTATCTGAGGTCAAAAGGTCCTAAGTCTAATGGCACCAAAGAAAAGTAAAGCTCTCTTTCAAAACGTCATATATAAACATTATCAGGTTCAATGAAACAGATAAGAGCCAAGAAGTTATAGTAACAGTTCCTATAAAAATCTGTGTTTAACGGAAGAATGTTTAGTTTTGATGGGCATTTTAAGATTGTTATTTTTATGTCGCATAAATATTTATCTAAGTAGAGATCGTTTCAACCTAAAATATTGATCATGTCATTGTTTATTGTTACACAATTATCACTGCTTGCCATTCATTACAAATTAAAAGTGAGATTGTGAGTCAGTCTTCAAACTAAATTTTCTTTTAAATGTACTACAGGGTGATGCTAAAAAGTTTGTAATAAATAAGGGATTTTTTTACATGCGTTATTGAAAAAAGTTTTATATAGGGTGATTCACAGCTATCGCACGAACTACTACTGATAAAGAGTTACTGTCTGACAGGGTTCGGAAGTAGTTAATTAAGGCGTAATTTACCTGATGTGTAGTTATTTTTTTCAAAAACTACGTCTTTTCCCGTTCATTAACTAGGTACATGAAAACTACTTTAATAAACTACGTATTTATATTTCGATAGAAAAGCCATCCTATAAATAAAAATGTTAATTTTGATAGAAACATGTAATGCATAGGCTTTTTATTTAATAAAAGAATTATAAATTTATAAAAAAAAGAATACAGGGTGGCGCTCCCCATTCGTCTCGGTTGATTATACGAAAACGAAAAGATGTAAAAACAAATTTTTTTATGGGAATATGTGGGAAGGCAATTTGTCAACACCCTGTACATTGCTTTTCAGAATTAATTCTTGTGCTGATTTTTAAGCCCGAAAAATAAACTTTACTGATATTTTTAATTGCTTCGTTTAATGTATACAGGGGTATAGGTATATAAAAATTGCTGGTCTATTTTAAATATTTATTTTACATAAAAACTTCGTTATTTCAAATGAAACACTATGTATTTTTTTAAATAAGTCAGAGCAGATTTAAATAAGTCAGAGGTTTTAAACTATATTAGGGTTTCCTATACCTATCTGGCTCAGATTTTGAATAAAAAGCGATTTTTCAATAAAATTGTAATCAAGATGGCTGGTGTCGCCATGGCAATTTTCTAGTGACACTTAGGAGCTTAGTAGCGCTTAGTCACCCCCCCCCCCGCCACTGGCTAGTTTTATTAGCCTAACTCTTTCTATTGTCTTAAGACAGTCAAAAAAAATCCCTTTGATCTAAGCGGCCGATTTTTTTGCGCAAATAGGGGTATCGGAAAAGTTTGGCAGAATAAAATATATCGGTGACAGATGTGGAAAAACGACGGGTTACAAAGATTTAGCCGTTTAGGATAGGACTTTAAATAGAAAATTGTTAAAAATAAAAATAAATCCGATTAAAATTAAAAAAATCTGATTAAAATAAAAAAAATCGATTTTTTATATTTTTTTAAAAATCATGATTTTTTTGCACCCTGATCCGGGGACATACTACTCGTTACATCAATAATGTCTACTGATCACCAACCCTTTGTGCTTTTATTGCAGTATTGTGACTATTGTGATCCCCGTACACCTGGTAAGCACCATCCACCTGAACATGCGGTCGACGGCAAAGAAACCTGGTGGCAAAGTCCGCCATTGTCCAGAGGCATGAAGTACCAGGAAGTGAACTTGACCATCGACCTAGGACAGGTAAATCATATTCTATTTACCCTTTTTATTTGTATATTATTTAAAAATAGTCTATCCCATAACAATACATATCTATTAGCATAAATTATTAGTAATTGTTATCCTCTGTCATTTTAATTGGAAACCAAAACAGTTTATTTTTTTTTGGATGTCATCTGTTGAAATCATATATTCTCTCGTTAGACAAACTATTACATATTTATAGATAGTGTCACTACAATCTTTCTTGTACTTGTATTAGCATTTTATTTTGTCCCACTTTTAACAGGCGATAACATTTATTTTATTTTTGGAACCAGAGAACAATTCGGAAATTTTAATATTGTTAATTTTCTTAAGTGGATAAAATGCAACTAAAAGACGAATGTAATACAAATATTTATCCACAAATACATACACTATCGGACAAAAGTAGAGCAACAAAGTTCATTTTTATTCATGTTTGAATAAAAAAATATTAGGTTGTGATTTTCGGCTATGTTTACTAACACACTATCCTTACACTATTACTATAGTACTATTTTAGTACTAGTAGTATAGTACGAGTACTATTTTGGTGTACTTTTAATCAGTTTAAAAATAGTAAATAATAATGATTATAAAAATTGATGAGAATGGGGGCGACAAAAGTAGAGCAACAAATTGTATTCAACAGATTTTATTGTGTCTTATTTCAACAAAAAATATTTAACACATTTAAGAACAATAATAATTGAAAGTAATACGTCAGTAATTGATAGAATATCCATTATTATTAATAATTTGCTGACAACGGCGTGGCATTGAAGCAATCAACATCTGAATGACATTTTCGGGAACGTTCTGCTTCTTCCCAGAGATGGGGTTAAGGTCTGGGGATTGTGCTGGCCATTGCAAAACTCGAAAAAATATATAAAATAGGGTGTTTTATTTAAAAAAAAAACATGTTATATTCGCCACACTTTTTTAAAGCACCCTGTATACTCTATAATAATTTTAAAATGTGTATCTTAACCGTCCCTATAACTTTTAAATTTAATATTTTTTTGTAAACTTAAAAAAAAATGAGATAATGGACTTTACTCTATCGTTGACTCACCCTGTACTTATTGAAGAACTCCCGTATATGAAAATCGCCCAATCGCCAAATACAATGATGCAGAGTCTGGTGCTTCCTAACAGATTCGAGATAATGAGCCAAAACATCTGGTTAGGGTTCGAAAAACACGTGTTTCACATCTCAATTTATGGCATTCTGTAAAGGCGTCATTCTTGAAAGATTGGGCATTGAAAAAGCGACGAGTTTGTCGCGTTTAAAATCTTATAATTTTAGTCTGAATATAGTGTTTATCAATATAACTTATTTACAAATAAAAAAAATATTGCACAGGAATAAATAAAACAGAACATAAATAAAACAAAGTATTTTATTAATAATAATTTCAATAATTTACAAACAATTTTGTACACCAAACAAACCAAATCTCTACAGCATTAAGGGTCTATTACGCTGTACTTTAGGGTCGCTCTCAGGGGTCGGGTAAAGCGGGTGTGTGGGCGAAGGAAATATATATTATATTTCAGAAATCTGCCTAAAGCCGGAGTCTCATGCATCCGAAATCCGATGGTACGACATCCGAAATTTGAAGTTATCGTGTGAAATAAAAAAAGCCTGTCACATACATCCGAAAGTTCGTTCCGAAATTTGACAGTTTTGACATTTTTCTGCTGCGCTGAATAGAGATTCATGTCATGTTTTATTGGAGAAACACTTAAATAACTTCCTCGTCAAATATCCCGAAATTGCCCACTTCCCACTAAACTTGTTTTTAAAAACAAATGTTTTCAAAAAAAGTGAGGTTAAAAAACACACGATATCGTACAAAAGTTAAACAAAATTTAACTTTATACGACGTCGGATGATTAGTTAAAATTATCGGATAAAAATTGTTGTCAAAATATTTCGACCAATAGGAGCACCGTCGGATCGTCGTGTCATCGGATTTCGGATGCATGAGACTCCGGCTTAAGGCTTAGCCCCACTTAGCCCGATCCTGTCGTGTTAAGCCACACTCAAAATTCCAAGCACACGTGCTTTGATTAGGCTTGATTAAGGTTTGCAGAGCTTCAGCATTTGCCATAAAATAGCGAGCAATTTGTTACAAAACATTATAAATTATATATCACTGTAGTCACAAAACTTCAATCTATTTCCGTATTCTCACGGAATTTTAAATTATTTCTTTATTTTCCAGAAAATTTGGTCCAAACATAAGAAATATTTTGTTGAAGTTTGGCCATCAAAATCTTAAAAATAAAGAAGTTGTCTAAAAATGTGCTACAATCTATACTAATATACATATACGAAAACCCTGTATATATATAGGTAGTTTTAGTTTAAAATATTGTTACTTCGCCGAGAGAAGAATCATAAAACTATTTTTATCGTAGAATTCCGACAGACATGTCTTTATTTTGGTTGGAAACTAACAATGAACTAATTTTACGTAAACATGATTTTTATTCTATACCAACGAAAATTTAGAAGTTAGTATCGAAAAATACCATTTTTTAAACACAAAACAATATAAAATAACAAATAATAAGAATATTTCGCATATACCTATGTAAATGTAAACACCCAGAAGAAATAAAAAAAATATATTTTAAAGGTCTATAAATAAGATTTCCTATGAGCAATTTAAGTAAATTACACTTTGTTATACAAATGTATACATACAAGAATTAGATCATACTGTCAAGGCTAAATGGCAATGTGTATTATTTGATTTGGCGGATTTTCGACGAATTTTTTCAAAAACCCAGTCTTTATTACGTAATCATTGCCTAGCAATATGATTGAAAATGTGTAATAAGAAGGTAATAAGCAATATCATTGTGAATTTGAAATAAAAAAAATATTTTCTACGCACTTTTTTAAATTAAAAAAAAATATAAGTTAGTTAAAACAGAAGATTTTAGAAAAAAAATGAGTTTTTAATTTTTTTCATATTGTTCCACCATTTCAACTGAGTGTAAAGGACTATAAAAGACATTTTCTGACGATTTTTAGTGAGTGACATATTTTACAAAGGTTAAAAAAAATACGATTTTAATTTTTTTTCCTCCGCTAAAAATCGTCTTTTCGTTTAAGAATCATGATCAGATTATTTTTGCATGTCTCAGACTTGTTAGAATTAGAAAAAAATCATCATTAATTAATTTTCATTTTTATTATAAAAATAAAAATAAAATTGAAAAAACAGTTTTTTTTAAATCTCGAAAACCGTTTGAGTTAAAGAGCTAAATCTTATTTTTACGTGAGGAATCTCCCCCACGAGAGATGGCACATGTTTTTTGAAACACCCTGTATAATATACATTATCTATTATCTCCATTCTTGGCACATAATTGTAATATTCTAACGTAAATATTTTTTGAAGAATTATTCGAAATTGGAGTTGAATATACGAGGCTGAATTGAAAGGCTGTATTGGAAAATAAAAAATAATAATCTTATAGAGGCTGTTAAAAGGTCGGACAAAACAAAAAAAGTTAACAATTATTGTACAATGAAATCAAAAATTCTTTTGACGTTATTTGATATGAGAACAACATCAAGTAGGCGAGAATCGGCGTTTCCCGGATTTTGTTTATCTATATTTGTCATTCAATCTGGTTTAGTCCGGAAGTTGTAATATGTAGAGCAACGTTTTTTTTTCTTGCATGCTCTTTCAAATCGTTTTTATATGCTGATATCGATACAAAAAGTCGGCTAAAAATAAAAGTTGATTATTGAGCGAAATTTTACACATTATTCAATGACCTGGGGAATATTTCTTTAAAGTATTTACATATACAGGGTGGTCCGAACTGTATTCCGGAAACTTCGGCAGCATATTCTGCAGATAAAAATAAGTAAAAAAGTTTGTATAACTGTAGGCAGGGTCCGGAAAACTACATGTTACTTTTAAAAACTACATAAACTACATTACATGTAGTTAATGTAGTTTATGTAGAGGGTGGACTTTATGTAACATATGTATGTAAACTTTCAAATATCAAAGGTTTGAAGTGAGGTTATAATAAGTTGAAACTTTAGAAAACACAATGTATTTAAGAAAACAGAAGAAATATGGCTTTTAATATAATATTCACACATCATTATTATATATATTAATATAATATTCACACATATTATAACATAATATAATATTCACACAAGAATATTATATTATATAATATTCACACATACTTTATTAACGTAGTTTTCATGTAGTTAATGAACGGGAAAAGACGTAGTTTTTGAAGAAAAACTACACGTATAAATTAAACATATTGACTAAATAGTTATTATCAAAGTAAAACCTCTAAAGGCGGGTAAGGGGAAAAATAGTTAGTTAAATAGTTATTAGACTGAAATCATAAATTTGAAATGTTTTTGTGTCAAAAGTTCAACAGAGACTATTTTATCATAATTTTTTCGCAGAAAAATTTATGATTAATTTAAAAATTAAAAATTTCTCAGATTTATTTTTCAGTCAAATAACTATTTACTCAACGTGTTTATTTTTTGACAATAATGACATGTATTGACTATTTCCATTCTAAATATCTTGAGAATGGTTGCTCGTAGCGATTTTTACCAAGAGACATTTTTTACGTAAAAAAATCAGGGAGATGTATATTTTTTCACTCGGTAGTTTTATACAGGCACGGACGAAAAGTTATTACTCTTCATAACAGTAAAAAAATATGTAGGTGGCGTTCTCTACAAGTAGGAGTCATATTGACATCAAAATCAAATTTCTCATGTCAATAAACTCCCAGACACCAATTTTCATCAAAATATTGACGTTACTTCAAAAATTATTAGGAAAAAATCGAAATAAACCACCCTGTATACAGGGTGGTCCGAACTTGCATACGTTTAAAGATACAGGATGTTAGACGGTTAGACCTTAAAAAAGTGTTTTTTGCAATTATTTTCTTAAATACTATTATTTTTTTTTAATTTGCTCTTGGCAGCACACTGAACACCAATGGTATAAATTTAATTTGTTATTAGGTATTTTAATACTTTTTTTTTAAGAAAAATATTTTTGAGGTATCGAATGAGATTGATATTATCACAGCTTATTCAGTACGAGCTGGTCATCTTCGCTTGTTTTGGAGTATCCGCGTTAGTAATGAGCGAGGCTGGTCTTGTTTTGGTCTTGCTTTTTGTGCCAGACTAAGACCACGACCAGTCTCATCACTATTGATCTCTGACTAGTGTTGTAAATGGAAATATTGGAAATTTCCAAACGTCTCGGAAATATTGGAAATATTGGGAATATTGGAAATATTTTAAGAAATACTTAAATCTTGTCATTAACGATTCAAACCCGATGTTTATTAATATATCTTTCATATTTTGTAACCCTATAAACATTAAACTTACTATAGAACAGTTTTACAAACATATAATATGGTGAATATATCGAGTTTGAGGATTCACCAACTTATTTGCAACCTCGCATTTCAACGGGGAAGTCCCGAGCTCGTAAGTCGTAGCGTAGTAAAAACTTACTGGTCTTCAATTTTGACCAATTTAAAAAGTGTATACAATACTAGGCTCAGTTTACAAGGAGTTGCAGTTAGCCAAGAAGCAACACAAATGATTGATAAAAATGTTAAGCAGTGAATATTAGATGACGAAGTATTTTGGGCCCAAATTTCCAACGTAATTAACATTTTTGAACCTATTGGCAAATGGTTAAAAATTGTAGAAGGAGATTATAGCACCATTCATTTTGCTGTAAAAGCATTTTTGATATTAGAAGGGTAATTCAGAATAATCTTGCATTGTCCTAACTTGACGACAAAGAAAAATCCGAATTGTTGGAGTTTGTTGACAAAAGAGAAAAAATTGCTATTAAACCCATTCATTATGCTGCAGAATTACTAAATCCAAAATCGCAAGGTTCTGAACTTGATGAAACCCAAACTCTTTCTGCCATAGAATGCATACTTAATATATCAAAAAATAAACTCAATACAAAGGAGCAAGAAATAATAGATGAAATAGCAGATTACCGTTGTAGAAGTGACAAGTTATTTGGAAATAACTTCTTATGGAAAAGTAGTTTTGATAACCCAGTCTCCTGGTGGAAAGGACTGTGCTCTTCATCTTCATTATCACAAGTAGCTTCACGAATGTTGATGATGCCAGCATCTTCGGCTGCCACGGAACGCAGTTTTAGCGTTTATAGTCATATTCATTCAAAAAAGAGAAACAGGCTTACTAATGATAGAGCCGCTAAGCTACTCTATGTACCCCACAATGAAAACTTGCTGAAGAAAATAGGAAACGGCAATAGATCAATTTTTATTTCCGATACTATTGAAGATTTTAAGGAAGTAGACTGGCAAGAAGATGTTATTGAGTGTGATGCTGATGACAGCGATAAAGATATGCCTCTTGCTCGACTAGTGTGTCAAATATAATTTTTTTTGTATAAATTTAACCTTAATTTATTTTTTAATTTGAAGAATAACTCTTTATTTGTGTTTATGTATAAGCATTTTGTGTTTTGCAATGTTTTGTTATGATTTTTATAAATAAATATTTCATTTTTTTTTATTTTTTAAAATATTTCATATATTTCCAATATTTCCAATGCCTTCAGGAAATATTTCCGGAAATATTTCCGAAAATATATTTCTGGAAATTTTACATCACTATCTCTGACACTGTATTTACAGGAGTTCCACGTGGCCTACGTGTACATTACGATGGGTAATTCCCCTAGGCCTGGCTTATGGGTTTTGGAGAAATCTGCTGATTATGGAAAAACCTACACGCCGTGGCAGTACTTTTCCGATTCCCCTGCAGATTGCGAAACCTATTTTGGCAAAGAATCTCTCCAGCCAATCACGAGGGACGATTCCGTCATTTGTACCACCGAATATTCGAAAATTGTACCATTAGAAGGCGGAGAGGTAAGATATGAAAACTATACATACACACTGTGTGCCGAAACTTTCGTTTTAGTTTAATCTTTTTTACGAAAGCGTAGAGCTGCCATCCCAACAATGAAATATAATTTTAGCAAAATTTACACTTTTTCTGTAAATTTACAGATTTTCTGTAAATTTACACTTTTTCTGTATGTGTTAAATTTACACTTTTTCTGTAAATTTACACATTTTCTGTAAATTTACAGATTTTCTGTAAATTTACACTTTTTCTGTAAATTTACAGATTTTCTGTAAATTTACACTTTTTCTGTAAATTTACACTTTTTCTGTAAATTGCATGCGAAATTTACTACCCAGCAGAATGACGTCTCGGCATCGACCTGCTCGTTACTCACGTTACAAGTGAGCATTGTTCTCCGCTGATTAAGTTGCTATTGTGCCTAAGTAGTACATATATTCATCAGAGATTATGGACGAATACATTAAAACCTACTTTCATATCGGATTAAGTCATAAAGAAATTTTGACATGTCTGCTAGAGGATGGTTATGTTAAGTTTACATCATTTGCAGACGACAGTTTACGTCATCCCAGAGGTGGAGGCCATCAGATCCTCTTGCAAACAGTAATGCATCGGAAAGGGTGAAAATACTTTCCGGGTCGATTAAAAGCATATTAGAAAACATATTAAACAAAAAAATGCCATACTATTATATCATACACATTCGAAATTTAATACATAATCCCTAAAATAAGAGATCACCCGATTTTCTGTACTATGTTAGACCAGGTTCAGTATAGACGATGAGGAATAATTCTTCAAGTATTTTTGAAGAGAGTGTGGTTTCAGAACAAAATATATCTTTGAATATACTGGGATATTGCTTAATCTTTTCATATAGTCCGCATGTCTTCAATCCTTCAATTAATTGCCGCAGTGGTTCCCTAATTCTGTCTTTACTAGTAAAGACTTTTGTGAATAAACTGGCGTAGAACAGAATTCGATGGGAACTACTCGTAGAATAACGCACCACTGTTGCCCTAACGCATAAATTAACAGAAAAAGTGTAAATTTACAGAAAATCTGTAAATTTACAGGAAAAGTGTAAATTTACAGAAAATCTGTAAATTTACAGAAAATCTGTAAATTTACAGAAAAAGTGTAAATTTTGCTAAAAATATTTTTCAATGTTGCGATGGCAGCTCTACGCTTTCGTACTTTTTAAATCATTTTTGGTTATTAAGTTATTAGTCCGAGATCCCAGGGCCGCCAGATTTTACTTATTTTCTGTTCTGTTTTTATCTACTTTTAGTCCCTGGTACCTAAACTCTTATTAAACAATGCACATTACAGTTGAGGGTTGGAACCTTTGGTGTTACACAGCAAAATAAAAACACTAAATCACCACAATACACCAAAACACTTTTACTTTTACACTGGACGCGCGTTTCGCTAACCATGATTATAAACTAAACTAGTTTATAATCATCTGCTGATGATGCTAACATGGTTAGCGAAACGCGCGTCCAGTGTAAAAGTAAAAGTGTTTTGGTGTATTGTGGTGATTTAAACAATGCACATACTAAAGCCTAATTTACACGTGTCAAGTAGCTAAAGCAAGTTACTAAATTTAGTGACCTGCATGGTGTAAACAACCCAATTAATACTTGCGCAAGTAACAGATTTAGTAAACTGTTTAGTCAACTGAATAGAAACGATTCCTATTTACTTGCGCAAGTGTTCATCCCCACCTCTGTTTTTGAGCAACTAAAGCGCAGACTAAACAAGTGTAGACCGGCCAGTTTAGTCAAGTTCATTAGTAAAGACTACTAGCGTTTATTTTTTTTTTTGAATTATTAATAATTAATTTTGTCTCTTGAATAAGTTTGTACAGAAATATCGTGATGCTTATGGGATACAAGGGCTGCCATTTATAAAAATAAACAAGCTCGGGACTTGAATAAGTTTGTAAGCGGTCTCTTGAATAAGTTTGTACAGAAATATCGTGATGCTTATGGGATACAAGGGCTGCCATTTATAAAAATAAACAAGCTCGGGACTCGGGACACAGCGTATAAGGAAATTGAGGAGATCATGGGTATAGAAGGATTCGGATTTCATGAAATAAAAAACAAAATAAAGCATTTATGAAATCGGGAGCAGGTTCGATGGATATTTATGTCCTCAGTGTAAAATCCCGTTTAAATCAACAACTAAACATCAATAAAAATTAAAATGTAGACGCTCACTAAAATGAACGGGCTAAATTTTAGCTACTTGATTGTAGCTTGCTTTAGCTACTTGGTACGTGTAACTGCGGCTTAATACTATGAAACTTGAAAATAAGTAAGGTCTGGCAACCTTGGCTCTTTATTAAAGACCAAATCCAAATATTATTATTGTTTGCCTTCTGTTAACTCTTTAATGTTGAATAAAAATGCCAAAAAGGTGCGTATACACCAAAGAAAGATTGGCAAACAGGATCCTAAACGTTTGTAAATGCTTGTAAATGTTTGAAAACTACAAATAACTATTTTTTTAGATACCAATAGGAGTTCTGAAACATAGACCATCCGCAACGCACTACTTCAATTCGACAGTTCTGCAAGAATGGACCAGGGCCACCAATGTGCGTTTCAGATTCCTCAGAACAAAAAATCTTTTGGGTCATCTAATGTCCGTGGCTAGACAAGATCCCACCGTTACCCGTAGGGTAAATACCTTTGTTTTTAGTTCTTTTATTCTCACACAAGGCGATAAAGATATTTGAGCGCACCTTGAGTAAATAGTACAAATATGTACAAATAGTGTCTTTTTCTGTTGTAGTACTTTTATTCCATCAAAGATATCAGTATAGGAGGAAGATGTATGTGTAATGGACATGCCCAGACCTGCGATATACCCGATCCTAAAGATCCACGAATTCTAATGTGCAATTGCCGGCATAATACTTGTGGTTCCAAATGTAACGTCTGCTGTCCTGGATTCGAACAAAAAGCCTGGAGACAATCGAAATACGATGATCCCTTTAAATGCGAACGTACGTACTATTTATTATACAGGGTGTTGTATAGTGTGTCTTAGAGAATTAGAATTTTGCAAGTTTTGACTTCGTCATATAGGAAACCAACATATTTTTCAGTGTAAAAACCGGCACGAAAAACGGGCACTTTAACATTTTGATGTTTTTTAAAGTTTCATATACTTTGTTCTAGTCGGCCGATTTTGATGATTTTTTAAGCAATATGTAGCTAAGTTATTTGACTTTTTAGTGTCTCTTTCTAAATTAAAAATGAAAGTTCCCATCTGTTATACGAGGGAAAACAAAATGTTGATATTTTAGGGATAGTTTGAAACACACTGTGGAATAGAACAAGGAATTTAAAAATCATTTTATCATCTAGGTACATCTTTTCCAGTGAACAAAGTTTTGTCACATTTCGGGAACGTTAGGGAACAGTTACGTATCTGCATTTTATTGCTTTTCATATTATGCAAAAGACGGGCCTGGTAACGTAACGACTTCACCTAGCACATTTCCCTTAAAGGAATAAAATGCTCACTGGGTTTCTCCAACTATATATTTGCTATAGCTTTATTTTTGTTGGAGATAATCGCTTTTCGTAACTTTTACATTAAAACCATGCCTTTGCTTTGGTCCTAGTCAACAGACCTATGGTAATCGCAAAACAATTTCCGATGCCCATGATCAACTTTGAGTGAGAAGCGATGGCGACAGCGCTGCCCGATTGTGATGGATTTATGAGATGAATCTTAATTTAAAATTGACAAACAACATATTTATCATGTCATTTTTTTTTTGTTTTCAAGAGTTTTACGTTTTATTTTTAATTTAATAGCTAATATTTTAGTAACTAATTGATTTATTTGTTTTATAGCGTATTTTACTTATTACATATTGGCAAAAACTAGACCATTATGAAGATTATTCTAAGCGTTATTGTGAGTTATTTATTTATTTATTTATTGATGTACATCTTACAACGCCATATGTGGCAGTAACAAGTAAGAGGGTGCTATTAATGTACAAACTAATAATCACAGAATTTAATAAAAACTAACTTGGTGAAAGTGGTATAATGTGCTTATCAATCAAACTTATTTCTCTGAGTGCAGTCAATGGTAATAAACGACTTTTATTGTTACGTTCTCGTTCAAATTGTTTATCAGGGAAGCTACAAGCTCTTTGCTTTGATTGTATAAATGCTTCGGCATATTTTCAACACACAATTTCAAGAAATGCAATACAAAAACTCGAAAATTTAGTTTCTAAAACAACTGTTTGTGCTTAAAAGTGCAATTTTTAAACAAAGACTACGAAAATACCCAAAAAAAAGAAAATTGCTCACAAATATTCAACAACAATACGATATTATATAAAATAATGACTGACATTAGGATAATTGTCAAATAATAAAGGACGGCATTGCTGAACACGCAATGTGACCAACATAGCGGTTATAAAATTCGGTTTAAACAAATTGCAGCTTTAATCTAAATAAAATATCTGTCACAATCATTTGCTCTATAAAGTAAAATGAAGAGCTGCTCGCTATCTTAAATTATACAACAAATTTAAACATTTTTGCCAAAATGTCATTTAGTCGGGTTTATAGACTTTAATGTCAATGTCGATATGATTGATGACGTACATCGGAAAATGTTTTGCGATTGCAATAGTAAGTTGTAGTCCCGAAACAGGCCTTCTTAAAATAAGATTTGCTTCGTTTAATCTTCTTCTTACAGTCCGTCACTGGCATGTACATTCCTTAGTGATAAACTTGCAATAAGTTGATCGTCTCGATTCGAAGTTCTCATAGGAAGGTTCCTGGACGTCTAGCATATGAACTTGTCTCGAGGAAGCGCCTGCGTTGTACTTTGTGCCCACCTAAATATTTTAGCGACATAATTTTGATCTCTATCATTTTCAATTAAAGCAACTATAGCGGATACAACTTCTGGAAATCATCTCTGCTAGAGGAACTGCCCAACAGCCAATAGACAATAATATGATTTTTCAATAACAGTTACATTACATAAATCATAAACACTATTTCATAGGTTTGTTGACTGGGACCAAAAGCACAGAGATGGTTTTAATGTACAGTTTACGAAAAAATGTTAGTGTCTTGTAAATATATAATTTCCAGCTTGCAACTGTTTTCAACACTCAAACGAGTGCGTCTACGATGCGGAGATCGACAAAAAACACCTTTCCCTAGACATTTATGGAAACTACAAGGGAGGTGGTATCTGTCAGAACTGTAGACACAACACCGAAGGTATCAATTGCAACAAGTGCAAGCCTAAATTCTTCCGGCCCTACAACAAACACTGGAATGAAACCGACGTGTGCCATCGTAAGAACTTTTTTTCCAACAATTAACGCAGTTTTTTCTAACATACCTTTCTATTTGTAGCCTGCAATTGTGATAATTTCTATTCAACCGGAAACTGCGCAGAAGGATCGGGACGTTGTGAATGTAAAATACAGTTTACTCCGCCAAATTGCGATTCGTGTAGTTTCGGGTACTACAGCTATCCCGAATGTAAGCCTTGCGAGTGCTTCATCAACGGAACGGTTGATCTTCAATGCTCCTACACTGACGGAACTTGCCATTGTAAAGAGAACTTTGACGGAAAAGACTGTAAGGAATGTTCCAGTGGATACTACAACTTTCCAGAATGTACTGGTAAGTATAGCTCCGGTTAAAACTAACACGTACCTATTTAAGAAGTTACTACATTAACTTGAATATAATTGAATTGTATATTTATTGTATTTTAACCAAATTACAGCTTGTGAATGTGACGCAGTGGGTTCAGACACAGAATCCTGTGACCAATCCTCTGGAAATTGTACATGTAAAGCCAACTTTTCTGGACAGAAATGTTCACAATGCCAGGATGGCTTTTTTGATTATCCATCTTGTAAATGTAAGTTAAAACTTTATATAGCCTTTTTAAATGGAGCATTTTTTTTATTAATGTGATTTTTTCAGATTGTAATTGTGATATTAAAGGAACAAAAGATGGTATTTGTGATAAAGGTACAGGCAAGTGTATTTGTAAGGAAGGATATGGTGGGGAAAGGTGCGATGTTTGTGTATTTGGTAAGTAAAAAAAAATATTTTATACGATAAGGACGTGTATGAGATATAGTCTGTGAAACGAATAACTTTGAATTTGACAGTTCCCGCGGTCTTTTCTAGTGTTAATTTTATTAGCTTAGCAACTTGCAGCCATGCTGAAGCAATGCCGTCTCTAATAGAACAGCCTCGGAGCGAGATTTATGACGTCACACTAGTTAGATTTTACGGATTAATAAATGTGTTGTAGAATACATGGAAAACATAATTATTCCTCGTATTTTTGGTTTGTATTTTAAAAATGATATAGTTTACATGAAATATACATAATTTACAGTTAATAAATACAATATATATATATACCTATTTATAGTAATAAATACTTTGGCAAATAAACTATGAATCATACAAATACAACAAATACACACAAAAATCACAACCTACCAAAATAATAATAATATTATTAAATAATTAATAATAAATACATCATTAGTAGGTATTGAATGTTTTTTTGTTAAATTAGATCGATTTTCAAACCTCAAAATTTAAAATATATTTTACATTTTACCCATTATCTTATGTCCCTATTTATTATTTGTATATTGTAAAACATTTGCTGCATTTGTATGGTTCATAGTTTATTTGCCAAAGTATTTATTACTATAAATAGTTATATATATGGTATTTATTAACTGTATATTATGTATATTTCATGTAAACTATATCGTTTTTAAAATACAAACCAAAAATACGAGGAATAATTATGTTTTCCATGTAGTCTACAACATATTAATCCGTAGTATCTAACTAGCGTGACGTCATAAATCTCGCTCCGGGGCTGTTCTATTAGAGACGGATTTGGTCTGATATTTAGAAATGTCAAAAGCTGATATGGCATTTTACTTTTGACAATTATGACATTTCGTGTTGATTTTTGGAAGAAGAGGAAGAACTGTCACTTGTTCTATTATCTTCCTTTTCTATTTCACGAAAGTAAAAAGAGTTACCTATCTGATTCGTTCAGTTAGGTTCACTCAATTTAAAGAATATCAGTAACTTTTTTGGTAGAGGGATTTTATATTTGCCATGTTGGTAAAAAATAACGGTCAAAATTCAAAGTTATTCATTTTATAGACTATACCTATTGAACATTGGAAACCGACGTTATGCCACGATGGATTTTGCAGTTCACAGTTCACACAGTGTAAGTTTTTTTAATGCCACTTTTTCACAGTTATCACGGGTATCACTGTTTAAATTTTTAAAGATTTTATAATTTTTGAAGATTCTGACTTTGACAAGAGAAAATTCGTTCTGTTCTTTTTTGCGGTTGTTCTTAGCAACCGCTATAGCAGCGCCAGATCCCGTACAACGTATGCGACCCAAAACAATTATACGTTTTTGCTGGAAGCCGAGTATTCCAATCTAAATTTATTTCCTTTATCTATGCATAACTTATAAGCTTTCTATAATTAGGTTTCTATGGATACCCTGACTGCAAGCCTTGCAGCTGTAACAAGGTGGGCTCTCTGGGCGACATCTGCAATGCTCTTGGCAAATGCAACTGTTTGGATAACTATGCCGGTCGTACATGCGATCAATGCAGTCCTGGATATTACAGCTATCCAGAATGTAGACGTGAGTATATTTCAGATAATACCTACAGGGGGTTTTTCATTAAAAGTTACTTAAGACGTAATTTAGACACAAATTTGAACGTTTCAAGTAAAACATTCTTTTTTATATTTGTTTTTATTAAAAATTAATATATTTTTTGCAGCTTGCGAGTGCGACACTCTAGGATCTCTCGGACTGTCATGTGACAATGACGGAAAGTGTAGCTGTCACGACCATTTTGCAGGTTTGAAATGTAACCAGTGCAAAGAAGGATTTTACAATTTCCCCACCTGTGAAGGCAAGTATAAGATTTACAAACTAAAAAACAAAATCAGAAATGGGAAATAAATTGTCATTTACACTAAATTTTAATTAATATCTATACCTTTACCTTTTATTAGGTATTTTTAAAAATTCTCTTGGTAAATGGATTCACTTTTACTTGGATGTAACGCTTGTCGTGTTTCTTCAGCTTATTGTAAAATTTCCTCCTTTTTAATGGAAACGTACTCGAACATGTGCCGAATTCGTACAAAAGGCATTTTTTTGACAAAAAACTGAACTCGATTGACAACGACTATCAATTTATAAACAGGATTGGAAAGTGCCCATAAGGACAATGTAAACACTATTTGGCGCTATTCTTGCAACGGTCGCGATCCAAAGGTTTTGAAAATTTCGGAGCGGTTCGCCTTTTTCCGGAATTATATCGCCAAATATTATTTATTCAAATTTATTATTATTTTCTTTTAATTTTATAAATAAAATATAGTGTGTTGCATAAAGAAACTTTATTTTCTATAAGGACATGTATTGGAAACCGACGTTATGTCCATAGATAAAAGAAAATAATCTACTATTAAGATAGATATGAAACTTAATAGTAAAATTTTGGGTCAAAGCGCCCCTCCGTGTTTTTAGTAGAGACTACGTTTAACCCAGCGCCTTCGCCTTTTCTGCTGTAAATGTTTTTTTTTGTTTATATTTGAATCCAAAGGATTTATTTTTAAAGTTACACTGATATATTCATAGACTTAAAATAAAATATAGACTGAGCATCTCATTCATAAATAGCTGGAACATGCGGTCAGACAATGTCTTGTTATTGTTTTAGGTTATAACGAGTGCGACACGAGCGATAGATAGGTTGTCTCTGTCGTAACGGTCGTTCCCTGACGACTCTGCCGAGAAACACAACACTGTCTTTCGTTTCTCAAGTATACCTGAACTCTCCGTATCATAGCCGGGTATTTTTTTATTTTAATGAAGCTATAATTAAATTAAAAATATATCGTATTTAAACTTTTTTATATTTTATTAAGATTTAGGACAGGTTTTTTTAAATAACAGTTTAGAAAAAACGTCTTAGAGTCCAAAAAGAATTTTATAATCGAAATTGCGTAATTTCTGAAATTAATAATAAATTATTAATTTTAGTCAAACATTTACAACCCCTAATATTAATCAAAACAGGATCTATTCCACAGATATAATAGAATCGGCGACAGGGAGAGAAAAAAAAATATGATTGTTGTAATTTTTTTTCTGGTTAAGTGATGTCTTATGTAAATTAGAGAAAACATAAATCTGTTCCATTAAAGCAAGGAAGGTGATAGGAAGTGGATAAAATGAAAACTACATTTATTTAACTCGGTACTGTCTTTATTATACCGGGTGCGTCCCAAAAGTGGCTCATCCCCATAATTTTTTTATATTTTCAAATAAAAAAACAAGATTTAGTATGTTAGTATATGACATAAATTAGGATTGATTGACGCATTCAATTGTTTTTGGTCACTTCCTGTTTCACCGGAAATGACTTTTAATTTTTAAACGGCACCCTCGGTATATTTCTACTTTATTCGATAGAAAATGACACTCTGAATAGAATGACATATCATATGTCAACTTTTTGACATTGCATATGGTTTTTGACATCGCATATGGTTTAATTGTAATTGTAACACGCTGTTCATAACGACAATTTGACTCGAAATACCAAGTATGTGATATCAATATATTCATAAAAAAATGCTTTTTCCAAATATCCTAATGAGTCACCCTTGTTCCATTTGAAAAAATTGACATATGTATGATTAAAAATACGATTTGTACATCTTTTAACCGGCCTAGACAAGACACGATACCCATTAGACGATCAAAACTATTTTTCCAAGGCTCCTTGATTAAAACTTAGTGTTTTTAACAACACCATGGCACCCTGGATTGAAATTTAAAATAGGATTTGTTTTTAAGCGACAATGTCAAAAGTTGACATATGATATGTCATTCTACTCAGAGTGTCATTTTTTATCGAATAAAGTAGCAATATACCGAGAGTGCCTGTAAAAATCAAAAGATGTAATCATTTCGGTGAAACAGGAATTATGTCATATACCTACTAACATACAAATCTGTTTTTTTTTATCTGGAAAAATAAAAAAGTTATAGGGGTGAGCCACTTTTGAGACGACCCGGTATATTAAAAAATATTGTTTTATAATGTAATATCATTTTAAAATTCTTGTATGTTATTTTAGATTCTGAAGATAATTTTAGAATAAACCGGAATATATTTTTAATAAAAACATTATTAATTATTAACAGGGTTATAATTATGATTTTGTTACAATGTAAGTAAGTAAATAATGTAATGTAAGAGAAAAAAATTCAGATTTTACATTTTACTAAAATATTATCTAAATAAGCGCCTTTCTACAACAACGCCACTGACTCCCAATGGGTAAATTGAGAGTTGCCTACCGGTTAAAAGTCGTTTCAAGACTTAAATGGATTATTTAAGTCAAATTTCTTGCAAATTTGGCACTGGCGAACCATATTTTATAGTTCTTGAACAGAAAAAGTCAATAAAATAAACACTTAAGGACTACAAGCTAAGAAAATGCGTTAATACAGCCGGGGACATAGCGGCAACAAAGCTTTACCGCACACGTGCGACACGTACTACAAGGTAATAAATGAATGAATAGGCTCCCTCGCCTCTAATCGGTGTTGTCATATTGTAAAGAACTTATCCTTTTTAAACAGTATCCATCTATGGAATATTAAAACCTACTTTATTAAACTGTAGTATTAATATCTCAATATATGTGTATAACAAGAAAAAAAATATTGATAATATTAAAGACGTGACAACATAGGCTGGATGAGGAAGGCTCGGTCGACTGTACCCAGAAGTAAATATGTGTACAAAAAAGATTGTTTGTCCGCGTTGAGATGTAAATAGTGTAGTCTATATTTTATTTTAAGTCTATGGATATGTACATAGGCTGGATGAGGAAGGCTCGGTCGACTGTACCCAGAAGTAAATATGTGTACAAAAAAGATTGTTTGTCTGCGTTGAGATGTAAATAGTGTAGTCTATATTTTATTTTAAGTCTATGGATATGTATATCTATTATTATATGTATATCTATTAATATCTATATTTAAGGACAAACAAAATGTTAGCTATGTTGTTAGCTATGTATTTACCAGTCTAAATGATACTAGGCATGCAATTTATATCCGGTATTTCTCCTAGATGTTTCCCTCCCTTTGAAATGAACAAGTTATAGCCATTTTCGGTTTAACAGGAAGAGATAAAAATAACAACTGTATGCCAATCAACGCATATTTATGTAACAAACCAACCAACCAACCAGTTAAAACTGCCTCCTTGCCACCCACTTCAACAATTCAAGTTTTGTATGAAAAACTAATCTTCTCAAATTGAAGTTTTCCAAGAGTAAATTATCAGCAGCAATAATTTCATCGGGGTTTACAATAATCTTAGAAGCCATAATTCTTAAGTTATAATAGTTGTTTCAGCTTAATTATAATTATATTCTGTATTATTCCCTATAAATCTTACCCGCCCCGCGAATGGGTAGTCGTTTGTTATATAAATTAAATGTCTAGTAATAAATTAAATTTCTAACAATTTAAAACAAGCAATCACTAAATTCCGTTAAAAAGTTAATGTGTTAAATGGCAACGCCGCATATGATCGTTAACGGTTGCCTGACGACTCGCTTTATTTTCGTCGGCCTAAACAGCAGGTTTACCAAAACTTGAATTAAACTCACAAGATAGCAATAATAAAGTAAACGCCACGAATGTTTGGGAGTGATTCATCGCTTGATGAAGTTAGAATCGACACGCGCGCTATCATTTTTACATTAAAAACGTAAATTTTTACCGCAGACGTAGGTTTTTAAAGGCCCAGTCTAATCATCTACCTGCGCTCCTCCTACTTATTCTAAAATGTTAGCGTGATTGACAAAGAAGATACTATATCGCGTTTCTTTGATTGATTCGTTTTTGTGCGTCAGTCCATTGGTGTGCTTGCAGTGCGACCAATGGGGCATTCCATTTTATATTTATAATCAAAAATATGTTTTGACAAGACTTTGACAGTTAAAACAACAAATTACAACAGATAATATATTGATTATTATATGACTTGAAACACCACGGCACTGGAAGTAAGTTTTATGTGACCTTGAACAGATTAGTTCACATGGTAGCGACCGATGAATCACTCCCAAACATTCGTGGCGTTTACTATACTTTGAAAATGGACGCTATAAACACTTTTCGGAATTTCTTCAATGAGAGCGGTTTATATTTTGAAAGATTTTATAATTTTTGAAGATTCTTACTTTGACAAGAGAAAGTTATTTCTGTTCATTTTCTGTTTTTGTTTGCAGTTTTCTTAGCAACCGCTATAGCAGCGCCAGATTCCATATACAACGGTCGCGACCCAAAATAATTTCGCGACCTAAAATTTTTACGGACTTTCCAATCTAAACTTGTTTCATTTATCTATGTAAACAGGTCATTAAATAATTCAATAATCATTTAGTAACCTGGCAACAAACATAGTTTTCTAAAGGTTTTCTACAAGCAGCGTTAATACAAATATACCGGGAGATTAATAAATGCAACATTTGTGTCGTTTTAAAATGGAACAAAATATACTAAATTCAGTAATAAATAAAATTATCTATGTACCATGGGAATTATAAAGTGTCAATAACCTCGGGCAATAAGCGTCCCTCGGCCCATAGGTCCTCGTGACAGAAACCTTGTCCTCGGTCATTAACGCCTTTAAAATTCCCTTGATACATAAATAACTATTTTGAAAGAAAATAACTATTAGTTTCGCCATTATCAAAGTAATATATATTTACTTAAACTCTGTTTTTCTGACTCATTTCAATCAAATGAATTGATCTTTGAGTGCAGGATTAAAGAAGGAGAAAATGTTTAAAAGTTTGGTTTTATTCTTTTTTAGATTGTAACTGTCATCCAGCCGGTGTCGTGGAAGGTTTTGCTGGATGCGGTTCTGTTCCAGCAGGTGAATTATGTGAGTGTAAGGAGCGAGTCGAAGGACGCATATGTAACAAGTGCAAGTAAGTACCGTATGATAGAAAAAATTGGTCAAGTGCGAGTCGGACTCGCGCACGAAGGGTTCCGTACCATTCATTATCTATACAACATTAGACACTATATTATTATAAACTTTTTTTCCTATTTAGCTGAAATTTTAAATGCGCGTATAACTAATTTAAAAAAAATGAAGAAACACATTACTAAAAATTGTATTAATCAATAATAAATATGTAAAAAGTAAAAATAAATATGTAAAAATATGTAAAAATTAAAAAAAACGATTAAAAAAAAGTCGCCTTGACTAGGATTCGAACCTGTCTTACTACGGCCCCAACGTCATAGTAGCGTAAAGTCCTAACGCTTTAACCACGCGGCCACCGAGGACTTGAAAGATTTTATGTAAAATTCTTACTTAAAAGATAATGTTTAGTGAAAGTACTTTTTTATTTATAAACATTTATTTAATTCTGTTTTTAGTATTTGTTCTTATAGCGGCAACATAGAGACATTATCTGTAAAAATTTCAACTGTCTAGCTATAACGGTTCATAAGATAGACCTTTGCTGACCTTTGTGACAGACGGACGGACGGACAGCGAAGTCTTAGTAATAGGGTTCCCGTTTTTACCCTTTGGGCACGGAACCCTAAAAAACGGCGTTCAGTTGGCTTCGAACTGACGATCGATGACATTCCCCGTATAATTTTACATATAAAATGATAGCGTTCTTCATTTCATAGCCATCGCTCACGCCGATTTCTGAAACTTTTCTGAAAAAAAATATCGCACTGATTATAGATATTACTACTGATGAAATAATCATTTTTAGACCGCTGTTCTGGAATCTAAGCCCGCACAATGCTCAAGGCTGCGAAGAATGTAACTGCAATAAATCAGGAGTGTTGGGAGGTATCGCAGTGTGCGACTCGGAAGACGGCCAGTGCGTGTGTAAACCTTCTGTGGTTGCCAGGGGTTGTTCAGAGTGTGTAGATGGCACGTACAAATTAGAAGAAGACAATCTTTTTGGTTGTACTGGTAAGTCAATTTGTTTGACTACTGAAAATATGCTTAAATAAGAAAACTTAATTTTAATAAAAATTTATTCTCTTTTTATTAGATTGTGGTTGCGATGTGGGAGGTTCCATAAATAACGTTTGTAACAAGAAAACTGGACAATGTCTCTGTCAGTCTAGAGTGACAGGACGGACCTGCAAAGAACCGCTTCAGGTAAATTATTCTCTTTAAATATTTTAAAACAGTCAAATATAAATTTGTTCTCATTTTAGGCTCACTATTTCCCTACTCTATATCAATACCAGTACGAGGTTGAAGATGGTAGAACGGCAGAAAATACAAGAGTGAGATACGCTCACGACGAGAATATATTTTCAAATTATTCCTGGAAGGGTTATGCGGTCTTCTCTTCTCACCTCCAAAGAGAAGTCATCCAGGAGATTAACATTTTCAAACCGTCTCTATACAGGATCGTTTTTAGGTAAAAATAGAGCTAAGTTAATTAAGCGGCTAGTTTAACGCGCTTAGAGCTAAACTAAATCTCGGACAGGTTGACTAGCGGCGACGGTATCGCCAGCTACATCTCGGACATGTTTTGTGCCACGAAATCGCCCATAAGGTTGCGCATCTTCTTATTTCTTCTATCAACGGTAGTACAAAATACAGTTTGATACTCTAGAAGTTCAAGATGCCTAAAATAATTAAATATAGTCGTACCTCTTAAACTGTATAAGAAATACCTATTTTCAAAGCATAAGCAACATTCTGTATTATTTTCAAACGCAGTTAATTTGTGTTAATAGACCAGTCGGCAAGTAGTTTTAGGTGGAAATAATTAGGGGCAAGCTGGAATAACACTTATTCTCTTTGTTTTGCTTTGTTGAATACTCAGTTAGGAGTTAGGCAGGGATGTGTTCTAGCTCCTCTCCTATTCAACATATTCATGGCAGCGCTCTCTATTATAGTGGACAGCAAACTGCAGGAGAGTGGAATGGGTGTTAGATATAGGTATGGCGGCGGTCTGTGCAACATAAAAAGAGTCAGGGCAAAAACACGTATAAAATTCATCACAGAACTCCAATACGCTGATGACTGCGCTCTAGTTGCAAATACGTTACAGTAATTACAGGAAATGCTGAACACATATACCTGGTCATACGAGACTTTGGGCCTTAAACTGAACATCGATAAAACAAAAATCATGTGCACTTCCGCGGAAAATCATAACAGCGCTATAAAAATCGGAGAAGAACTATTGGAATATGTATCGGAATTTAATTACCTCGGCAGTTTGATTTCGTAAAAGGCAAATATCGACTCTGAAATTCAGCACAGAATCAGCAGCACCTCAAGAGCATTCTGAAAATTAAAAGACAGGGTTTTCTACAATCATGACTTGAGCACAAAAACGAAACTTGCAGTGTATCGAGCAGTAATAATCCCCACCATGTTATATGGAAGCGAAACCTGGGTGCCGTACCGCCGGCACACGAGCGCATTACACAAGATGCAACAGAGACACCTTAGACAACTTTTAAGAATCAAATGGTACCACCATATCTCAAACGTATCAGTCCTTAAAAAAGCAAGCTGCGAGAGCGCTGAAGTCATGATTACTAAATCTCGCTTAAGATGGACTGGCCACATATGCAGGATGCAAGAAAACCGCCTACCGAAATCTCTTCTTTACGGTGAACTTGTAGAGGGTAAGAGGAAACCGGGTGGACAACTCAAAAGATACAAGGATGTTGTTCATGAAAACTTAAAGGGGATAAGTATGCAGCATCAGTGGGAGGAAGCAGCGCACAATAGAACGCAATGGAGAAGAATTGTAAATTCAGTTAATAACGACAACCAAAAAGTAAAGAGGCAACAAAGTAATGAGATTTTTGAATGTCCGGAGTGCGGAAGAGAGATAACATCACGTATCGGGCTTTTCAGTCACAGATAAGCTCATGACAGGAAACGCCTTGCGTAACCATCTTTTGATGCGTGTCAAATACTCGTCAGCGAGTAATGGCAGTGAATACTCAATACTAAATTTGCACGGTCTAGCGATCCCGGATTTGGTCACCATATTGGAAAATACTGTCAAATTATGACATTTTTATGTTTTTTTTTAATAACTCGGTCTGGGTGCACTGTACAGAAAATTTGAAAGAGACTAAAAAGAAAGCTATTTAAATTCTCTACAAACGGTCCTATTCACTGATTTCGTGTATGAACAGGTTAACGAGATAGAGGCGCTTAAATACAAACATACGAGTATATTAGTGGTTCATTTAATATGAGAAACTGATTCTATGTAAATTTGAATAATTTGCCAGTACAAATTTATGTTTTCTTGTGCTCTTTTCCACACTACCTGGCGGTAGATCACTCGGCGCACTTTTCTTTAAGTGGTTTCCCCTATAAGCCTAATCCTAATCTTTGTGTCTTACTTCGGAATAGTATTATGAAACACTAAAACTAAATTTTAGTAAATTTTGGTTCGCGGTTATTTCCCCTATCCGCCACCTGTGGTCGCGTCCGATGGGAGTTTGGAGTTCTCCACGCGGATTTTCTCAAAAACTGACTACGGAAACACGGAATATCTCAAAAACTGCGACTTTGACTGATTTTGATGTTATTACAAATTTTGTTGCAAATATTATTCCTAATCATAAATTGAAAACCGCGTTTCGCTAGCTACTGTAATTTTGGAGTTACGATTTTTTAAAATTTTTAACCCCCTCCCCTAGCCCCTTACCAACCACCCACCCCCACCAAAAACTAATGGCCAGATTCTCGGGTGCCACAGTATTTTTGTGCCAAATTTGGTTAAAATCGGTTTAGCGGTTTTTGAGTTATCGTGTTACAGACAGACGGACAGACAGACAGACATCATAAAAATATTTTGTATTTAGGTCATTTATGACCCAAATAACTCATTTAGAGTGAAATTAAAAAAAAAATAGCCTTAGATGTTAATTGCTATAACTTTAGAACTGATAAGTTTAGGAGATAAATTAATAGAACCTTTTTTGTAGAGAATTTAATTCGCTTTATTTTTGGTTACCTGCATTTTTTTTCTACAATGCACCCAGACCGAGATATTTTAAAAAAATCCATAAAAATGTAGTTCTTATATCGACTTTTTCAAAATGGCGGCCAAATCCGGGATCGACAGACCGTGCAAATTGAATATATCATTCAGCACATCAAAACAAAGAAAATAAAAAATAATTCAGCTTGCCCCTAATTGTTTCCACCTAGGTTTATATAAAACGACGTACCGACTGGCCTATAAACACACTATCGTGTGTTTTAGGTATGTCAATCCAAACCCCTATACAGTTACTGGAGGTGTGCGAATTATACCCGACAATCCCAACGCCAACGAACAATATTTGAAGGTTCATTTTAAGAGTACTCCCATTCCAGACTTCACCACAGCTTCCGGAGAAAGTAGTACCGTCGCCACGCCGTTCGTGGTCGATCCTGGCAGATGGAGCATCAACATTAACATCAACGACAGCGTTCTCCTAGTAATTGAACCATATAGAGTTACAAAAACCACAGTATAAAAATATAAGCAGTAGTTGTAGGGTACTTTCGTCGATTTAATTTATTTTGTTTTGGAAGCATCAGTATATCGTGTTATGGTTTGGTTTGATTTGGTTTTTTTGTTATTATGGTGTTTTAATTGCTGATAAAGCTATCCTTACCTCATTTTGTGAATGTACAGGGTATCCCACTAAGAATAGCTCTCGGCTGTATCTCGGAAACTATTAGCCGTAGGGGCTGCGGAAATAAGATTTATAGCTAAAGAGGCTATGGGAAATTGCTGGAAATTATTTTCAAGTTTGTAGAACGACCGCTAGGGGGCGCAACTGCAACAAAAAATAAGAAAATGGAGTTTTTACACAATTTTGCCTAGATAAGGTGTACTATAAGTAATAGCTTCATAATCTTCTGTAAATTTTGAACATTTTTTGTTAAAGTCATTTTCCCCTAACTACCAAAATAAAATGGTGGGGGAAGGTTAGATCTATTTTTATTTAAATATTAATAATTCTGGACGGGATGATCGGAATCCAACAAGCGATGGCTCGTTTAAAAGAGCGTTTCTTACCCTATATTGTACCATATAAACAATAATAATAAGCTTTTGAACGTAGACGCTAGGGGGCGTTGTCTTACAATTTAACAAACATTGCGCGTTTTTTCAAAAAAATTAAATGCAATAGTATATGTAATTTTAGCTGATAGTAAAGAGTAGTAAAAGTTTAAAAAGTCAGCGAAAACCGTATCTTGATATCTTCTTTCAAACCGAAGATATTAGCAAAATTATAATAAATACCAAAAAATAAGCCCTTAATTACATTATTTTTACAACACGGTATCAGTAGCCCTCTTAATTATGCCCATTTTAACAAAAAAATAAGATAGAAACAGTTAGTTTATTTTAAAATCGACGAAATACCAGAATACCATAATACTAGAGGTATTAATATCTAATAATTAAGATATTAATAACAGTGAACAAGAAACGATAATTCAGTGAAGTAATGGTAGGCTTTGGAAAAAGTTGCTTTTGACGTAATAGTTAAAACGTCAATTGTTATTAGATCAACATTTTGATAGTCTTATCAGCGTTTTTATCTTTTGATTGCTTTTTCAAAATGCCAACAACTTCAACTATTTCAAATAATAAAGGCATCATTTTATTATTTTTATTTATCTCTTGCGGATCCGAAATTTAAAGAATCCTATAAAAAATTTCCAACGCATTTAAAATCTGATTTAACAAACTCGTTATATTGATACGTTTCCAACTTCCAACGCATTTAATAGTGATTTAACAAACAAAAAATGTTATTGACCAACATAAATCATAAATTAATGAATAAGTTGCAGGTATTAATAATAGATATGATAATTTCGATTATAAAGAAATTTAAGGAGAATAATCCTGGAAATATATTTCCAGAGGCTTTCAAATCGTTTGTTTTGTTTGTTACTAAACCATTCACAAGTACTTGGTTTGAGAGACATTTTTCATGTTTGAAATACATTAAAATTTATAGTAGAGACTCCATGAAAAATAAACGTCATCGCCACTTGCCTTACTTTCAATCTAAAAAGATCTTTTCACAGCTCTTCAATAATCTGATGATTTTACTGATATAATAATAAATAACTTTTCTTTATTAAGAGACCGACTCATCAATTTAATATATAAAACATAATTATTTTTTCTCTCAATACTACCAATTTTTAAGTTTTTCGTAAATAAATAAAAATAAAATAAAATTCTATGATGTACTCCATAGTGACTCCATAGTAATAGAAAAAAAATAGGTAACAGATAAAATAGATTAATAAAAACTATACTTGTACAGGGTGGGTCAAATTCGACGCTTTTAAATGGAAACCCCCTTTTCTATAGGAGATAGGCGAAAACTAATATCGGTGTCTGGAGCTCAATTTTCATCAAAAACATGATGGTGAAAACCGCACATCAATATCTGTTACCGCTTCGGAGTTACGGGGTGTTTTTCAAAAATGTGCATTTTTAACAAATCGCTGTAACTTTTTTGCTATGGAAAATTTTGTATTTCTATGAAAACATTTCCAAAGCACCTTTTTACGTAGAATTTAATGGTTTAAGTATAATTTTTTTAAATTAATAATTTAAGAGTTATCAACAGAAAAATTGATTTTTTATTTGGGACACCCTCTATATTTTTAATTAACTGAAAAGAATTTAAAATTACCTTTCCAAAAATATAGCACACTTGATATTTTGTTATAATTCTCTTCGAAATACAGAATTTTTAAAAGTTCGCCACTTTTAACTAGTAGGCTTTGGACCCCTTATTGATGATATGCCTTTAATGGAACTCGAAAACATATTTTTCCAGCAAGACGACGCTCCGCCTCTGAACGCTGAAGTTATCAGCAAATTTTTGCAGCCAATTTCAAGAATAATTGAAGAGCTAACCATGATCCCAGCCGTTGGCCGTCGAGGCCGCCTGACTTAGTGCCCATGGATCTAATCCTATGGATATATTTGCGGGAGAATAAAGGTTCCTTATTCTTTCGTATAACCTAGACAAGAATTAGAAATACTTAGCAGTTATGAGAGGGTATCTTTCACCCCCACTGAGTTAATGAATTCCGTGAGAAATGTTCAAAACTACCCCCTCTGTCCATAACAGAAGACTGTCGATAAGTCGGACACCTGTAGCAAAATCTCAAGTCTCGGTTTGCTATTTATTTTTATTGTTATTAGATATAGTTTAAATGTGTTGATGTTGGTTAAATATAGTTTAAATTGTCATAAAATTCTGCATCTCTCATAGAAAATATTATTTTCGTTTTAACTGATGCTCACAGCTAGAATTTTTTTGCATTACAGCCGGTGCCGTTCAAAGCCTACTTATTTAAAGCGGGCGAATTTTTATATACCCTATATCTCGAAGAGGAATCGAGCAAAATATCAAGTGTGTTATATTTTTGGAAGGGTAATTTTAAATTCTTTTCAATAAATTAAAAATATACAGGGTGACCCATATAAAAAATCAAATTTTCTGTTGATAATCCTTAAATTATTAATTTTAAAAAAATTATACTTAAACCATTAAATTCTACGTAAAAAGGTGCTTTGGAAATGTTTTCATAAAAATACAAAATTTTCCATAGCAAAAAAGTTACAGCGATTTGTTAGAAATGCATATTTTTGAAAAACACCCCGTAACTCCGAAACGGTAACACATATCGATATGCGGTTTTCACCATCATGTTTTTGACAAAAATTGGGCTCCAGACACCGATATTAGTTTTTGTCTATCTCCTATAGAAAAGGGTGTTTCCATTTAAAAGCATCGAATTTGACCCACCCTGTACATTATAATAAATACTTGTACATTTGTACATTATAAATATTTTTGAGCTATGTTTTTAACCCAGAGATAACATATATTTACAAACTGGGTATTATGTAAATTAGGGGGGGGGGCAAATAGACGCAACTAAAATTTTGTCGCCTACCCAGTCACACGGGTCACGATCCGCCACTGCTATCACGTAATGAGAGCTTTACCGAAAGGTTGTGATGAACTAGGCGATGCGGCAAAATTTCATGTTTAATATCAAAAAATGTAATTTTTTTTATCCTTTTTTAGCAAAAAAACGCGTGCTTCTTGGTCGAGATAAGTTGTAAAAGACAACCGTATATTAATTTAATAAACAACTACACCGTAAAATCACCGCCAATGGCGACAAAATAACTTATGCTTACTGCTTACATTTTTAAACCGTGTCCCTAAAAACATTCACACTTAAATAATTCGTCTTTTAGGATTATTTCGTCTTATTGCCCGAAGACTTTTACCTAGCTACGGTTTTGAACTACAAAATTGAGACACCCTGTACTATCAATCAGACGGATCTATGCAGACACTACGCCTACCCGAATATATCTTACTATGACAGAACTTTTGGCGTGGGAGGATACACAACTGACGGAAAAAAGGACGAGATTCTTAAAGAATACTTTAAAGACAGTAACGTAAGTTGTTGGCTATTTTATTTTTCTACGTTCCATATAATATAATATACAAGTGAATCTGGTTTCGATATGTTCACAATCTTTCATAATCCGAATGGAATCGATAGACGATAGTTAGATTTCTTTCTCAATCATCCCAGTTCAGAAAATGACTCCATCAAATTTGCGATTGAGAAAGTGAAAAACTTCTGTCTGCCGTTTCTAGATGTCCTTGTTAGTTGAAATAGGGGATGTGTTGACTATATAACCACAGATTATACAGATTATAAACTTTATTTTTTCTTTATTGTTTTTCGTGGTTCCAATTTTCGGAATCGGGCACTAGTTAGGTTACTAGTTTGCGCACATAGCACGCCCACTTATGGCCTCTAAAATTGTGCACAGCGCCTGACCGGCACAGTTATTAGAGAGATATCGGAAAACCGAATAGCGTCATGCAGTATTTACGCGTACCTTATCATGGTTACGATATGCGCGAGTCAATTTTTAACGCAACACCCGCTAATAACGTTACCGCCTGACGTAATTTGCGGATCAATTACACCAAGCGCTATTTCTAAATAACGTTTAAGGATTGCTTAAATGGGCATGTGCGGGTATTTGATAACCGAGGCCGGGGTGCAACTTTGTTCAAGTTAGCAACCGATCGTTAATTCTGCGAAATATGGTATCACTATCACACTCTTGCACACGTTGTGCGACACGGTCTAGGCAGTCGCCTCGCCACAAAGCGAGAAATCAGAATATCGCTACGAATCGATGTTGCTACTGAACATAGTGCCTCAAGCTACAAAATTACTTTGCTATCGCTTTGAAACATGAACAAAGTTGCACCCCCGGCCGGCGAGATCTTTTATTTTAGGTTATGTTTGAATTGTTTTGAATTATTACTTTAGTTTTATTAGGTAATTTGATATTTAAGTAGCTGGGATTGGTTTTAATTAAATAAATATGGCCCAAAATGTGAATTCCACCTCTTCCAATATTAAAGAACCTATAAAGAGGTTTAGGTTTACAGCAGATGACGACTTAAGCTTGATTTTCATGCGTCCGTTATCCGTTGATACGATGGTCCGATATTAATTTTATTGGTTGACTTTAAAGACTTCAATTGGTTAGAAACGGTTAACCAATCGAAGTCTTTAAATTCAACCAATAAAATTAATATCGTATCATCGTATCGTCGGACAACGGATGCATGAAAATCAAGCTTTAGCCCTTCGAAGAGAATTTGTTGCTTGTTGTTCTAAACCCATTGGCAGACGTTGAACAATAAAGCACTGGAAATAAACACTTTAGCTCTTTAGTTTTAAAATACCTAATAAAACAATTTCAAAGTTTTAAATTCAAAGTTAGGTTAAGTTTAAACAGCGGACGCGACGCGAACAGCATTCTTTCCGATCCGATAACTATAAATGAAAGCACTGTTCATTAAAATGTTGTATCCTGTGTTATAGGGCTTGTTTCTCTCTACAATTGCCTGTCTCACAATGTACCGTTTGTGTCCAGGAAGGGTTCATAGTTTCATAGTTGTCGATTTTCGAAAGTAAATCTGTACATTTATATTATTTTGTATATGTTTCATTTTATTCATTTTATGGAAAGCACTGTTCATTAAAATGTTATATCCTGTGTTATAGGGCTTGTTTCTCTCTATAATTTCCTGTCTCACAATGTACCGTTTGTGTCCAGGAAGGGTTCATAGTTTCATAGTTGTCGATTTTCGAAAGTAAATCTGTACATTTATATTATTTTGTATATGTTTCATTTTATTCATTTTATGGAAAGCACTGTTCATTAAAATGTTATATCCTGTGTTATAGGGCTTGTTTCTCTCTATAATTTCCTGTCTCACAATGTACCGTTTGTGTCCAGGAAGGGTTCATAGTTTCATAGTTGTCGATTTTCGAAAGTAAATCTGTACATTTATATTATTTTGTATATGTTTCATTTTATTCATTTTATGGAAAGCACTGTTCATTAAAATGTTATATCCTGTGTTATAGGGCTTGTTTCTCTCTATAATTTCCTGTCTCACAATATACCGTTTGTGTCCAGGAAGGGTTCATAGTTTCATAGTTGTCGATTTTCGAAAGTAAATCTGTACATTTATATTATGTCGTATATGTTTCATTTTATTCATTTTATGGAAAGCACTGTTCATTTGAAATCGACCGAAATGCACCAAACCTATACTTAATAAAATTGAATTAATTCCAGCATTTGCAAAACATCAAGGTCTACAACAGGGTACCTCTACTCAACTCCAACCAATCAGAGATCTACTTCAATCTGACAGCTTCCAAGCCAGGGGCTTACGTCTTGCTCGTCAATTACATCACACCTTTAGACGATTTACGCACTCATCGCGTGAATGTGGTCGCTCAAACCAAGTATGGACCTCAAAACGGTAACGTCATCCTATACTCCTGTCCGTACACTAGCATGTGCAGGCAGGTAGTCACCAATGAGCGAGATGGCGTGGGAATATTTGAAATCGATGGGAATTCTATGGTGGTACAGCTAAAGGTTTGTATTTGATTAGCTTAACCAAGGTTTATAGAGGGTGTCATTGAAATGGCGTAAAAAAAGGCGTATCAGGGGGTGATAGTACTACTAAAAATAGTAAAAAAAGTTCCTATAAGTATAGGGCAGAAAATGCATATTAAGGGAGTTAGGGGCACTGAAAGGGTGAATTTAAAAAACGGTTGCTTTGAAATTGTGGGCTTAAAAAACGAGATAAAATTTCGAAAAAAAATGCTTTGCCATAAATTTTGGCCCTAAATCAAATGGTGATACTGAAAAATTATTTGGAATAGCGGAAAGGGTAGTTTTTGCAAGGGTAGGGTCGTTTTGTGAATAACTTCTTAGAGGTTATCTTTTTTGCAACATGGGTGTATTTTTTGAAAACTACATACTTTTTCCTACAAAAAAGGTACTCTTGTTGCACATCGCCCAGAGCGATGGTTTTCGAGAAAATTGAAGGCAAGAAAGAGTTTGCTCTGATGGGTTGGTATCAACATAAACTTATGAAAGTTATGGCAGTTCAAAAGTTACCAAGTAGTTATCAAATAATTAATTGAACAATCAAAATTTTATGATTTTTAAAATATCTTATTGCTTTAAAAAACGAAATAATCCAGTAGATTTCTACTTCTGGGGCCACTTTGAAAGTTTTGGTTTACTCAGTGCCGATTAATACTGAAGAGCAACTACGGCAACGCATTATTGACTGTTCCAATCAAATTCAGACAAACACCAAGGATATTCTACAGGGTACGCAGATCTTGGAGAAGAAGAGCAGATGTCTGCATTGAAATGAATGGTGGTCACTTTAAACATTTACTATGAATGAATTAAGGAATGCATTATTTTAATAAGGAATTTTGGTAATTGGTTTATTTCGTTTTTAAAGCAATAAGATGTTGAAATTTTGATTTTACAATTAATTATTTAATAACTACTTGGTTACTTTGAACTGCCATAACTTTCATAAGTTTATGATGAGTTAGCAACCCATCAGAGAGCAAACTCTTTGCCTTCAATTTTCTCGAAAACCATCACTCTGGGCGATGTGCAACAAGAGTACCTTTTTTGTAGGAAAAAGTATGTAGTTTTCAAAAAATGAACCCACGTTGCAAAAAAAATAACCTCAAAAAAGTTATTCGCGAAACAACCCCCTACCCTTGCAAAAACTACCCTTTCCGCTTTTCCAAATAATTTTTCAGTATCACCATTTGATTTAGGGTCAAAATTTATGACAGAGCATTTTTTTTCGAAATTTTATCTCGTTTTTTAAGCCTACAATTTCAAAATAACCGTTTTTTAAATTCACCCTTTCAGTGCCCCTAACACCCTTAATATGCATTTCCGCCCTATACTTTAACTATTTTTTCGTATTATTACATTATACTGATGATTCATTACTACTCCACCAAATATTAGCAATAAGCAGAGCTGTGACGAGTCAGTTTTAAAAAGACTTAAATTTTAAGCGTTAAGTCATTTCTAAAATCAGAATGACTTAAATATTAAATCAATTACAACATAAAGTTCAAATGATTTAAATCTTAAGTTCTTGACTTAAATCGATCGTTTTATTTCTGCAACAAGTCATTTTGATAAAGTCTTAAATCAATATAACGTTATTGGGAATCATTTTTATAACTTATGTCTAAATTTTTAACTTAAATCGTGAATATCTGCAAGTTAAGTCAGTAAAATGACTTAAATCACCAATACATACCCATTACATACCCAATACGCGCACGCGTAAAAATCAAACGGTTTCGAAAAAGTGTCACCGACACACGATCTGCTGTTGGGCTGTCGCTTGAGAGTTCAAAAGGAAATGCCGTTGTTAAAAATTTATCATTGAAATACAGGGTGTTTGAAAAATATGTGCCATCTCTCGTGGGAAGATTCCTCACGTAAAAATAAGATTTATTTTTCATATCAACATAGGTCCGATTCTGCTTTGTTTCGTAGCTACAGGGTGTTAAAGCCTTAATATTTTTTCGATTTATTATAATTTTCTTCCAAGTGCTTTTATCGTTTCGAATGAAATTTTGAGGGTAAAATTTACTATAAGTGTGACATATATTTTAAAGCTAAAAAAATAACGACATATTTATCAGGGACGTGCATAGGGGTTATCACTGGAATATATTTCTAAAAAATCATGTACACCACTGAGTTTTTTTTCTCTTGTTAGCGAAATAGTGTAAGCAATTTAATGCCGATTAAAAGTTGTGTCTTGATATTTTGTCGATTTCAGCCTTTTTGACGAGATAAACAGAATTTTATTAATTTGCCTTGATTCAAGTCTAATAGCAACCTTTAAAAAATTTTAATATCATTAACTTGCGAAAGTACTCATCGATTCCTCGTCAAAAAATATGAAAAAATGTTCCTATAAACATGGGTATAAATACCATTATTTTTTTATTTGAAATTGCTGTAGGTTGGACTAATAATATATATATATATATATATATATATATATATATATATATATATATATATATATATATATATATATATATATATATATATATATATATATATATATATATATATATATATATATATATATATATATATATATATATATATATATATATATATATAATAGGCATAAAACGACTTACACAATTTTGATAACAAAAGAAAAAAAGTCAGTGGCTCACATGTTTTTTATTGAAAGTATTGCAGTGATAACGCATATGCACGTCCCTGATGAATTTATCGACACTTTTTTAGCATTAAAATATGTAGCACTTATAGTAACTTTTACCCTCAAAATTTCAGTTTTTTGAAACACCCTGAATATGAAATTCTGACTTAATTCTTTTCTAAAAAAACTTAAATCTTTTCAAATATTTAAGCCTTTTTTAATGACTTTTAAGTCTTCTTTTATTTCGGAATAAAGACACAGATCGTCATTAAAATTATTTAAATCAAAAAGACTTAAGTTTTGTGTGAGCTTGCAGCTCTGTCAGTGTATTATATTTATTATTTTATATAAAATTAGAGTGAAGACTCGAACGTGGGCATTCACTCCATCTACTTGATCCCCTACGCAGAATGGTCGCTGGACTTCATCAAGCCCAAACCGGTTTGCGTGAGCAAAGACGGCAATTGCGTGGTGGGATCCTTCATAAACCCCCCGGAAACTAAAAAAATCCAATTCGAACAAGACGTCGAAGAGGAACTGCTCAAAAATCGACCGCCGATCCACCAATACAACAACAACACCTACATCTGGCTAAATAAGGGCTACAACACCATGGACCTCCGAGGAAAAGTGCCCTACGCTGGGTATTATTCGTTCGTGTTGCATTACTACCAACCCGACCATCCTGGTAAGTTTCTTTGAATGTAGTAGACAATGATTAAGTATTGAAACTAAAAACGTCTACTAATGCCGGGTCCAGACCAAGCAGACAAAACAACGACAAGACAGAAACATTCATGTTCAGTGGCGTAACAACAGAATCACGGGCCTGTGTGCAAAAATTTTACCGGGCCCCCTATTACACCTACATATTTCAATACTTATATACTAATCTGAATAATATGCACTCATATTTTAGGTTAGAAATAACATTATCAAATTAATTTTTATATAGTATTATCCTTGTTTGGGTATTATTTATTACTGCAACACAGAATATATAACCCAAAACATATAAAATATCAAATAAATAAAAAAAAAATAAAAATAAAACAAAAAACAACAACAAAACTAACTAAATTAATATAAACAATGTAAATAGGAACATGAACATGTTAAGAAAGATGTATTGGGAATTGCCGTCATAACCAGCACAGGTAATTGCGATATTATTTGAAGCAAGAACAAATTGAATTTAAGTGCTATAGCAATTTTTATACTCTTTGTATGACAGCAATATAATGATAATAAGATATTTATATATATATATATATATATATATATATATATATATATATATATATATATTAATATATTTAAAACGTTATATATATATATATATATATATATATATAATCTGTTTAAAACGTGCACCGTCTTCCGATGCCATCTCTCCATCCTGTCTGTCTCTCCAACCGTCTCGAGAGATCTTTCCTCCATAAACGTCAATCCTTCCTGCCAACTTCTTCTCGGTCTACCCGGTTTTCTTCTTCCTGCAGGTTTCCAGTTTATAATTTGCTTTGGGATTCTTATTTCTGCCATTCTTTGGACATGCCCGTGCCATATGAGTTGACTGTTCTTTATGTCGTCCACTATCGTATTGTTGCGGACCCGTGTGAACTCGACCTAACCTAACTATATGTCCCGCCCTCAGATGACCTTAACATCGCATTAAAGAATAGACACCGTAATGATTCATTCGTTCGAGAAGAATCGAGTCCCACTGGAATGGACTAGTACATACGAGAACATTCGAAAACCTTCTCTACGCACCTAACGATCTATGGACTATTCTAGAGTTCTTTACCTGTCGGTATAAAAGCCGGCGGCTGTGGCCTACAGAGGGCAGTTATAAATCGACAAGTGCAGTTGAGTTGACGCTAAAATTCAAAATAAATTCTTAGTTATAAATCGTTTGTAAATAGTTCTATAAGTCTTTTATCGTTATTGTTTTTGTTAATTAGTGTTAAATAAATAGTGTTTAAATAAATTGTGACTTTCTATCCACACGGAACCGACGAAAAACGTAACAGTATGTTTAACTTCCATAATCTCTCTTATGCGTTCATTAGTTATTCGCTCGAGTCTTGATTTGCCTGCTGATCTTCTCCAAAAATCCATCTCTGTAGCTTCCAGCATTCGTTTTGTTGTTTTCTTAATTGGCCAGACTTCACAGCTGTACGTGGTTATACTCTTTATGATGGTATTGTATATTAAGTTTTGTTCTTGTTGTTTATACTTCTGTCCCACAGTATCCCATTCAATACCGTGATAGCATTCCTTCCAAGTTGGTTTCGTTCTTTAATTGCTGTATCCCACAGTCCATCATTTGTGATTTGCATACCCAAATATTTGTATTTTGTGCAGCACTTAATTTTCTTCCCTTCTTCTAGTATTAGATCTTGTTGTTCTCCTCCGATACACATATATTCTGTTTTGTTAGTATTGATCTCGAGTCCCCATTTCTGATATTCTTCTATAAGCTTACGTGTCATATAATTTATGTCATCGTAATCTTGTGCTATGATCACCTGATCGTCCGCGAAGCAAAGTGTGTAGAGCATGTTATCCCCTATGGGTACTCCCATATTTCTACATTTTTGCTTCCAACCTTTGAGAACTAGTTCGAGATATATCTTGAACAGTGTTGGTGAAATATAGCACCCTTGTTTCAGACCTTTGGTTCCATTAAATCCTGTTGTTAACTTTTTGCCGACTTTTATTCTAGTTTTTGTTTGTTTATATAATGATTTCACTGCTTTTATTAGCTCTACATTTATATTGGTTTTTTCCATAGCTTCCCAAAGTCTCACAAGGGGAACGCTGTCGTATGCCTTCTGCAGGTCCACGAACACAAGATGTAGCTCTTGGTTTATATTGTTCTTTTTACTTAGATATTTTTTTACGAATGGAATACCTTGTACCTACAGGGTATCCCATTTTCATGTGTTTTGTTGCCCTTATGAATAGGTTTTCACAATAGTCGGCTACTTTTTGACAAAATGAGAGATGCCCTAATAGGATTTGTCATGGCCCTCGTAGTTACTGAGCTACAGGGTGATTTAAAAAAAGTGGCAGTTTCGGGCACCTCTCGTAACTCAGCTGCCTTATCGTCCCCTTAATACAACCATTAGGTAACTAGAGTTTTTGTGATTTTGAGTTAACTAGTTTGGCCAGTATAATTTTTCATGCTCTTTTTGATGCTACAACTAGCTTAGTTCTATTTCTATTCGATGGTACAGAAATCCAGTGACAATACAGCTAAATTTCGTTTTTGTCAAATTTAATGCTCTAATGAAAAATCACATATTTCCAGTTATTTTTATTTTGCAAAATAAAAAGGAAAACACAGCTACAAAATTGCACAAGAACAAGTGCAAAGTAATAAGTTATTTTCGCGATAGCGTGTGCTAGTTAAGTAGTTAAGAAGACATGTGATAGATAAGAACTTAGTTCGGGATCGCCCGATTCTGCTTGATTCGCGATAGCATGTGATAGATATGGAAATGCGGCCCGGGCCCCCCGAGGGCTCGGGCCCAGGTGCTTCGCACACACGGCACATCGATAGTTACGCCACTGTTCATGTTTTGCGACAAAATTGCGACAAATCCAATACATTTCTGCGACAGTTTTGTCTCATTTTTGTTTTGTTTCAAAATTCGGAGGCTTTTCAATGTCCCGTCTCGAGTCGGTAAAGATCAAAGTGTCTATGTTTTGTTTGTATATTTTACGACAAGTGGTCGACGCAGTGTGGATGGCGTGTGCTGTCAGCAGTAGGAGACCAGTGAAATCACACATGGTTAATAAAACTCATTCGCAACAACTAAACTTTTGACTTTGTTGTACTTTTGTCCTTGCGGTGTGGACAATTTGTCTCAAGTTTGTCTTGTCAGAATTCCCCATTTTTTGCATATACATATAACTAAAATATACTCAGGGTTCCCTATTTAACCCCGTGTGCAGTTTCTGTGTCGTAAGAGAAAGACAACATAACCCAGCTCAATATTAATACTGCATAAGTCTATTTCACCCGGATATCGATTGAACTGCAATTGCGCCAAATGCCGATTGGTTGTTGTTTTAGTTCTGTTTGGATTATTTTTTATTTGTGCGCGTAAAAGAGTGATTTTGTTTAGTTTATTGTTTCCAACTATTTTTTGATATTTTTCCAACTCCATAATAATGTGTTATAAATAATAAAAATATAAATAAAATTGAAGGTTAGGTGAAATGTCAGTCAACCACTTCCCTTTAAAACACCGACCAATGAAAACTTCTTCAGGTAAGGCATGCGTAGTTAAATGAATATCCGGGTGAAATAGACTTATGCAGAATTCCATATTTATCTTTCACTGTTTGGGCTTCACTTTTTGGAGTTTAGGCTGAGTATATTTAAGTTATATGTATATGATTTTTTGTCTTATTTTTGTCTCAAAATCGTGTTTACTTTTTGCCTTGGTCTGGACCCGGCGCGGCATAAGAACTACTTTGAGTAGCTGACGAACTCTATAACTTATGCTTATATATATTCTTTTAAAGCATTTAACTTGGACGTCATCATTCAAAATGGCCAGTTCTACGAAGCCAGCGTTCCCATAGAACATTGCCCTTCCGAATCTGGATGTAGATCGCCGGTCTTCCAATCTGACAGAAACAATAAGTTCAATTTGTTGGAGAACTTTTTGATTACGTTCAAGGTACTATATCTCTATAGATTCTGTAGGTTATTTTTAGTTTTTACACAACACACAATAACACCTTATATATTAAATAATTACAATAAAATGACGCTCAAAAATTCATGGCATACTTTGTTATATTTATTCATGATCGGGGGCAATTTCAATTTTTTGATATATTTTTTGTTAATAGCAACCTGAAAATAGAAACGTTTATTTGGATTATATTTTGGTCATCCCTGCTGACTTATACAACGAAAGGAGTCTACAAGAAGAGGATTTGGACCGCACAGGAGAGTTTATCTCTACTTGCGGCAGTAACAATTTCAACATCGACACCAGTCATAAAGGTATTTTAAATTAGATAAATAGTATTTTGTTTATTAGGAGTAAAAATGACACTTTTGTGGCGACGCTGTCCGGTTGACGCAAGAGCGGGAAAGTGAAATAGGTTCCACCGTTTCCACGAAAATTTCAAATAAAATAGTTCCAGACCCTGTCGCTAGGTGGCAGTGCAATTAATTTTTTAGGTTAGAAAGTTGCTACTAATTTTTTTATCACATTATCATAGTGTTTGCATCACAGGAGCCATGAGAACCTGTCCAACAGCAGCAATGGAGGTCATTCTAGATCTAACACCACTGCACATTGTCATTGGTAGATATGCCAATGCGACAATGATTAGAATGGTCACTAACGGAATTAGTACTGGGAGAATTGTCAGATCAGGGGCTTGGAACACCCTCAAAAAGGAAATACCACTCCTGCCACTCCCAGTGGACGATATGCCAAGAACGTACAACTTTGACAAACATGTCAATGTAGTATTGAGCAATAAGAAGGATTGGAAGAGCGAAACGCTTGCCCAGCAGTTAAAAGACCATACCATAACTTGGTATACTGATGCTTCCAAAACCAATACGGGAACAGGGATCGGAGTGTTTGGACCGAGAGCTAAATACTCCGAACCAATGGGCACTTACCCTAGTATCCTACAGGCAGAAATCTACGCTATCGAAAGATGCGTACAACTTATCTTAGATAGCAACTATCGGAAACAAGAAACAGCCATCTTGTCTGATAGTCAAGCAGCGTTAAAAGCGATCAACTCAGTATCGATCAATTCGAAATTGGTCAAAGAATGCATAGAGAAGCTGAATAAATTAGGCAAAGAAAACAAAGTCCTCCTACTCTGGGTGCCTGCTCACCAAGGGATAGAAGGCAATGAAAAAGCAAATAATCTAGCTAGGAAAGGAGCTAACACTCCACTAACTGGACCAGAACCGTTCTGCTTTCCAAGTGGTAACCAACTCAAGGCGGAACTCAAGAACTTGGAAGATTCCATCCGCAACCTGGAATGGAAATCTTGCAATGGTCTAAGACACTCGAAGAAGTTTCTGAGGGCTTATGATCAAGAAAAATTACAGATCTTCCTGGGTCTGAGTAAGAACAATCTTCGGATTGTCAGGGGTTTTTAACAGGACACTGTCTCATCAATGAACACCTCAGTAGATTGAAACTAAGAAGAAACGGCGAATGCAGATTCTGTGGGGAAGATGGTGAAACACCAGTACACCTCATCACTGAGTGCGCCGAGACGACAACCATTCGTGCCATGAATTTTGGTACGACTGATATTGGAGATGGAGAACTACCCTCTATAAAACCGTCCCAGATACTGGCTTTTGTCAAAGCCCTGGGACTGTATGATGAGTTATGATTCAAGAAAGGGGGACACAATGGATCTGTAAGGTCGAAGTGATTAACCCCCCTCCCACTCATTCTAAATTCTAAAAAATGCTACTAATTATTGCCAGTTGGCGTTAAATCAGAATTTTTTTTGTAATTTCTTAACTTCGTTGCGAGCCTCCATCGACAATAGACCGATGCAGCAGCGTTCCTTTCCCACTCCTGATATCTCGACTGCCAGGCGTTATGCCCGCAACTGCTTCAAAAAAGCTGCTTCTTTTATATCCTATTATTTTTAAGCTGTTGCAAGCCCCACACGACCATCGACCGATGCAGCTACGTTCGCCGCGCCGCGCCATAGCGCATTCCCCACTACGTTGTCCGTTATCTCGTCGCCTGTATCGATGGTTGTCGAAATAACATATTTTCCATCCATAATCCATACTAGTTGTTTTTTGGAATTGCTTCGAGTAGCATCGAATTTCGTGGCGGTGCAGAGCGCCGACTTCGTTTCACGAACGGTCGATCTCTGCGTATCGTTATTTTATATCTGTTATTTTTTAAAAGTAGTAACGGTTGCGTTATGTTATTTCTAAATAATTGTTATAAAATAACAGATAGTTACATAAATAACAACCCATCACTAATTTAAAATTATCGTTTCAATTGAAATTATATAAATGAGCGTATTTAAATTCAGACCCTTACAATAGATGGCGCCACTAACATGGAAACGTTTTTTAGTAAGGCACTTTCACTTTTTTATATTGTCAAAAAATTGACAAAAAAAAAGATTTTATACACTGAGGGTGCATTCACACCATCCTAGAAAAAGCGAAACGGCGCCGGCGCGGCCTATCGGCGTAACGACCTTGAATCAATTTCCAGCTTTAATAGAATATATATTATATAGGCCAATATATATAAATATAGGGCCAATAGAATTTTTGGAAATCGATACAAGGTTGTTAGGCCGATACGCCGTTCCGCTTTTTCACCCCCTATCTTTGAATAAGAAGGCTAAGGAAGGAGCATATCAAAAATCTTAGGTACACCGCGATGGGCCTCAAATATGGCCGACTTAAATTCTGGTTTATCAGTATCGTTCTAATTTTATTTAAAAAATGTAAAACTATGATGTAGGGTAGACGTCGGGTAGACTCAATAATTTGTTGTTTTATTTTACGTTGTGAATAAATGTTGGTAGTTATTAAAATTGTTATAAAAATATATGATTCTAATAAAAATTATATATATATATATATATATATATATATATATATATATATATATATATATATATATATATATATATATATATATATATATATATATATATATATATATATATATATATATATATATATATATATATATATATATATATATATATATATATATATATATATATATATATATATATATATATATATATATATATTATATATATAAATTATATATAGTTATAATAAGTATTTATTAACACAAACATCGGATACGCTACTGAAGCAGGTAAGTCAAATTAACGTATCTAAATTCTTTGACATCTAATCTTTGACAAGTAATAAATAAAAGCTAAAATGCAAGAAAAATATATAATTTAGTTAATTTAAGTGAATTTCATAAATGATCGGTTTACTACACGTATGTATATTGTATAGTCACTTACTAGCGAAAAGTTGTTCCATTATTTCACTCAATTTTTGCCGAGATTTACCGCACGCTACACAACCAACTATTATAGAGTCTTTTTCGATAAATCGCGATAGTGTCACTGTTAATTTAAGTTCTGCCACAATTTCCATCTAGATTTACTACCTTTATACAACTATCAGTAGTAGAATAAATAATAAATAACATAAAATAAGCTCCGTAAAGACTGACAAATCCACAAAATTTCAAATCAAATTCAAATGTGTCAAATGAATCGTCAAACAGAACTGTCAAGGATCCCCACCCTAGAGTGCTTTTTCCGCCCACCATGCATGAATACATGGATAGCAGTATGCTCCTTCCTTAGTCTTCTTATTCAAAGACCCTCAATGCAAAAAAAACGCAACGTACAATACCGGATATACCCATCTCTAATTAACGCAACATATATTTTTATAGGATTTTGTAGAGACTCTGTGTTCTCTATCACCGCCTCCCACAATACCGGAGCCTTGCCCTGTCAATGCGACTACGCGGGATCTGTCAGTTTCGAGTGCGAGAAGTTCGGAGGTCAGTGCCCCTGCAAGGACAACATCATCGGCAGGCAATGCACGGCTTGCAAGACGGGGTACTTCGGTTTTCCCGACTGTAGGCCATGTAATTGCCCCTCCACTGCCTACTGCCAACCAGAAACAGGTTTGTAATACCACCGTTAAAATGTGAAACTGAGAAAAAAAAATGTGAAACTGAGAACCAAATTATTTTATTGAAATTGTTATCATGACGATCCTTCTGTTTTTAGGCAAATGTATATGTCCACCTCACGTGATCGGTGCGAAGTGTGAAGAGTGCGAGCCTAGAACTTTCGGATACGACAAGCTGATTGGTTGCGAGACCTGCAATTGTAATCCATTGGGTGTTCTTAACGATAATCTACAGTGTGATACACAGAATGGTCGCTGTCCGTAAGTATATAGTACATCATTAATATACAGGGTGTCCCAGAAATAAGTGCAAGTATTTTAACTGGTAGTATAGTTCAACCCCAGAAACAAGCCTATAAGGTTTTTCCGCGAAAAAAAAAAATTGAAAATTCGAAATTTTTTGTTTTTTTTTTGATAATATGGCAGCATAAGACAAAATTAAATTTACAAGAAAAAAATCCAGAAAAGATCCAGTGGTTCTCAAAATTTTAGCAAAATATCATTTTTTTTGGAAATTTTCAAAGTAAAATAACTCCGTTATTTTGGACTTACTTGAAAAACGATAAAGGGAAAATATGTTTCTTTTATGGAGATCTACCAGCCCTTAAAATACTTGCACTTATTTCTCGGACACCCTGTATATAGACATAAAATCGGCGTCAAAGACGCCTGAGCATTATGCTTTTCTGTTTTACTAATCTTAATAAATATTTATTACAGGTGCAAGGCGAATATAGTTGGCAGAACTTGCGACAATTGCGAAGCTGGTTATTTCTCGTTTCCTGATTGTGCCTCTTGCGATTGTAACGTCAACGGTACAGACAGCGAAATTTGTGACAAACAAACCGCAGAGTGCTTCTGTAAACGGTACGTCGTGGGACTACACTGCGAGTTTTGTAAGGAAGGATCCTTCAATTTACAGGTACGACTCGAAAAATTTTCGATATCGCGTTAAAATATCGCACGGAAAAAACAATAGGGCTGTGCAAAAGTATCGATATATTTAAATATCGATAGTTACTTATCGATAGGGATCGATACTTAGTCGATCCTATATTAAATTCATTAGTTATTAATTAAACGCGTAAAGCTTGATTTGGTTTGGTTTGGCACGCATCCGTTTTCCGACAATACGATGATAATTTAAAGACTTTGATAGGTTAGAAAAATATACAGTTTTTAAATTTATTGCATTTTCATGCCTCCGTTTATCGGATATATGTTGGTGTCATTTTATATTTTCATTTTCATAACGATTTCGCTGTTTTTCTTATATTTTATTAAGGTTAGATATTAATAATTATTTATTTTAACCTTCTAATTGATTTTAACTTTCTACGGGTTGGAGTAAAATATTTACGGATGAAAAGTGGCGCGAAAACGCTATGACCAATCAGAGCACCGTCGGACCATCGTATCAACGGATAACGAATGCATGAAAATCGGCCTTTAATCAGATTTAAAAATTCTTTTTTGAGTAACACTAAAAAAATAATAGAGACGTACAAAAGTATCGACATATTCAAATATCGATAGTTATAGATCAATAGTTAACTATTGATAGGGATAACTATAATTAGTGTCGTTATCTTTTGCTTGAAATACTGGATTCTTGAAATTCGGTTCCATTCATGGCAATTTATGTTTTCAGTCTTCAAATCCAGATGGCTGTACACAGTGCTACTGTTCTGGAAAAGCTACCAAGTGCGGTAGTGCCAAATACGTGAACGTACCCATCTATGACATGTCTGGTTGGACCCTAGTTGGTTTGACGTTCAAAGAAGACATATTAAATGTCACAGATCTGAATATAACAACCGAAAGCTTAGGTAAATGTATCTAAAGTTATATTTAATTTTTGTAATAAAAAAAATGTTTTTTTTAGATTCCAATGCTATCGGGGTTGTTCTATCGAACCTGGACGAATCGACTGTTGGATATTTTTCTGCGCCACCATCTTATTTAGGAAAATTACTGGCGTCTTACGGCGGATCATTGGTGTACTCAATATTTTTCAGCATCGGCCCCAACGGTTCAGCGATCGCCAGTCCAGATGTAGTACTCAAAGGTAAGACTCATTTTATTGTAAACAAAAAAGCGTCGTTACTCTCCTTGCAGTTTGAATGACGGATTTTAACTGAAACGCTCTGCACGCTGCCAACAATCTACCGAATCTTCTCGGCGGATGAAGCATATTTGGGAGAGTGGCGCTACTGGTTTATTTATACTATTACATTACTTAATATATAGTCTATAAAATGAATAACTTTGAATTTTGACCGTTATTTTTTACCAACATGGTAAATATAAAATTCCTCTGTCAAAAAAGTTACTGATATTCTTTAAATTGAGTACCTAAACGAATCAGATAGGTAACTCTTTTTACTTTCGTGAAATAGAAAAGGAAAATAATAAAACAAGTGACAGTTCTTCCTCTTGCAAAAATCACCACGCAATGTCATAATTGTCAAAAGTAAAATGACATCGGCTTTTGACATTTCTAAATATCAGACCAATGCCGTCTCTAATAGAACAGCCTCGGAGCGAGATTTATGACGTCACCCTAGTTAGATACTACGGATTAATAAATATGTTGTAGAATACATGGAAAACATAATTATTCCTCGTATTTTTGGTTTGTATTTTAAAAATGATATAGTTTACATGAGTTAATAAATACAATATATATATATATATATATATATATATATATATATATATATATATATATATATATATATATATATATATATATATATATATATATATATATATATATATATATATATATATATATATATATATATATATATATATATATATATATATATATATATATATATATATACCTATTTATAGTAATAAATACTTTGGCAAATAAACTATGAACCATACAAATGCAGCAAATGTTTTACAATATACAAATAATGAATAGGTACATAAGATAATGGGTAAAATGTAAAATATATTTTAAATTTTGGGGTTTGAAAATCGATCTAATTTAACAAAAATCATTCAATATCTACTAATAGTGATGTATTATTATTTGCATTCACAAAATTTATATGTATATTTTGCAAGTACCAATGTTCGAAAAATATTATATTTGCAAATAATACAATATCATAGAAAAAAGGCGTCAGCGATGGCTATGAAATAAAGATCGTTGTCATTTTATATATTGGCTGTTCTATTAGAGACGGCATTCCGTCAGCATGGCCGCAAGTTGTTAACCTAATAAAATTAACACTAGAAAAGCCCGCGGGAACTGTCAAATTCAAAGTTATTCGTTTCACAGACTATAACAATGTTTTATAGGACCCAACGGCTATCTCCAATACTCCAGCGTCGATCAGCCGTCAGCCAACGTAAACTTTGAAGCGGAAGTGGACTTTTCAGAGCTAGTTTTCAGCACTGCATCCGGTGATTATGCCAAGAGAACGGAAATCATGGACGTCCTGAAAGACCTGAAAGGCATTTACATAAAGGCCAGTTACTGGACCCATGGAGAAACAACGAGGTAGAATAAATTCCATGGAAGAACTTCTGGAGAGATTATTGTGTGTTATTTGTTTCAGATTAACCAACGTCAACCTGGGGTACGGTATACCTAGAGAAGAATATAGAAAAAGGTATCCTAATTATCCTCTACCACCGGATATGGCGTCAGTGGAACAATGCGTCTGTGAGCCCAACTATCAAGGTAAATTTTGGAATTTTACCGGAAATGAATTTTCGACATCGTTTTTTTTACGAAAAAAAAACTTCATAGACAACAAAGAACTTCATCCCTGAAAATATTGGCACTTCCCAAGTAGCAAAATTACGTTGTTCACGTAATCACAACGTCGCCAGGAGCAACCCAACGTTGCAGGACAACGTCGAAGCGACGTCTAAGCGACCCATATTTGCACCAAAATGGTGGATGTTTTTAGGGTCGCTACAACGTCGCCAACGTCAACGAGGTGACGTAGTACGTCGTGTGCTAAAAGTTGTTTTTCATGCCGATTTGCGATATTTTGGGTTTCGAGTTAAAAATATTCGTCGTCAAATATTACTATATTCAACCATGGGGAAACCAAAATGAATGATGTATGAATTAGAAATGTAATATATTATGCTCCATTAAGAAATAACTAGGTGAATTTAACTTCGACAAATCTGCAAAGTTTTGAGATGTCGGAAATTGAAATTCATCAACGAAGATTAGTTTGCTGTTGAAAATGACCACGATACTTCGAAATATGGCAAAACCCCTTTTTTTATTTCCCAATTTTAATTTTAAAATTATAGTGTACTAGGTTAACCTAACTTTTTTTTTGTTTAAGTTTGAGACAAATATACGAAATCTATCAGGAAAATTAGCTTACAACCCTAACAGATACAGTTTTTAACAATATTCGCAGTATTTTGTGGTTTCTTATATTTTATTCGATTCGTCCACAACGTACGAAAAGATAAGTCGTATTAAAATGGCGGAGTTGCCTAAGGCAACCTCTAAAATACCAATATAGTGCATAAGGTGCGGTAACCGACCTTTGGGCCACCTATGCCAACGTTTGGTTCAGAAATTGACACCTGCTTGGACGAAATAGGACCTCTGAACCCTACCGACATATAGGAGGTAAATAACAAAATTCCTTGAAATAGCCATCTTATCTGATAGTCAAGCAGCGTTAAAGGCGATCAACTCAGTATCAATCAATTCGAAATTGGTCAAAGAATGCATAGAGAAGCTGAATAAATTAGGCAAAGAAAACAAAGTCCTCCTACACTGGGTGCCTGCTCACCAAGGGATAGAAGGCAATGAAAAAGCAAATAATCTAGCTAGGAAAGGAGCGAACACTCCACTAACTGGACCAGAACCGTTCTGCTTTCCAAGTGGTAACCAACTCAAGGCGGAACTCAAGAACTTCCATCCGCAACCTGGAATGGAAATCTTGCAATGGTCTAAGACACTCGAAGAAGTTTCTGAGGGCTTATGATCAAGAAAAATCACAGATCTTCCTGGGTCTGAGTAAGAACAATCTTCGGATTGTCACGGGGTTTTTAACAGGACACTGTCTCCTCAATGAACACCTCAGTAGATTGAAACTAAGAAGAAACGGCGAATGCAGATTCTGTGGGGAAGATGGGGAAACACCAGTACACCTCATCACTGAGTGCGCCGAGACGACAACCATTCGTGCCATGAATTTTGGTACGACTGATATTGGAGATGGAGAACTACCCTCTATAAAACCTTTTGTCAAAGCCCTGGGACTGTATGATGAGTTATGATTCAAGAAAGGGGGACACAATGGATCTGTAAGGTCGAAGTGATTAACCCCCCTCCCACTCATTCTAAATTCTAATTCTAAAAACAAAATTCCTTCTTACAGTGCTCTTTTTTACCAAGGAAAAATAAAATAAAGAAGAAAGCGGGGTCATCCTTTGATGGTGGTGGTCACATACTCGTTAATAAGATCGCTGACATTAGATCAGTATTTCTATTTATTTATTGTTAAAAAAGCCGTACAGGAAGTATTGTTGATCTTACCACTCCACGTGCATCAATCGGCAGCCCTTTTATACCACAAGATGATGATCTTTTTAAAAGCTAGTTTACAGCTGAATGGGATATATTATTTTGTGCACTCCACTGACTTAAAAATGTTTTTATTTTTTGGTCAAAAGGACGTCAGGATGAATTTCAGTTGACTGCTTCTCTATGTATTGCTTCTGTATGTATGTGACATGTACTGTTATGTATTCCATTGATGATAAGCTACCACTAGTAGCACATTGCGAGGATGTGGATGACGAACTTGTTATTTCCACTTCATTTTTCGGACACTGACTTGCTCGCTGACTTTCTTCTAAATACTTTTTCTTTTTTCTATAAAAAGTCGTAGAGTATTTATATACTTTTTTCCTATACATCTTCTTTTCGCTTTACACAGTAAGTAATGACAACGGTATAAAACCCCACTTCTAACAACGTTGTGCCCTACAACGTTTACCAACGTTGTTAAGGGTTAAAATATACAACTGTTTAATTTGAGGTTTGGGTATGCATAGGACAGGGAAAAGTACCAATTTGAACGTTGCGCGTAGTCAAAACTAGTCGGAAGTCGGAATTTTGTTACTTGGATTATTTAATACTCACCCTGTATATATCATTTCTATAGGATTATCTTGTGAGGAATGCTCCCCTAGATACTACAGGATCAAGTCAGAGGGATCTCTAGAAGGTGCGTGCGTTCCCTGTGACTGCAACGGACACTCGAGCAGATGTGACGTGAACACTGGTGTTTGCTTAGTAAGATGCTTTAATATTATTTGTCTTTGTGAGCCAATTTTTTTTTCATTAATTTCAGGACTGCCAACACAACACTAGAGGTGACCATTGCGAACTTTGTGACGTAGGATACCATGGAGATGCTAGAGGTGGCACACCAAACGACTGTCTTATTTGTGCCTGTCCTTTACCTACTAGTAGTAACAAGTAAGTTTTGTCACTAAATGTACAGGGTGTCGGCCTCTGTTTTACTTTTAGAAATAACAAAAAAATCAAAAAATCTCTTAAATTTTGGCTAAGTTGCATTTCACTTGAATACACAATTTTTTGGGGTTATAAAAATATGAAGTTTGTTGGTATTTTTTTAGACATTTGGGAAATAATTAAATATTTTTGATAACAATTTGTGTAAGAATTCTAAGATGGCTGCAAATGAAGAAGACACATTTGAAATTATTCGTCTTCTTCGAAGTTCATCCTACTAAAATTTGTTATTTTATTTGATATACCGATCTGGCCATCGAAACTGCGTGGTCTGGATTTTAACGTGTAAGACAGTGATGCAGACAGCTTAAATGAGAAACCAAATGTATTAAAAAGAGATAAAAGTTAGATTGATACATTTCTTCTATGCGGTATTGCCGGATTTTGCATGAAAAATCCAAACCGTACAAGTAGGTATTTACGAAAAATGTTGCATCTAGGGTTGGCACTTTATTTTTCTTAATTAGTTACTCATTTTTTACTTTACTTTTATTTCTCGTACGAATCAGCAACACTGTATGCCGCTTTTTATTTGGTCTGTCTGTCTGTCAACTGGTCGTATACAGGGTGTCCCAGGCTGACCGTGTATTAGAAGTTTCTAGAGAACTACAACAACTAGCTCGGAGATTTTTTGCACATCATAGTTCCACAATGAGATCTATCGATTGAAAATATTTTCAATATGGCGGCACTTACAGAAATACCGGAAGTTGATAGCAACTTTCTTATTTTAAATGGGTGCCCCCATTTTTTATTATGTACTTAAATTCTCTGTAAAATTTTATGAATTTTGATATTAAACACTCTATATCTAACATTGACCGTTTTTGAGAAAAAAAATATTTAAAATTTTTGAACGAAAAAAATTGTCTGTCAAAAATATGTGTATAGCCTAAACGTCAAATTTAGTGATTACCACAGCCACTGTGCCATAAAGAAAAAACATGTGGCTATCTATTTCAAAAATTAAATTGTTCGAATGTCATATAATAATGGCCGCAGCTGTCATAGAATTGAGCGATTAAAAAATTATCATAAATCATTTTTTTCAAATGGAAACCCACTTTTTTATTTCGCTAGTGAAAAGGCTTTTCAATTCGTTACTTTTTAACTATACATGTTCCTATACCTAAAATAAATCGCTTTAAAGTTATTTAAGATTTAGTTTTAAAGCGTATATTTTCTTGATTTTAACCAGTAGCCTATGACTTTAAACGTCAAATGATAGAATAGATAAAACAATAGATCTGGCCATGTCACATTGTGACGCTTTGTTCAAAAAGCAGCATCATTTTCGAGCCAACTTTGTGCTGTTTTTTCTTTTGATCATACACTATATTATTAATAATATCAACTATTAGATATCGCTAAGGAGCGAAAAAACGAGATATATTTTTATAAATACACTTTTTAAATTCTTAAGCAGGCAGTATTTTTACTATAGGAAATTCAAATAATTTGTTTTCTGACAGATGGAAATAAATTGACTGACCGTTTGACACTTAATGTCAAAGGAAGCTAGATAAAATCAAGAAAAATATACGTTTTCAAACTAAATCTTAAATAACTTAAAAACGATTTATTTCAGATATAGGAACATGTATAGTTAAAAAGTAACAAATTGAAAAACAGTTGCATTAGTGAAATGAAAAAAGTGTGTTTCCATTTGAAAAAAATGATTTATGATAATTTTTTAATCACTCAATTCCATGACAGCTACCGCCATTATTATGTGACATTTGAACTATTTAATTTTTGAAATAGAGAGCCACGTCTACTCTTTATGTCACAGTGGCTGTGGTAATCACTAAGTATGACTTTCAGGCTATACACATTTTTTTGACAGGTAGTTTTTTTCGTCCAAAAATTTTAAATATTTTTTTTCTCAAAAAGTTCAGTCAGTGTTAGATATAGAGTGTTTAATATCAAAATTCATAAAATTTTACAAAGAATTTAAGTACATAATAAAAAATGGGGGCACCCATTTAAAATAAGAAAGTTGCTGTCAACTTCCGGTATTTCCGGAAGTGCCGCCATATTGAAAACATTTTCAATCGGTAGATCTCGTTGTGAAACTATGATGCGCAAAAAATCTCCGATCTAGATATTGTGGTTCTCTAGAAACTTCTAATGCACGCTCAGCCTGGGACACCCTGTATATCTATCCGAGTATCTATCTCTGTCTTATGCATTAAAGCACAGACCACGGAAATAAAGTGACCAGGGCTAGTTCAGTCAAAACTAAATGTTGAATTTTTCTCCAGTATTTCAAATGGAACAACCTGTATTTTGTATTAAAAACGGACATATTATTGCTTATTCTTTTTTAAGAACTCTGTTTTTTTTTAAATATAACGCTAGATTGCCTTTCGCTTTCGCTCTTTCTAATTAAAAACAAGATTAAAAGATAGAATGTTTTAGCTTAATAATATTAAACCTTTTATATTCTAGCTTTGCCACTGCTTGCGATGTCAGTTCAGACGGAGAACACATCAACTGCGATTGCAAAGAAGGATACTTCGGCGCCCGTTGCCAGGGTTGTGCTGCAGGATTCTACGGCAGACCGGAAGTTTTAGGTATACCTAATCTCTCTAATAGCGATTTTGTACCTGACTGTTTATACAAGTTTGCACCAGCGGCATAGCGTGGCGTCAATACAATGAGATGTAATAAGTTATGCAATTAACATTTTACCAACACAATAAGTTTTTTTTATTAAAGTCTTTAATTTTGAAGTCCCCGGGGGTGCCCGGTGGCGTAGAGGTACAGGCTGTCGTCTACCAGTCTTAAGGTAGTGGGTTCGAATCCTACACCCGGCAGTTCATCAGCCGACTATTTTTAATAAAATAAAAATAGTTTGGGTACCTAGGTCGACTCAGCCTTAAATGAGTACTTGGGATTCACAATTCTGGGGTAATAATAGGCGGTTGAAGCGTAGTGCTAGCCACATTACCTTCCTTGTATACCGAACGGCTCTAACATGGCAAGCTGTACCTTGCTACTCCCAAGGCGTTAAACGCTCTATACGGAAGCTATTATTATTATAATTTTGAAGTTACAGAAATAAAATATACAAAAAATGTAACAGAATACAAAATAATCAAACCAATGAGGAAAATGCATGTTTTTAAATAATGGTTTTAAAAAATAGTTCATATAGTTATAAATTGAACAAAAAAAATCGTTGATATCGGTTAAGAAATGCCTCTAATATAAAATAATTAAATATTGTTAATTTAAATGGCCGGGCAAACGCTCTCTACCGCGCCTTGCCGCTGTGACGTCACCCGCCGTTCTTCTGGTTGAGTGGAGCCAGACGCGTGTGTATTTTACACAGTTTGCTTTTAAACGCTGTTGAATCCGAGTCAAAATTTTAGTTATTTGGGTTAATTAATACATAATTAGTAACTAGTGATATTTATAAATAGTAATGGATGAGCGAAAACAGAAAAAAAAGGTCCAAGGCCATGAGAAGAGATGAAAAGAAAAATTATCCTCTATTTTTACGATTTATTGTTGTGAAGATCATTTTGATGTAAGTTCATATATTTATGTATATTGTCTTACATAGGTATATGAAATTTGAATGTACAGGGTTATTCATTATATTTTGACACCCACATACAGCCTTAACTGCAAGTTTTAGAAGAAAACATTAAATAAAAAATTGCATGGTTTTTCATATATTCTCTTTTAAAATTAATTCTAGATATACAGGGTGTCTCAAAAAAGGTGGTCCAGAAAATTGTAGGTATTTTTCGCTTTTCAACTGTCAATATTTCGTAAACATTTGAAGATAGGTATAGGATATTATACATGAAATATATCTAGAATATCTAGAAATTTCCGAAGAATCCAAAAATATATAGGGTGTTTCACTTAAAAAAGTAACTTAATTTTGGCGTTTGCTTATAAAGACTCCTTGTATAATATTTTCATTGCTGATAAACAATTTATTTCCTATAATTTCTTAAAAAAAACAATCTTTAAAAATAACAAAGGTAAGGGGGTGTCAATATATAAAAAAAACTTTCTTTTTCACGCTATGCTCTGGAGTTACTTTTCCACGTACTAAACAAATATTTTTGTCTCTTTTCACTTCTACATAACCTACAGCATTATCTCCATACGTCTCCCTACCTGATCTGAAAAATAAGTTTATAACATTAATATTTATAACTATATAAAAGTTCGTAACAGCATAGGTACCTACTTATACTTAAATATGCCTCAGTACTACAAAGAATAAATGTTACATACCTCTCTGTTTTTTTCCTCGTAATTCAGCACCAATAAATTGGGAATTTGTATTTATAAAAGCAGCCAACATAAAAGCATCGACTTTTGGCAAGTTATTTGATTGTGCTTTTACAAACCCGGAATCTGCCATTACTTAAAAAATTCTTAGAACATACAACACATACAAATAATAACTGCACAAAAAAGCATAAAAAGCTCCTTCAATCAACGCTAAAAGCAACAAAAATGTCTTAGTACGCCACCTAAATACGTACATAAACGGAACACGTCTGGCTGCTGCTGGCCATCGCGCGTCGACGAGAACGGCGGGTGACGTTAGACCAATAGAATATCGTTTCAATTCGCGAGGCGTCGTTTGCGTTGTCCATAGTATTTTAATGGCCCGATTTATAAAATTGTGGTACTGCTTTCAAGAATTTTTTTTTTTTTGCATTTTTACATATTTATCCTAATAAATTGAACAGTTTCTGGCGAAAAATAAAATATATGCATCTTCCTCATTAAAAAAAAGAACTAAGTTTAGGCAAAAAAACAAAGCTGTGAACGTATCTGTTCAAATTTTAAAATTAAGATCAATTCTTCTAGTATGCATATTTGCGAAAATTTTTATTACATTTTTTCAAATTAAGAAGATAGCATACTCTCTACTATCTATTGTAATCGTAAAACATTTTCCAATGCACATCATCAATCATATCGACATTGACTTTATAGAGCAAATGATTGTAACAGATATTTTATTTAGATTAAAGCTGCAAAAATTAGTTTAGACCGAATTTTATTATCGCTATGTTGGTCACATTGCGCCGTTTTCAGCAAGGTTATCGTTTATTATTTGACAATTATCGTAACGTCAGGCATTATTTTGTATAATACCGTGTTATTATTGAATCTTTGTGAGTAATTCTCGTTATTTTTGTTTATTTTCATAGTCTTTTTAAAACATTGTTCTTTTAAGCAAAAACAGTTTTTTGAAGAACTAAATTTTCGAGTTTTTGTATTGTATTTTTTGAAATTGTGTGTTGCAAATATGCCGAACCATTTAAACAGTCGAAGCAAAGAGCTTGTAGCTTCCCTGATAAACTATTTTGAACGAGAAGGACTGCAGTCAGAGAAGTGAGTTTGATTGATAAGCACATTACACCACTTTCAAAGTTATTTCTACGTTAGTTTTTATTAATTTAATTTCTGTGATTATTAGTTTGTGCATTAATAGCACTCTCTTATGGCGTTGTAAGATGTACATAAATAAATAAATAAATAACCCATAATAACGTTTAGAATAATCTTCATAATAGACTAGGTTTTGCCAATGTGTAATAAGTATAATAAGCTATAAAACAAATAAAATCCATTAATTACTAAAATATTAGTTATTAAATGAAAAATAAAAGGTAAAAATCTTTAAAAAATTATATAATAAATATATTGTTGTCACTTTTAAATTAAGAAACATCTCATAAATCCATCACAATCTGGCAGCGCTGTCGCCATCGCTTGTCACTGAAAGTTGTGATCACGTGCATGGGAAATTGTTTTGGATTACCATAATTGAAAAGTTGACCTGTGATACAAAATATAATTTTCTATCGAATAAAGTAAAAAAATACTGAGAATGCCATTTAAAAATCAGAAGTTGTAGTCATTTCCGGTGAAACAGGAAGTTACCGAAAACAATTGAATACGTCAATCAGTCCTAATTTATGTCATATACTAACATACCAAATCTCGTTTTTTTAACTGAAAAAATAAAATGTGATGTACCATTTAAAATTAAAGATAATATCAGTCAAGAAGATATTTCACAAATCATCATTGTATTAATTACATTATTTTTAATGTATTAATTTATATTTTTATTACATTATATTATTATTCGATATAGGGGATTACTGCAAACCTTGCAAGTGTTCTGGCAACATCGACGTGCAAGATCCCAGCTCGTGCGATACCGAAACAGGGAAATGCTTGAGATGCTTGAACAACACCTTCGGAGAAGCTTGCGCTTTGTGCGCTCCTGGATTCTACGGCGATGCTATAGAGCGTAAAGATTGCCAAGGTAATTTATTCATCGTTTGAAAATGTTGGTAAAATCGTTTTTCTAATTTTGACATTTAAAGTGGCACTTTCCGTTTTGAAAGTTGTCTTATTTCGCAACTAGTTTGGAAATATTGTTCTTTTCGTAGCTAGTGATAAATTAAATGATTCATCACTAGTTGCTTAAAAAAACACAAAAGAAGCTATTTTATCTTCATACTAAGGGCTGGCAGAGGTTAGTTTTGGGTCGAGATTTCCGTATCTAAGAAGAGTATAATGCGTTTATAATGTACTGAACAAAGAGAGAACAGTAAAAACGTTGCCAAGCGTATGAAATAAACTGAGAATCTGTGCACATTGCTAAGAGACGTGGAAGGAGATACAGCAGATTCGTCGCGGTCGACCCAATCAGTACTTCTAGAAAATTCTAGAGAAGGGTGTATATCACGCGTTCAGCTGTACGATTTGATTACGTCTCGTGATACTTTATTTGTTTATTTATTAACGAGTCGTTGTAATTTTCCCTATAGCTTGTAAATTTTAAAGTGCAAGTTAGAAACACTTGCACTTTTGGTAAAAATAAGTGGAATTGAGTTGGTGTTCGACAGTGGTCGCGCTATTAGGACTCAAAGGATTTAGGATTTAAAAATCGATATCTCGAAATCCATTAGAAATAATTGATTGTAGTTTTTTCAAAAACTTTCTTAATATTTCTGCTATATTTTTTTCGCAGACAGTATATGAAAATCTTTATGAATAAAAAAGTTACACGATTGCTGAAAATTGCTATGCACTAAAAGTAAATGGATGGGTTGTTTAAAATTTTTGAATGGATAAAAACAACCTCATCGAATTTTTCTTATTTAAACATATTGTAAAAGATCCGATCTTCAAAATAAAAAAAAGTTTCAATATCAGTGGTTCCTAAGTTATGGCGTGTTATGTGTTATAAAATTGAGTTTTTAAATTATCGCGATTACTGACGTTTTCTTGTTAGAAAAAATATGGACACCCTAACGATATCCTTATAAGTCCATTTCAAATGCTCAGAAACATAATAATGATTTTATCTAGTTATCTTTTCGAAAAAAAGTCTTAAAAATAAACGGTTGGCGATCATGATTTTACTTTACTTGATAGGGAAAGGCGTACTGGAGGAATGTGGCAACGTCACAACAGCACACAACTCTCACTCCGACTTAATAAGATATCTACGCGATTTACTTCCACACATGTAAATACCGACCCAAAAGTAAGAGTTGCCAGCACGGTATAAGTCATATTTTCATTCCCTTCTTAGAACTTTTTTATTCTTTCACTTGTGACCTAGGAACAAAGAGTTAACGTATAAACCTATCTTTTTCTCCGTCTGAGCTATTTGAACTTGTACAAAACGATATTTGATACTCTCAACTATCAACACCAACTTAAACAACCCTTCCTTAAGTGGTTTTTATTCTGTTTCAGCTTGTATCTGTGACGAATACGGTACTTCTCGTTGCGACCACACCACAGGTATCTGCGTGTGCAAGCAGAACGTCGTTGGAGAAAAATGTGACAGGTGTCTTGAAGAACATTACGGATTCCAGTCTGGACAAGGTAAAATCCAAATCCAAAGTTATTTAACACGGCTGTATTCCGTTGCAAAACTAGGCGAACCAGATCGGTAAACTACGGTAAAGAGCGGTTCCTGAAAAACATCGGTTTGATACGGAACGGTTTGGTAAAATACTGGAAACGTCAAATGTTGACGTTTTCTAAATTTCAATAGGTACCTCTATTATAAAATTTATCTTTTATGCATTTTTAAACGGTTTTATTTAGCTCGACCCGTACGGTATTTATTTATTTGGGTCAAAATTAGAAATTGAAATTTAAGTACCTTCCTGTTGTCAGATTGATCTGAAATTTGGTACACACCTTTAGTTCCGATGACAATACAATATAGTAATATCAATAACATTGTAAATATAAAATGGCCGCCGGTACAAAATGGCGGATTTCATATTTTTCCACAACCCCCTCAATATGGGTATCAAATGAAAGGGCTACACTAGTAGAATACTGTGATTATGACAAAATTTAAAATCCAAGATGGACGTCGTTACTAAATGGCGTATTAGGTGAGGGCATGAGTAGTCGTGTCCAGAACAGTTGTGTCCAAGATTGTGACGGCATACACGTTATACACCCGAAAGCCATACAGTTTCCAGCAAAATTCAATTATGGTACGGCTGAAAGAAGGATGTTACCCTTAATTTTGTCATGGGCATCCACCGTCCATAAAATGAAAGTACCCATAAGGACAATGTAAACACTATTTGGCGCTATTCTTGCAACGGTCGCGACCCAAAACTTTTGAAAATTTCGGAGCGGTTCGGCTTTTTCCGGAATTATATCGCCCAAATATTGTTTATTCAAATTTATTATTATTTTCGTTTAATTTTATAAATAAAATACAGTGTGTTGCATACAAGAAACTTTATTTTATATAAGGACGCATGTATGAAACATTGGAAACCGACGTTATGCCACGATCCACGATGGTTTTTGCAGTTCACAATTCACAGTACAGCTTTTTAAGTTTTTAATGCCACTTTTTCACAATTATCACCTGTTGGAGTAAATAAAACTTGAATTGAACTCACAAGATAGCAATAATTACTTTCAAAATGGACGCTATAAACACTTTTCGGAATTAATTTAATGAGAGCGGTTTAGATTTTGAAAGATTATTATGATTTTTGAAGATTCTGACTTTGACAAGAGAAAATTATTTCTGTTTTTGTTTGCCGTTGTTCTTAGCGACCGCTATAGCAGCGCCAGATCGCGTATAACGGTCGCGACCCAAAATTTTTACGGGCTTTCCAATCTAAACTTGTTGCATTTATCTATGCTTTTTTTAAAACAGATACGTCTACGAAAAATGTTGAAGTTTTGTTAAAATGACATTGTATCAAGTTAAACTTCAAAATTAACAATTACTACCTGATAATAATTACTTAATAAGGTAAAATCAAAAAGCTTCAAACTTTCTGTATGATTATTTTACGTTTATAATTTTTACGTATCTTATGCTCTTTAAAATCAAAGAAGCGATTGCCATACATTACTAACATCTACAGATGCACGAGCAATACATTTATTTTTATTAGATTGTATTAAAAAGCTTCTTTTATTTTTCTTCTTTTATTTTTTTTATCGCTTCTGTCATTATAATTTTTTCGTGGTTAAAATCTACTGCGTGCCCTGTGTCCCATGAATGCTGACAAATCTTAGATTTGTGAAATAGTAAATAATTATTTCTTGTAGGATGTACCAGTTGTGGTTGTGCCGAAGCAGCAGAGAGTAACGAATGTGTGGACGCCACCGGACAATGCAGGTGCAAACCGGGAGTTACCGGCAGAGCCTGTGACAGATGCTCAGCCGGATACTGGAACTATACAGCAGATGGATGCGTTTGTAAGTAGAGGAAGATAAATATTGTAATCGCAAAACATTTTCCGATGCACGTCATCAATCATATCGACATTGACACTAAATTGTGTAAACCTGACTAAATGAAATTTTGGCAAAAATGTTTAAATTTGTTGTATAATTTATAGTGTTGTAAATGGAAATATTGGAAATTTCCAAGCGTGTCTCGGAAATATTGGAAATATTGGGAATATTGGAAATATTTTTAAAAATACTTAAATCTTGTCATTAACGATTCAAACCCGATGTTTATTAATATATCTTTCATATTTTGTAACCCTATAAACATTAAACTTACTATAGAACAGTTTTACAAACATATAATATGGTGAATATATCGAGTTTGAGGATTCACCTACTTATTTGCAACCTCGCATTTCTACGGGGAAGTCCCGAGCTCGTAGGTCGAGCGTAGGGAAGTCCCTGATCGACATTAATTTTGCTGTAAAATCATTTTGTGACATTAGAAGGGTAATTCAGAATAATCTTGCATTGTCCTCACTTGACGACAAATAAAAAATCCAAATTGTTGGAGTTTGTTGACAAAAGAGAAAAATTTGCTATTAAACCCATTCATTGTGCTGCAGAATTACTAAATCCAAAATCACAAAGTTCTGAACTTGATGAAACCCAAATTCTTTCTGCCATAGAATGCATACTTAATATATCAAAAAATAAGCTCAATATAAAGGAGCAAGAAATAATAGATGAAATAACAAGCAAGTTATTTGGAAATAACTTCATATGGAAAAGTAGTTTTGATAACCCAGTCTCCTGGTGGAAAGGACTGTGTTCTTCATCATCATTATCATAGAATGTAGAATGTAGAATGTAGAATGTAGAATGTTTAGAAGGGGAGTTAATCACCGCGACCTTATAGATCTATTGTGTGTTCCCTTTTCTTGAGTTATAACGAGTTATAACTCATCATACAGTCTCAGGGCTTTAAGAAAAGCCAGTATCTGAGACGGCTCCACAGAGGCCAGCTCTCCATCCTCGACATCAGACGTGCCAAGGTTCATGGCACGAATGGTTGTCGTCTCGGCGCACTCAGTGATAAGGTGTTCTGGTGTTTCCCCATTTTCCCCACAAAATCTGCATTCGCCGTTGTTTCTCAGTTTCAGCCTACTGAGGTGTTCGTTGAGGAGAAAGTGTCCTGTTAGAAACCCCGTGACAATCCAAAGATTGTTTTTACTTAAATCAAGGAAAACCTTTGATTTTTCTCGGTCGTAAGTTCTGAGGAACTTTTTCGAGTGTCTTAGACCGTTGGAGGACACCCATTCTATATTACGGATGGAGTCTTCCAGATTCTTCAGTTCCGCTTTCAGTTGGTTCCCGTTAGGAAAACAGAACGGTTCTGGTCCAGTTAGTGGAGTGTTCGCTTCTTTTCTAGCTAGATCATTTGCTTTTTCATTGCCTTCTATCCCTTGGTGAGCAGGCACCCAAACTACACCGACTTTATTTTCTTTGCCTAATTTGTTAAGCTTCTCTAGGCATTCTTTGGCCAACTTCGAATTGATGGTTACTGAGTTGATCGCGTTAAGTGCTGCTTGACTATCGGATAGGATGGCAATTTCCTGTTTTCGATAGTTTCTATCTAAGATAAATTGTACGCATCTTTCGATAGCGTAAATTTCTGCCTGAAGGATACTGGGGTAGGTGCCCATTAGTTCGGAGTATTTAGTTTTCGGCCCAAATACTCCTATCCCTGTCCCTGCTTTGGTTTTGAAAGCATCAGTATACCAAGTGATGGTATGGTCTTTTATATGCTGAGTAAGCGTTTCTTTCTTCCAATTCTTTTTATTACTCAATACTACAGTGAGGTGTTTCTCAAAGTTGTAAATTATTGGTATGTCATCCACTGGGAGGTGGAGAAGTGGAATTTTATTTTTGAGGGTGTTCCAAGCCCCCGACCTGAAAATTCTCCCAGTACTGTTTCCGTCAATGACCATTCTAATCATTGTCGCATTGGCATAACTGCCGACGACGATGTGCAGTGGTGTTAGGTCTAGAATGACCTCCATTGCTGCTGTTGACATGTTCTCATGGCACCTGTGATGCAGATACATGCCAGTCTCTTTACTTTGCACAGGTTTTGCCTTGCTGTACGTTGCTCTAGTTTTGTATACCAAGCAACTGCTCCATAAGTAATCATGGGTCTTACTATCATGGTAATACAACCAGCGCAAAATGTTAGGGGCGCAGCCCCACCTATTTCCCCCCAGTCTTCTGCATATCAGAGAGTCTTTGTGGCTTTGCTAGTAATGTTCTTAATATGCCTGTTCCAGAGAAGTTTACTATCCAGGGTTATTCCCAGATATTTCACTTCCAGCGATGGCAGTATTTCCTTTCCATCTAGATACATTCTTTTCAAGTTTTTCAAACTTCGCTTTCTGGTGAATGGCACTACTGCTGTTTTATCTGAGTTAATACTCAGCCCGACAGTCCTGCACCATCTCTCAGCGATGCGGAGTCCTCTTTGGATAATATCACACAGGGTGCCTTCATGTTTCCCCCGTGCAATGATGACTATGTCATCTGCATACCATATGCAGTGTATTCCCGCTAGAGTTAATTCTTCCATTAGTTCATCCACTACCAAGCTCCACAGTAGGGGGGAGGTCACTCCACCTTGTGGAGTTCCTTGCGTTGTTTTAACAACTACAGTTTTGGTACAACTGCTGTTCGTGTTGAGAGCATTTCCCAAAACCAGCGAATTATCGTACTGTTCACCCCTCTTGTTTCAAGAGATCGCTTGACCACGTTGTGAGGTATATTGTCAAATGTACCTCACTGCAATGTCCAAGAAGGCACAAAGTGCTGTTTCTTTCCTATCCAGGCTTGCCTGTATTAGCTCAGTTAACTGGTACAGAGTAGTTTCTGTGGATCTGCCCGCTCTATATGCATGCTGACTATCGTGCAGTGGTTTAACCTGTAGATGATTTACTCTAATATGGTTGTCCACTACTTTCTCCATCGTTTTTAATATGAACGATGTGAGACTAATAGGCCTAAATGATTTGGGGTTAGCCCAGTCAGTTTTGCCTATTTTGGGTATGAAGATGACTTTCGCTCTTCTCCAGATGGTTGGTATATATCCCATCGCTAAGCTGCTTCTTGTAATGTTTAATAGATGGTGTGTAGCTATTTCCTGACCCTTCTTTAGAAGGGCAGGAAAAATCCCATCTATTCCTGCCTTTTTATAAGGCTGAAAGGTGTCAATAGCCCATTTCAGTTTTTGTTCTGTTATTACTAGCTTGGCCGTCTCCCAGTCTTCCCTGCGAGGATTGTGGGGTTCGGTCGGAGCTACTTGCGTATCAATAGATATGCTACCTGGGAAGTGTGTATGAAGTAGGAGGTTAGCTCATTATCATAAGTAGCTTTACGAATTTTGATGATGCCAGTATCTTCGGCTGCCACGGAACGCAGTTTTAGCGTTTATAGTCATATTCATTCAAAAAAGAGAAACAGGCTTACTAATAATAGAGTCGCTAAGCTACTCTACGTATCCCACAATGAAAACTTGCTGAAGAAAATAGGAAACGGCAATAGATCAATTTTTATTTCCGATACTATTGAAGATTTTGAGGAAGTAGACTGGCAAGAAGATGTTATTGAGTATGATGCTGATGACAGCGATGAAGATATGCCTCTTGCTTGACTAGTGTGTCAAAAATATTTTTTTTTGTACGAACTTAACCTTAATTTATTTTTTAATTTGAAGAATAACTCATTTTGTATTTTGCGATGTTTTGTTATGAATTTTATAAATAAATATTTCAGTTTTTCATATTTTTTTAAATATTTCATATATTTCCATATATTTCCAATATTTCCGGAAATATTTCCGAATCACTATTACATCACTAATAATTTAAGATACCGAGCAGCTCTTCATTTTACTTTATAGAGTAAATGATTGTAACAGATATTTTATTTAGATTAAAGCTGCAAAAATTAGTTTAAAACGAATTTTATTATCGCTGTGTTGGTCGCATTGCGCAGTGTTCAGCAATGTTGTCCTTTATTATTTGACAATTATCCTAGTGTCAGTCATTATTTTGTATAATATCGTGTTGTTGAATCTTTGTGAGTAATTCTCGTTTTTTTGTCTATTTTCATAGTCTTTTTTTTTAAATTGCACTTTTAAGCACAAACAGTAGTGATGTAAAAATTCTAAATAATCGTTACAAAGTAACAGTTACTTTACGAGGACTCGAAGTAACGCTTACCATTTGTATTTAGGACTCGTTACTCGTTACTAAACTAATTCGTTACTTTTGCGCTGGCAGTAATCGTAATCCCTGGAAATGCACGAACCGAGGACTCGAAACTCGATACTGAAATATCCCTTGCTTCGACGTAGGTCTAGTTGTTTTGTTATCAATATGTTTATGTTTAAAGTGTTGACTTGACGCCGGCCGGTGTTTTGGATGGTAAATGTGTGATATTTTTATTACAATTATTATGATTGGTTCATGCCGACCAGGCGGCGGTCTGTCCTTTTGCCGTTTGTTGTCGCTTTTTATTTAGGTAATTCCGCACGTTTTTTCAATTTTAGTTGACATAATTAATATAAGATATTATTTAGGGGTAGACTGGGTTTTATTTTTTGATTTATAGTTGCTCGGTGGCCGAAGAATAGAATTGTTTATTTAGATTGATATGTCTTAGATATTAGTTAAAAATGGATTCACGTTATTCACAAAAAAAATTTAATATCTAAACACTGCTGGGCGTTGATCCAAAGGACTTTTTTGAAGAGATGAATCCGTCACCGAGAAATAGACATTTTTTAAATATTTTTTTATTTTAACAAAAACATACATTTTTTTTATTTTTACTCTTTAATGTTTGCATAATTATTAATGTAAAATACAAAGAGAGAGAGAGAGAGAGAGAGAGAAAAATAAAAAAAATATTTTATATTATACACATATTTTCTATTAAGAGAGAGAAAAAATAAAAAAATACTTTATTTTATACACATATTTTCTACTTTCTTTCTTTGATTTGTTTTCTTTTATTTTTAATTTTATTACTACATAGTGATAACATATCATACAAATATTATACATATTATTAAAAACATATTATTCAGTACTTGAATACCGAGTATTGGCATTATCCTATTAAGCCCTTACACTAGAAGAAAGTAGAAACCCCTTATAGATCAAACCGAGCACGCAACGAAGATCGCCGCGCACAATAAGTAACGAAGTTCCATGTCAAGCCCAAGTCTTCCAACCTGTACACAAAACAACGATTATAAAGTAACGATACTAAGTACCAAAGTGACGAGTAACTAAAGTAACGAGTCCAAAGTAACGAGTCCATATAAGTAACTAAAGTTTACATCACTAACAAACAGTTCTTTTAAGAACTAAATTTTCGAGTTTTTGCATTGCATTTCTTGAAATTGTTGAAAATATGCCAAAGCATTTAAACAGTCGAAGCAAAGAGCTTGTAGCTTCCCTGTTTTTTTTTAACTATTTAAACGAGAACGTGACTATAAAGGTCCTTTATTACCCTTGACTGCAGTCAGAAAAGTAAGCTTAATTGATAAGCACATTATACCACTTTCAAAGTTAAGTTTTTATTAAATTCTGTGATTATTAGTTTGTGCATTACCAGCGCCCTCTTACTTATGTAGTTGTAAGAGATGCATCAATCTTTGAATAAGAAGACTAAGGAAGGAGCATAATGCTATCCATGCTTTGAATAAGAAGACTAAGGAAGGAGCATATCAAAAATCTTCGGTACACCGCGATGAGCCTCAAATATGGCCAAGTTAAATTCCGGTTTATCAGTGTCGTTCTAATTTTATTTAAAAAATGTAAAACTATGATGTAGGGTAGACGTGGGGTAGACTCAATAATTTGTTGTTTTATTTTACGTTGTGAATAAATGTTGGTAGTTATTAAAATTGTTATAAAAATATATAATTCTAATAAAAATAGATAAGTTATAATAAGTATTTATTACCACAAACATCCGATACGCTACTGAAGCAGGTAAGTCAAATTAACGTATCTAAATTCTTTGACATCTAATCTTTGACAAGTAATAAATAAAAGCTAAAATGCAAGAAAAATATATAATTTAGTTAATTTAAGTGAATTTCATAAATGATCGGTTTACTACACGTATGTATATTATATAGTCACTTACTAGCGAAAAGTTGTTCCATTATTTCACTCAATTTTTGCCGAGATCTACCGCACGCTACACAACCAACTATTTTAGAGTCTTTTTTCGATAAATCGCGATAGTGTCACTGTTAATTTAAGTGCTGCCACAATTTCCATCTAGATTTACTACCTTTATACAACTATCAGTAGTAGAATAAATAATAAATAACATAAAATAAGCTCCGTAAAGACTGACAAATCCACAAAATTTCAAATCAAATTCAAATGTGTCAAATGAATCGTCAAACAGAACTGTCAAGGATCCCCACCCTAGAGTGCTTTTTTGGCGCTTTTTCCGCCCACCATGCATGAATACATGGATAGCATTATGCTCCTTCCTTAGTCTTCTTATTCAAAGTATCCATGTATTCATGCATGATGGGCGGAAAAAATGCCATAAAAGCACTCTAGGGTGGGGATCCTTGACAGTTCTGTTTAACGATTCATTTGACACATTTGAATTTGATTTGAAATTTTGTGGATTTGTCAGTCTTTACGGAGCTTATTTTATGTTATTTATTATTTATTCTACTACTGATAGTTGTATAAAACCAGTAAATCTAGATGGAAATTGTGGCAGCACTTAAATAACAGTGACACTATCGCGATTTATCGAAAAAGACTGTAAAATAGTTGGTTGTGTAGACGCGGTAGATCTCGGCAAAAATTGAGTGAAATAATGGAACAACTTTGCGCTAGTAAGTGACTATATATATACATGTAGTAAACCGATAATTTATGAAATTCACTAAATTAACTAAATTATATTTTCTTGCATTTTAGCTTTGTTATTACTGTCAAGGAACAGATGTCAAGAATTTAGATACGTTAATTTGACTGACTTCAGTAGCGTATCGGATGTTTGTGGTAATAAATACTTATTATAACTTATCTATTTTTATTAGAATTATATATTTTTATAACAATTTTAATAAATACCAACATTTATTCACAACGTAAAATAAAACAACAAATTATTGAGTCTACCCCACGTCTACCCTACATCATAGTTTTACATTTTTTAAATAAAATTAGAACGACACTGATAAACCGAAATTTAACTCGGCCATATTTGAGGCTCATCGCGGTGTACCGAAGATTTTTGATATGCTCCTTCCTTAGTCTTCTTATTCAAAGGCATCAATAAATAAATAACCCATAATAACTCTTGTAATCATTTTCATAATGGACTAGTTTTTGCCAACATAGCACAGCTTTAATCTAAATAAAATATCAGTTCCAATCATTCGCTCTATAAAGTAAAATGAAGAGCTGCTCGGTATCTTAAATTATACAACAAATTAAAAATTTTGCGTAAATTTCATAAAGTCAGGTTTATAGACTTTAGTGTCAATGTCGATATGATTGATGACGTGCATCGGAAAATGTTTTGCGAATACAATAAGCTCAGTAACCTCTCATGTTCGCCTATATTTCAGCTTGCGGATGTAAGAGCGAGTTTTCACTGGGTTTCGGATGCAACGCTCTCACTGGTCAGTGTGAATGCCTGCCTGGAGTCATCGGCGAAAAATGCGACCAGTGTCCGCACAGATGGGCCTTCCTTCCCGATTCTGGCTGTCACCAGTGCGATAACTGTCATCACGCTCTTCTGAACGAGACCGATCTGTTGGCGGAACTGATCGATCCAGTTATACGAGAATTTAATGTAAGAATATTTATCTAATAGTGGAGTGCCCAGAGACTTTTACCTCGGAATTCAATTACTGTCAATGTATTAATGTGAAACATTCATTATTGTGTTTTATAGATAAAATACTAAAATGTTTACCCATTTTTTCCCCCATTTGCTTTTAATTTTTTATTTTAGTAATTTTAGTAAATTCTTAATTATTTCCTTCTTAATATTTTGATTTTTTTAATTATTTTTCTAAGTAAATTTATTGAAATAAATAAATCTAATGCATAGTATGCACCTATTCTGCTTATATTCTAATCATTGAAATTTTGGTTGAAATCGAATTATACAGGGTGGCACGTCATATGCGACGCGGTTTTTGCAAGGAGAACCAAAGTTTGTATTGAAGTGAAATTTTCTGAGCTTATGTAAGTCAATTTAAAGTATTTTCTAAAATTATGTAGAGTTCTACAGGGTGTCCCCAAAAAAAGTTACACATCAAAGTTATGTTTTTGTAATAGTAACACCCTATATATTAATTGATTTTTGGATTCTAGTAAAAAAATAAAGGTTTGTTTCATTAGAAAATTATATGACTAAAATGTATAGTTTTTGAAATACATTTACCGGTACGAAAAATAGGCATCTTAAAACTTTGATGTATTTTAAAGGTTATAATATATTTTATTTTAATGGGCCGATTTTGATGATTTTTTAAGCAGTGTGTTGCCAAATTATTTGACTTCTTAGTATCTTTTTCTAAATTAAAAATTAAACTCCCCATCTGTTAATTATACGAGGGAAAACAAAATGTTGATATTTTTGATGAAAGTTTGAAACACCCTGTGAAATACGTTAAAACAGCAAGAAATTTAAAAATTATTTTATCATCTAGATACATCCTTTCTCGATGGTTTGTTTTTTGGTTCATCTCATTAGCTTTATTTTTGTTGGAAATATTCGGTTTTAACGAAGGCACTAACATTTTTCGTAATTTTTACATTAAGACCATGCCTTTGCTTTTGGGCCTAGTCAACACATCTAGTAAGTTCTGGTCCCGAAACAGGCCTTCTTGACATAAGATTTGCTTCATTTAATCTTCTTCTTGTAGTCCTTTAGTTAATATGTACGGTTCTTAAGTGCAATTCATTATCAATTTGAAAAGCTGGCAAACGGCGGTTTCTTAGCGATAAACTTACGATAAGTCGATCGTCTCGATTAGAAGTTCTCATACGAAGGTTCCCGGACGTCCAGATTGCCGTCTTCATGGACGTGGTCATAATTCAAAAACCACTTAGTATACTCTATGGTATTAAGGTATTTTTGGAACCAGAATTTTACAGCAAAATTCACTAAACTCGAATAAATAAATGATATATATTTGACTCACCCTGTATATCTATAAAAATATTTTTGAAATGTGAACTACCATTAAACATATATTTTGTAAAAGGTTTGGAGTGAAAATCTCAAATAGGAATCCTGATACAGAGCTTTTCCGGAAAAACGTAGTTTCGAGAGTCATTAGAGTCATCTCAATTCAAATCAAAATTCGTTCACAGTAAATGAATTCCGAGGTTTGTATCTCATAAGGGCTTAAAGCACTCCACTATAAATAGATCTGTTTGAAAGTGATTACATATTATTTATGATAAAACATTGTTGTTTTAGTCCACGCAATCGGGATACTTTACAAGAAGACGGCTGGACAGCATGAGGGAACAACTGGAGAAGCTCAAACCGAAATTTGACGAACTGGATCCCAGTCATATCGACTTGTCTGGACCTACCCAGGAGTAAGTAGAGATTTCGAATGTTATCGATGTTTTGAGTATCGATACTTAAAATATATCGATATTTCAATTTAAATAAAGCTTGATTTTCATGCGTCCGTTATCCGTTGATACGCTGGTCCGACTGCGCGGCGCGCCATTGGTCATGGCGTTTTCGCGCCACTTTTCATCCGTAATTTTTTTTACTCCAGCCCGTCTACGGAGAAACTTTGAATAAGAAGACTAAGGAAGGAGCATAATGCTATCCATGTATTCATGCATGGTGGACGGAAAAAGCACCATAAAAGCACTCTAGGGTGGGGATCCTTGACAGTTCTGTTTGACGATTCATTTGACACATTTGAATTTGATTTGAAATTTTGTGGATTTGTCAGTCTTTACGGAGCTTATTTTATGTTATTTATTATTTATTCTGCTACTGATAGTTGTATAAAGGTAGTAAATCTAGATGGAAATTGTGGCAGAACTTAAATGAACAGTGACACTATCGCGATTTATCGAAAAAGACTCTAAAATAGTTGGTTGTGTAGCGTGCGGTAGATCTCGGCAAAAATTGAGTGAAATAATGGAACAACTTTTCGCTAGTAAGTGACTATATAATATACATACGTGTAGTAAACCGATCATTTATGGAATTCACTTAAATTAACTAAATTATATATTTTTCTTGCATTTTAGCTTTTATTTATTACTCGTCAAAGATTATATGTCAAAGAATTTAGATACGTTAATTTGACTTACCTGCTTAAGTAGCGTATCGGATGTTTGTGTTAATAAATACTTATTATAACTTATCTATTTTTATTAGAATTATATATTTTTATAACAATTTTAATAACTACCAACATTTATTCACACCGTAAAATAAAACAACAAATTATTGAGTCTACCCCACGTCTACCCTACATCATAGTTTTACATTTTTTAAATAAAATTAGAACGACACTGATAAACCGGAATTTAAGTCGGCCATATTTGAGGCCCATCGCGGTGTACCTAAGATTTTTGATATGCTCCTTCCTTAGTCTTCTTATTCAAAGCGGAGAAACATCGTACGATAACGGACGTTTTGACACTTTGTTGACAAATTTAATCTAACCTTAATAAAAATATAACAGTACAAGAGCTAGCACCATAGATAAAGAAAATAATCTTCTATTAAGATAGATATGAAACTTAATAGTAAAATTTTGGGTCAAAGCGCCCCTCCGTGTTCTTAGTAGAGACTACGTTTAACCCAGCGCCTTCGCCTTTTCTGCTGTAAATATTTTTTATGTTTATATTTGATTTCAAAGGATTTAGTTTTAAAGTTACACTGATATATTAGTATATCAGAGTAATTTTAATAAAACATAAGAATATATATATTTTACAGTTTATTAAATATAAATTTTGACTACAAGGTAGAAAGTAAATCACAATATTTGATAAAACCTATAAGTATACCATTTTTACAGTTAATAAATAATAAAACTATTTCTGACTATGATATTTAAAATTTAGATAGACAGAATATTAAACAACATACCGGGTATTTGCAGACGCAGGCCCAAATTCAATAAAAACCAAAATTTTTCCTGCGAAAATCGGGCTTTTTTCACAGAAAAGATATTTTTTGATTTATCAACAATCATTGTCAAGTTGACAATATACAGGGTGTTTCCTAATTAGTCTAAAAAATTGTGGTGTGATTCCTCATCTGTTCTTAAAATAATTTTTATATAACCATTGGGTCTAAAGTACTTCCTTTCTGATCTACAGGGTGTTAAAAATTAAAAAAAAATCGATATTTTGCTTAACATAAATGGTACACTACTGCTTTTTTAAAGAAAATATATTTTTTTCTTGACTGGCCATCCTTTTTCAACAAAATTGATCTTTTGAGTTTTTCTTGTTCATCAAACGGATGCCGAGAAAAAAATAAATATACTTATTAAGAACCCGCCTTAAGCCGTTTTCTAACGATTTTTTATTTTTTAGATTAATTAGGAAACACCCTGTATATGCATATCACAGGCAACCAAATAAACTAGTAACCTCTAAAAATTATTTTTCCTACCACTAGCGACATACCGTGTTTTTAGTGAGTACTAAATTATTTTATCAAAATTTCACCATATAAGTTTCCAGGCAATGGCTAGCACTGCCGGGAAAACGAGAATTTTAAGAAAGCTGGTTCTTTAATATATCCTGACCAAAGTGCGAGCCGTCTGGCTGCCGCCGGTAGACTACTGCGGTTCACATTACAGTACAGGGTATCCCATTTTCGTGTGTTCTATGGGATTTCTCGTTTATGAGTAGAGATGCAATGATGCAATTTTCACATTACTTATGCTACACGTAGGTTTGCCCTAGCCTCCTTGGTTTCTGAAATATAAGGCGAATTTGTGATGCGCAGTACTGAACAGATGTTGAATTCAGATATGATGCGTAGTAGTGAACGCAAGGTTCAGGAGAGTTCATTCTCACTCTGTTCAGGAGAGCATAGCAAAATATATATTAAAGAACTAGCTTTCTTAAAATTCTCTCTCGAAAACGTTGCTAGCTTAGACTGTAAGTAAAACAGCGAAATCGTTATGGAAATGAAAATATAAAATGACACCAATCACAAGAAAATCGTATATCCGATGAATGGAGGCATGAAAATGCAATAAATTTAAAAACTGCGTAATTTTTTAACCAATCCAAGTCTTTAAATTCAACCAATAAAATTAATACAGTATCATCGTATTGTCGGACAAAGGATACATGAAAATCACGCTGTAAAAGCAAAGAAAGGAGTTTTTGCAGTTAAAAAAAACTAAAAAATGATTTCATTATATTTACTATTTTATTCGAAAAACTGTATAATGCAACTTTAATGTAACAATCGCAGGTTGGAGAGTTTGGAACAAGATTCGAAGAACTTGAACAGAAAATCGAACTATTCCTTACAGAATAGCGAGGAACGAAGAACAGAATCTACTCAGTTGAAGGACAAAGCCGAAGTCCTGTACGGAAATCTACCGAACATCGAGAGGGAAGCACTAAAAGCTATCGAGGACATCGATAAAATTAGCGGACAGATATCAGAAGAAGCAGGTAATATTTTAGAGGAAAAATACGTTCGGAACGGTCTAGATTAAATTTTATCATCATGTAGGGAGGTACGCTAATATCGATTTTTTCGAAATATCGATATGTATGTATACCGAAAATTTTCATGTAAATTTTGAACGATCCAAATGTTGGCTCTCTTGTAGGCTTCAGGGCCAAGTCGTAAATAGGTTTTTTAAAGGTTTGTCATTGATAAATATACGTGCCAAATTTGAACATTTTTCATTTAAAACTAAATAGATAACATTGGTAAAACAACCATAGCAATGCAAAACCAGGCAAAACCCCCTAATACATGTATTATAAGACTCCTAAATTCGTTAAGAACAGTTAATAGCCTTAAGAAACTTCGATTTTATTATTGATTGCATACTGTTAATGGTTTTTTATTTGATAAACATAATTCTTCATCCCCATCATAGGCAGTGAAGTGGAAAAAGCTCTACAAGAAGGACAGGCCTTGCTGGAGGACATGAAGATCTACAATTTGACCGGTAGAGAACAGGAAGCCAACAAGCAGTTGGAGAAAGTCAACGAACTCCTGAATAACGTAACTCAGTATAAAATTCCGGTAGAGAATTTGGAAAAAGAAGTTGAGGCAATCAAAGGAAATATCAAAGGTTTCAACGACAAGTTGGACGACTTATACAATCACACTCAGTACTCGTTGAACACTGCCAAAGAAGCCGAGAATATTATCGCTAGAAATGGGTAAGTCTTTTTATTCTGTAAATTTTAACTTAACGTTTTCTTTCGGCATTGTAAGTTCAAATTGATATAGCAGAAACAAAATTTAAAATTTGTTAGGGTACCTTAAATAAACAGCAAGGCTGTATTCCGTTGCAAAATCAGGCGAACCAGACCGGTAAACTACGGTAAAGAGCGGTTCCTAAAAAACATCGGTTTGATACGGAACGGTTTAGTAAAATACTGGAAACGTCAAATGTTTACGTTTTCTAAATTTCTGTACCTCTATTATAAAATGTATCTTTTATGCATTTTTAATGTACCTATTCTCTGCTTTTACCTTTGCTTCTTCTTTTCAATGGAGTTTAATATTGAAAAGTTCTTTATTAATAAACTGTTAAACTCGTTAGACAGCTCAAGTGAAGATTTGCAGGACCAATTTTAAAACAGATCAATAATAAATAACCAAATCTAATCAATATTTATATTTTTATAGCTTACAAAACATTTACGATTACTTGTTGTCTTGTTTTTCATGTTTTTGTTAAATGTTCCTGACTTTAAGCAACAATGGCTGCATGATAAGTTTAAATGGTCCTAAAAAGTCATTCTATTTAGTTAATGAAATTTATTTACTTTTACTGCCTACCCCCATTGCTTTTGGATGTAAAAAATACAAAATATTATTACAAATTTTAGAAATTAAATGAGAATTTCACTCGAACTTCCAATATTTGCTTGATTTCTGTCACATAAATGACATTGATTGACAAACAAAACCAGAAAAACCAGCATTCTCGCGCTGGGTAGTTTGGTGACAGTTATAACCGAATTTTTCAGGAACCGTGTTCCGTAATAAGAAAACTTTCAGGAAACCGATAGAAATGGTAAGGTAAGCAACGGAATGCACCCTAAGTATACTTGGATATATACCGGGTATAATGGTTTACCCCTTTGAATAAGAAGACTAAGGAAGGAGCATAATGCTATTCATGCATGGTGGGCGGAAAAAGGACTCTAGGGTGGGGATCCTTGACAGTTCTGTTTGACGATTCATTTGACACATTTAAATTTGATTTGAAATTTTGTGTATTTATTATTTATTCTACTACTGATAGTTGTTATAAAGGTAGTAAATCTAGATGGAAATTGTGGCAGAACTTAAATGAACAGTGACATTATCGCGATTTATCGAAAAAGACTCTAAAATAGTTGGTTGTGTAGCGTGCGGTAGACCTCGGCAAAAATCGAGTGAAATAATGGAACAGCTTTTCGCTAGTAAGTGACTATATAATATACAGGGTGTCTCAGATTTTAATCGGGAAAATTTAATAAACGATAGAACTTGCAAAAATAAAACAAAAAGTTCATATCAACTTGTAAGATTTAAAGCTTCCTTTTCGAGATACAGGGTACCATTAGAATACCAATTACCAATTAGAATTTAATTTTTTTCGCAAGAAGTAAGTAAAATTGACAAAAAAGTCAGGAGACAATTAACTTCTAAAAAAGCAGTGGCGTGCCTATTTTTCCTTTAAAATAATTTAACAGTGATGCCCCACCGCCGCCCCTGGCCATTAAACTTAAATCTAATTACATCAAATTAAGTCCCATAGTAAGTATTATAAACGGGTCAAGTTATATCAAAATCGATTAAATAGTTTTTCAAATATCTTATTTTTTTTTCTTTTTTAAGTAACTTTAACACCCTGTATTTCGAAAAGGAAGCTTTAAATCTTACAAGTTGATATGAACTTTTTGTTTTATTTTTACAAGTTCTATCGTGTATTAAATTTTCCCGATTAAAATCTGAGACACCCTGTACATACGTGTAGTAAACCGATCATTTATGAAATTCACTTAATTAACTAATTATATAATTTTTCTTGCATTTTTGTTTTTCTTTACTACTTGTCAAAGATTAGATGTCAAAGAATTTAGATACGTCAATTTGACTTACCTGCTTCAGTAGCGTATCGGATGTTTGTGTTAATAAATACTTATTATAACTTATCTATTTTTATTAGAATTATATATTTTTATAACAATTTTAATAACTACCAACATTTATTCACAACGTAAAATAAAAAAAAGTATTGAGTCTACCCCACGTCAACCCTACATCATAGTTTTACAGTATTTAAATAAAATTAGAACGGCACTGATAAACCTGAATTTAAGTCGGCCATATTTGAGGCCCATCGCGGTGGTCCTAAGATTTTTGACATGCTCCTTCCGTAGTCTTCTTATTCAAAGGGTTTACCCAAATTCAATATACCCTGTAATTACCATTGGGTATATACCGTGTGCAAGACCGGGGGTATATACCAAAATTTCAATATACCGGGTGTTTTCCCATGACTGGTCAGGATATTAATTTTGATAAATTAATGCATCAACAGGTCTAAAGTTTATTGCAAGATGTTTTTACAAACGATACCAATTAAACTTTTAGTTACTTAATTGAAGGCGCGATTTTTAAATTCATTGTTGCCAACCATGGACATATTCGGCGCCGGGCTGACTAACTGGAATTTAAATTGCCTACTGCGGATTCAGGCTGTAAAAAGTGTCAAGTTGCCACATTTATTTATTTCCTGACACTGTCATTCATTTTGACACTTTACTTTTTCGAGGTAGCTAGAGGGCGCTATTTGACATCATAACAGATATTGCGCTTTTGCGTAAAAAAATGAAATAGGAGGCTATATTTCTCTTTGCACAGTTAAATAGAGCACAACATTTCTAAAATATCAGCGCAAACCGCAACTTTCTATCTTCTCTCTAATCGGAGATATTAAGAGAACAAATCATGTTAGGCTGCTGTTTAGGATTATATGGTCTAAAAATTATAGTAGTAGGCTAGGAAACAAAAAGAGGTAAATTAGTTACGTCAAAATATCAAAACTGCGAATCTTAACAATATGCACAACTGGTTCAAATCTACCCTTGATGCAAGTAGTTCAGCACCAAGACCGTTGGTCGGTAAATGTTTAGGCAGAAATTTTAGGATGGCGAATGATTGTTTCTTTTTTAATTATCTAAATGAAATGAACTATCTATAATTTCTAAGAGATGAATTGCCAATTTTGTTAGGGGATTCATCAGCATGAATGCAGTTGGTGTAGTTGATGTAGTTGGTGCAGTTGTGCCGCTTATTTTGCTATGAATGTGTGGGACTTCTTAGATACCGCTTACTTTAGTAGATAGAGACGCTGAAGAGGCCGAAACAAAATTTATACTGGAGATCATTAAGGAAGAAAAGCTTTTTTAAACGAGCCCTATTTTGTTTTAATCAGCTAACCCAAACCAGAGTTATCCTTATTTTAATAAAAGCAAGTTTAACCTTCCCCCACCACTTTATTTTATGAGACAGAGCAAAATACTCTATATCAAAAAAATTACAAATTTCTCGATGATTACGATAGTAATATTTAAAATACCTGTTCACTTGTATATATTTGAGAAAAACTCTGTTTTCTGATTGGCTATCAGAGAAACGCCCCCTAGCGGACATTTTTCGAACTTGAAAATCATTTCCAGCGACTTCTCTTGGTCGATTTACTAATTTTTTTTCCAAAGTTATACGATAAGTAGTCTCTGAGATACAGCTGGCGTCCATTCTTAGTTGGCCACCCGGTACAGCATAGCTTAATAGCCGTTGCGAAAAAAAGTCGCAACCTTATTAGAATATTTTAAACGGGAAAGCTGTAGTAATGACCCTTTATGTCTGTTAAAGAGTCCATTAAGTGCTGTTAAAGAGGCGAGTTTTGTTGATGTAAGTAATAACTGTTTTTATACTTATAATTAAATTTATTTTTGTTTCCTAAAATATTTTGATTAAAAGAAAATATGTAAAAATGGGCAACGCTGTGCCGGTCAAGCATAATCACGTGACTAAAAGTTTATTTGGTATGATCATGGTATGATCTATGGGTAAGTGTTTTCTCTCTTATCCAAGAATAGCTAAAACACACTCGGTATTCGCTTGACACTGTAAAAAACTGAGAATATTATTGGCTAGAAATGGGTAAGTATTTTTCTTAATTTATGTTAAATAAATTTCATCACACAAGGTAAAAATTAGTGACTCAAATAAAACAGGATTTATTTTTTTATTATCTTTAATTTACTAAATAAGTAGATATAAATTTTCAAATAAACCGAGGGGTAAACCGCAGAGGAATTATGGTGTACACTATGAAGGAATTCTACAGGAATTCCAAGGAATTACGAGGAATTCCAAGGAATTTCAAGGAATTACGAGGAATTCCAAGGAATTCCGTAGGAATTACTAGGAATTCCAATTATTTCCGTAAGAATTCCAATGAATTCCAAGGAATTCCTTAGAAATTTAGAGGAATTCCACAGGAATTAAGAGGAAGTACAAGCAACTTTATAAAAAATTAACGAATATTAGTAAACCATGAATACTATAATAGGTAGTACTAAATTTAAAGAAAAACGTTTTGCAGGCGATTTTTTACTATCCGTTTTTCGTTTTCGCTTCCAAAATTTCCCAATATCAAATATCTACAGGTTAGATATTCTTTTAATTTAATATTGTACCCTCGATTATATATCTAAAATATTTTCCAATAGTACGGCCGAACCACCCCCGAGAGATCTACTTATAACGTTCCCTGATATCGCCATTTTAAAGAAACCCTCATAAGATTTTTTTATTCAGTACTCAGAAAGTGTAAAGTTGATTTTTTTCATTTCCTCGGAATAATACCTAGGTATATACTATAGGGAAATTAATACAACTTTAGGTGCACTTCATCAATGATACCATGCGTAATCTTATGGAATTTACTGGTGATCGTATTATGACGTGCAACTGAAGTTTTATTAATTTCCTTTCCTATAGATACGAGTATAACTAGGTACCTATCATTTTCAAAAAATCCCGAGAAAAATTAATTTTAATAAGTAAGTGCCGACATATTTCCAGTATTTTTACCTCATGATCCCCTATTAGTCCTAAAATTTAACTAAAAAAACGTAAATCTCGTAATAGTACTTTTTATTGTTAGATCTAGTACTTATAGAGACATTAGACATTTATAAAAATCACCAGAAAATTCATAGCGGAACTGCGAAACCGAGGTGGCAACGCTGGTTCAGACTGAAAGAGTTACCGAGTTCGTACCAAGGAATTCCAAGGAAGACCTTGAATGATTGACCTTGACCTTGAAGACCAGGAATTCCAAGGAATTCCGAAGGAATTACGAGGAATTCTGAGGAATTATTTGAGTAAAAGGAATTACGGTGTACACTTTTCCCTCTGCGGTTTACCCCTCGAAATAAACCAATTTGAAAAGAAAAATAAATACATAGAAATACAAAAAAATACATTTCTCTTTGAAAAATATGTTTATATACAACCGGAATAATACAAAGTGTATCATTTTTATTAATTTTTACATACTATATTCATCAAGTGGCACAATTATTTTACATATTTGCATCATTAAACGTTTGATTAAAGATCCTTATAATTATGTCGTTTTTTTTATTTACAACCTTTCCACTAAAAATATATTCGTTATAAAAACACCTCGCTACAAAGTATCTAAATAAATAATGAAGAACGTTTTTAATGATAAAAATATAACTTTAAACATCTCTTAAGCAAGATTCGCAAAACAATACACTTTACGATCAAAATTTATAGAAATATCAGTCGTTTTGTATCAAATTTAAAACATTTATTTGGATTCTAAGTTATAAGTTGGCATTACAAGAGTTTTCATTTCTGTTTGATTTGATAGAATCTATTTTTGTCATTGCAGATGCAAGAGTTTGTATTTGCATTTAATTTATTTATTAATACATACTAATATAAATGACGAAAACAACATGATTAATTTATTTCCATTTATCACTGTATTCTATGTTGAAACAAGCAAAAATATATAAGTTGCTGATAGAAATACATTTTCCTTATTTACAACCGCACTATATTTTATCGAGGTATGACTATGCAATTTTAAACAAAGCTTTGAAATTGACAAATAAAATTTGTTTAATTTAAGCTGAATCATCAGGTTATTTTAATTTCAATTTATAAACCGCAATGTAAACAAATTTGTTTATATATTTTTTTTTACTGGATTACACAACTCAACTTATAACTAATAATAGGAACATGTATATTCTGCACTTTTATCTCGATTTTAATTTTGTATAAGATCCCTTCAGAAATTCCGTTTATTTACGAATTTAAATGCTTCTTTCTTTTTATTATAAATCTAATACAGCTACACAGGGTGTCCCAGGCTAAGCGTGCATTAGAAGTTTCTAGAGAATTACAATATAGTAAACGCATATACATATCAAATATATACGGATTATCGCCTATCCCTGCAATGTGTTGGAGTTGAAGCCGAGTTAGAGACAACTAGATAATCGGTCCATATATATTTCACATAAGTTCGTCTGTTAGGCAGATACTGGCGCAACAGCGCAACTCTAGAATTCCGAATATCGATTAGCCAGGATTAGCCAATTGTCGAACGGGAACGCAAACGACAGCCGTACGAAGTTGGACGGAGCCGTACGAATGAACAGCTGGTGCTAGCGTCTAGTCTCTTATTGGTCTGGATATCCGATCGATAATTCAAAATCCAGGCTTGCGCACTACGCTTGAGCACAGCTAACTGAGCGACTTATGTAAATTCCTTCAGAAGATTTATATACCCATTTCACCGGCTTAGCTTCACAGAATGCAGTTTGAAGTCGATATTCTTTAGTTAATATATATGAGTAAACGCCACGAATGTTTGGGAGTGATTCATCGGACGCTACCATGTGAACTAATCTGTTCAAGGTCACATAAAACTTAATTCCAGTGCCGTAGTGTTTCAAGTCATATAATAATCAATATATAATCTGTTGTAATTTGTTGTTTTAACTGTCAAAGTCTTGTCGAAACATATATTTGGTTATAAATATAAAATGGAATGCCCCATTGGTCGCACTGCAAGCACACCAATGGACTGACGCACAAAAACGAATCAATCAAAGAAACGCGATATAGTATCGTCTTTGTCAATCACGCTAACATTTTAGAATAAGCAGGAGGAGCGCAGGAAGATGATTAGACCGGGCCCTTAAAAACCTACGTCTGCGGTAAAAATTTACGTTTTTAATGTAAAAATGATAGCGCGCGTGTCGATTCTAACTTCATCAAGTGATGAATCACTCCCAAACATTCGTGGCGTTTACTATATCTAGATTGGAGATTTTTTGCACATCATTGTTTCAAAACGAGATCTATCGATTAAAAATATTTTCAATATGGCGACACTTCCGGAAATACCGGAAGTTGACAGCAACTTTCTTATTTTAAATGGGTGCCCCCATTTTTTATTACATACTTAAATTCTCTGTAAAATTTTATAAATTTTGATATTATATAGTCTATACCTAACATTAACCATTTATGAGAAAAAAAATATTTAAAATTTTTGGGCGAAAAAAACTACCTGGGCTAAAAAAATGTGTATAGCTTAAACGTCAAATTTAGTGATTACCACAGTCACTGTGACATTATTTCAAAAATTAAATTGTTCAAATGTCATATAATAATGGTCGCAGCTGTCATGGAATTGAGCGATTAAAGAATTATCATAAATATGTTTTTTAAATGGAAACCCCCTGTTTTTATTTCACTAGGTTTTTCAAGTCGTTAATTTTTGGCCATACATGTTCCTGTACCCAAAATAACTCGTTTTTAAGTTATTTAAGATTTAGTTTTAAAGTATATTTTTCTTGATTTTAACCAGTACCCTATGTAATGTAAAACAATAGATCTGGCCATGTCATATTGTGATACTTTGTTCAGAAAGCAGTATGCCATCCATCCATTTCCAAGCCAACATTGCAACAGTGCATTTGAAGGAAGCTGGTGCTAGTTTTGTCCATTTGTTCTTTGGTTGTGTTGGATTATTGATTGTTGTAGTTTTTATTCTTAAGTGTATTCTATTTTATACTTTGTACGAGAAGTTAATTTTAAACAAAGATCAGTAATTAACAAGTAATAATGAATAGTTCAACTTTATTTCCTAATACTAGTTAGTATACGAAGCTGGTGAATTAAACCAGAATACATAAGGCAACATAGACACGTTTTTTAGTTTATTTTCTTGATACTGTAACCCAACTTATAACTTATAAAAGCATGAAAACTCTTCTAGATATATATAACTGTTTGTTTCTTTATATTATTAATCTAATATCACTATAGACCGATCTGCATTACTATTTAGTCCTTATTTTCTTGATACTGTAACCCAACTTATAACTTATAAAAGCATGAAAACTCTTCTAGATATATATAACTGTTTGTTTCTTTATATTATTAATCTAATATCACTATAGACCGATCTGCATTACTATTTAGTCCTTACTTTCAATTCCTCTTTTAACTTCCACTTGATCAGTTCCATGCACGCGATCGCGTCCTCCGCACTGTCATGTCCGCTCACGTCGTTCTGTATAATCTTCTTCAAATACTCGCTGGCCAGAGCCCTTAAAGCCCTCTTATGTGGCAAGCCCATTTTATGAGGAAAAAGCACTGAAGTATCCACTATACTGCTGTGGATGATCTTCAACGCCTTCATGTCACTTTCTAGACTGTGTCCAACCAGAATAGTTTCCGAATTGCACAAATGTAGAATGTTGGCTTGCACCTGAAGGATGCTGGTGCTGGTTTTGTCCATTTGTTCTTTGGTTATCCCTGAGAAACGGGTGTTATAGTCGATTATGGGGTTGAGCGGTTTGACGAGGCTCTCGTAGACGGTTTTGCAGTCGGTATCGACGATGGTGACGCGTGTCAATTCCAGCCCTCTGGTGGTGTAACACATTTCACAATCGAGGGCGTACACTGCTACGCTGCGTGGATCGTTTTCCCTTTCTGAAGGCATCGTCGTTTGAAACCCTAAATAACCGTTTCTGTTAGATAAATATGTATTTTCCATCGATTAGCAATTAATAAGTTTAATCATTTTTAACACTGGCAATAAACAATACTGTACAATCCACGGTAATTTATGTCGGCCAAGCTAGTGTTTCAAAGGCGAGAACGTTCCCTAAAAACTTTCTTTACTTTCTGTCAGACAAATATAAATTCTCGAGCATTTAACAACACTAGCCCAAGCCTTATATGTCATTTATTGAAAATATAGTCCATACTATACATACCTTCCAAAATATGACTCTCCAAACCATCGAAGACGTGCGTATCGCTGGTGAGACATCCTGTATCGTCGTTGCTCTTGCAACACAAATGGATCTGTTCGCCTCGTATAGTGCGCTTCTTTAGAGGGTGATAGAGACACTCTTCTTCAAACAGTGCCCATCCATCATCGTCTACTTGATATGTTTTTGAACACCTTCGCAAAAAATACGAAACAATAATTCAATAAAAATCAAATAACTTAAAAAATGTGTGTGCACTATGTGAATGTGCGCATATTTGAAATGAAACTTCTTGCTAACAGCTATAAAATGGAAGGATTTGAAGGACATCTTTGAAAAAGTGTAGTTTGAAATGTTGAAAAAGTAATAAATTAAAAAAATATATTTTTTACGCGTAAAAAATTGTTTTTTGCGAGTAACAAATAGTTTTTTACGCCTAAAATAAAAAAATAATAAATAATTTGATCCCCTTTCACAAAATTTGTATTAAAATATAATTATTTTCGATCAACACGTGGACTGCTCACAAATACAGGGCGCGTCACTATTCACTATTGTAATCGCAAAACATTTTCCGATGCACGTCATCAATCATATCGACATTGACATTAAAGTCTATAAACCCGACTAAATGAAATTTTGGCAAAAATGTTTAAATTTGTTGTATAATTTAAGATACCGAGCAGCTCTTCATTTTACTTTATAGAGAAAATGATTGTAACATATATTTTATTTAGATTAAAGCTGCAAAAATTAGTTTAAACCGAATTTTATTATCCCTATGTTGGCCACATTGCGCCGTTTTCAGCAAGGTTGTCGTTTATTATTTGACAATTATCCTAATATCAGTCATAATTTTGTATGACATCGTGTTGTTGTTGAATCTTTATGAGCAATTCTCGTTTTTTTGCCTATTTTCATAGTCTTTCTTTAAAAATTGTACTTTTAAGCACAAACAGTTCTTTTAAGAACTAAATTTTCGAGTTTTTGTTATTGCATTTCTTGAAATTATGTGTTGAAAATATGCCGTATGCCGGAAAAAATAACAGTCGAAGCAAAGAGCTTGTAGCTTCCCTGATAAACTATTTTGAACGAGAACGTGACAATAAAGGTCTTTTATTACCCTTGGCTGCAGTCAGAGAAGTTTTATTGATAAGCACATTACACCCATAATAACGCTTAGAATAATCTTCATAATGGACTAGTCTACTAAAAAAAAATCAATAAATTACTAAAATATTAGTTATTAAATTAAAAATAAAACGTAAATATCTTTAAAAAATGATATAATAAAAATATTGTGCCACTTTTAAATTAAAAGTAAACTCATAAATTCATCGCAATCTGGCAGCGCTGTCGCCATCGCTTGTCACTCAAAGTTGATCACGTGCATTTGCGATTACGAAAATCGAAAACGTTCCGCAAGGCATAACGGCCAGGGTATTTTTTTTTTCAAAAAATCCAAAAACACGTCAATTTTGCCCCAAAAATGATTGCAAAATCTTCAACCCTCTAAGCGGGGGTGTCATCCCCCAACTTTTTTCAAATGGGAAGGGGAGTCAACTGGCGCCGCAATGAAAAGAGCTTTATATTCTCTATATTTCCCCGCCTCGTTTTTGAAAATCGGTTGAGTCATTGAGAAAATATGAAGGATTGAAATTTGAAAAGTTTATTTAAACATTTATCAGAGTAAATGATAAGGATAAATTCATTCGACCAATTTGAGGTTTTTCTTATTATTTCTAGATGTTTACGCATTTTTTCACTTGCCACAAGGTTGAACGATCAGGTACGGTAGTTGCTAGATAGCTGTTCTGTGACTTATGCGTTGAAGTTCTTCTCAATATCGTTAAACTGATCCACAATAGAATTTCCAAAAATACCAGCCCACACGTTCAATTTGTGAGGGTTTTGTGTGTGCACCTCGTGAAAAGCCCTGGGGTTGTCCTCAGCCCAGTACCGACAGTTGTGCCGATTAACTACACCGTTCAAAAAGACAGTACACTCATCCGAAAAACACACATTAAATAGGAAATTATTATTATTCGATCACAATCGTCTTCGTTGAGTTCTTGTACCAACTGAATTTTGTACGGGTGGAACTTGTGTTTTTTTAATATCCTTTGGACAGTTGTACGATTCACGCCGGTCTCATTGGCTAATTTTCTTGTACTCAGCGTACTATCCATGGCAACTTGGCCCAATACGAATACCTGCATAGCTTCATTTACTACAGGATTTTCCCTCTGCCTCTTTTTATTCATAACGGAACCAGTTTCGCGAAATTTTGCCACTAACTCGCGAACAATTTTGCCATAAAGGTGTTTGTCAGGATGGCGTTCATTGAAAATCTGCGCAACCCGAATGCCACATTCATTATTTTTAAAATAAAGTTCGATTATTTCCGCTTTTTCTGCAAGTGAGTACACCATAATTGTTAAAAAGTTTAACGATATTGAGAAAAACTTCAACGCATAAGTCACAGAACAGCTATCTAGCAACTACCGCACCTGATCGTTCAACCTTGTGGCAAGTGAAAAAATGCATAAACATCTAGAAATAATAAGAAAAAACAGCAAATTGGTCGAAGGAATTTATCCTTATCATTTACTCTGATAAATGTTTAAATAAAGTTTTCAAATTTCAATCCTTCATATTTTCTCAATGACTCGACCGATTTTCAAAAACGAAGCGGGAAAGTGTAGAAAATAGAAAGCCCTTTTCATTGCGGTACCACTTGACCCCCTTTCCCATTTGAAAAAAATTGGGGGATGACACCCCCGCTTAGAGGGTTGAAGATTTTGCAATCATTTTTGGGGCAAAAGTTGTCCTTATCACAAACAAAATTGACGTGTTTTTGAATTTTTTGAAAAAAAAATTACCCTAGCCATTATGCCTTGCGAAACGTTTTCGATGGGCCACCCTGTATGTATTTCTAAGCCGTAGGCTGTCCTTACCACTTTTCGTCTCGCGCTTATGTGTCACGGCCTTGAATTTTTACTCCCAGCGTGCTTAAAGAAGTTTCACTTCAAAAGAGCGGTATTTTCTTTAGAATTACCTGCTACATTTCCTGTAATTGTCATCTACCATGGAAAAATCGACTGGTTTTCGGTTATTAATAACCGCTTTTCCTTTTAAGTCGCTCTCCCTAGGATATCCGTGCAAATCTAGTTCTTCCTCGGTTAAAACCCACTTTTTTATGTTCTGATAGAATCTATTTCCCTTAAAATCAGACTCTTTTCCACTATCTTCACTTTCGCCACTCAAAAGAAGCCCCAAACCTTTGCTCTCCCTTTCCTGTATTTCTTTACGCAACCTATTAAATAAAATTATCAAAAATATACTTCAGACAGGCTTATTTCAATTATTATAGTCTGTACAACAATCGTTCAACGTAACGTCATCATTACTTGTTTTTAATGAATTAATTCATCTATACAGGGTTGTTCACCACATACGACACGGAGTATTGTAGCTAAACGATTAGATTTTTATAAATTGTAAGTTTTGGGTTCGTTGAAGTATTACTAGAGCTACAATTTAAGAATAATTTTACAAGATACAGTGTCCCAAATAAGTAAAACATATTATAGTTGTATTTTTTAAAATGGAACACCCTGTATATTATTCTATTTTTAGTTTCTACGATTAAAATAAAGGTAAATTTGATTATGGTTACTTAAAAATGTGATTATGGTCACTTAAACCTTACCGTTTTTGAAATAATTTCATTTTGTGAAATTGCAATAAAAAAATTAAGGCTTCGTTTCTCCAAGGGTATCATAATTTTTAATAGTAAATATTTACTGAAGATTATGAAAATGACCATCTCTGTTGTTATAAATAAGCATTCGTCAGAAAATGAAATAACATTTGTTACTTTTTACCACACTGTCTAATACACATACAAAATTCAGTTGTTTAGTGTTTGGAGCAATTATTATTAATAAACGTAATCAGTCAATTAATGTAGTTTGAATACTGAGATCATATTAATTGGTTGTCTTTAACAAAATATATTTAAACATTTTTTTTTTTATTTTTTAATGAAATAAGCAAACTATATCGACAATATTAGTATCTGTACTCTTTGAAAATTTGTTACATCTTTAAAAATAATCTAAAATGTCAATATTCCATCGGTATAGTGATAAATGAGGCCTAAATTATGAGAAAATGCATTTTCTACAAAAACTTGAAGAGATAGGTAAAAAATGGTATAATGCAATTTGATAGACAATTAAATTGTGCAACTGATTCTCGTAAAATATACAGGATGTTCCACGTAAATTAAACAAGTTATTGCCGTTTAAAGCTAGTAATTATTTAACATAAATTTTAGACGCTCTGTTTCAGGTAGTATTTTGTTTATTATTGCAACAAAACTTTGATATCCTTGGAGAAATGAAGCCTTTTTACTGCAATTTTATAAAATTGAAAATATTCTAAAAACGGTAAGGTTGAAGTGTGATAAACCCTAATCAAATTTACCTGTATTTCAATCGTAGAACCTAAAAATAGAATAATATACAGGGTGTTCCATTTAAAAAATACAACTGTAATATATTTTACTTATTTGGGACACTGTATCTTGTAAAAATATTTTTAAATTGTAGCTCTAATAGTCCTCCAACGAACACAAAACTTACAATCTGTAAAAATCTAATCGTTTAGCTACAATACACCGTGTCGTATGTTGTGAACAACCCTGTATATATCGATTTGAATTTTACTTGACAGCGCAGTCAGTTTTTAATTTTTAAAACAAGATCATAACCACAAAAGTGAAATGACAGTTGTTGTAAACAACGTAATATTGAACTATAGCTATGCAGACTTTACCTATTAACTGCGAGCATAGCTGAGTTTCTGTAAGTGGCTAGGACTTTACATTTTTCGTAACAAGTAAATTCCTCGTTTAACGCTCTGTCATAAGCGTCTTGTTTTGACGCGTATAATTTTCCGCATTCGTCCGCAATCAATGTCAAAAACCGCGTTCTCACATTTACGGGCAGTTTGGACTTGTCCGCCTAAAATAACCAGAATTTTTAAGTATTTTATTTATTTATTTATACCTTTAGAAACACTTTGAGAGTAATTATATGAAGGATTAGCAATAAAAATTGAAATTAAAACATACTTTATACTTAAAAAAAAACAATAAATCATATACAGGGTTTGCCAAAACAGTTCAGAATGAAGCTACACGCACACTGGTGCGATCACGGCCGTGATCACGATCACGATCAGGGCAGCGATAAGATTAGCGATAATTCTAGCACACACCAACGCGTTCACGTTCACCACCGTACCTATATGTAGTGCACCATCCTGTAGGTGTACATAGGACAAATTAAAAATGTGAATTATGTATACCGAAAAAAAACATTCTTAAATATTTACCTACAATATTTAAACTTAAACAATAAAAATGTATACATATCCAATCCAATTGCAACTCCAATTTTTTCTCAAACTTTTTATTTTTAATTATATTATTTTTGTAACTTGGATCGGATAAATCATATAGAATTTTGTGTATTTTTACAGCCTTAATTAGCTGCTCTGTTAACTCCATTTTTAATTTGCAACAAGAAAAAACACACAAAATAACGGAAAATTCCTATCAGTTGGGTCGCGATCACGCGATCAAACTCGACAAGTTGAATCTGATTCTGATCGCCACCCCAGAATAGAACGCCAGCGCCGATATTACCTATAAATTGAATATATTTTTATTCATTTCAGCATACATAATTATATTAAATATGCTAATATGTTCACGTAGTTCTTATATAGGTAGTTAATGTATATTTATCTAATTAACTGATTTCGTTCATTCTGCCTATTATAAAAGGTAAAGTATTTCCTGAAGATAACGTCCGCTTAGGGTAAGCTGGCAACGCTCACAAAATTCATCATGGCATCCCAGATTCAACCAGTCTGATTGGTCGAGATTCTCGCACGTCTTGCCTCCATTACCCCCAACTTTATGCCCCTCTCTAGGAATAGTAGAAACAGTCACTACTATTGAAAAATCCAGTGGCGGTGTTACTGTATTGTGTTTTATATCTTTAACTTGATTTGTGTTTATTGTAATTAGTACACGCGTTTTAACAAATATTACTATATTTGGCAAATGGCTAAACAAAATGTAGGTACATTTAAAGTAAAATAATATTATAAAGTTTATAAATTTACAGATACTTTCAAAAAATATAAATTTTTTGGATATTTTCGGAAGATTTTTAAAAAATCCTATTTTTTATTCAAAATTACAAAAAAAATAGCAAATTCAACAAAAATAATTTCTAATATATATTTTCTTTTACTGTCCCGTAAAAAATTGTCAAAAATCAGTAATAAAATTTTTTGAGGGCATACATTTAAATTTTTTGTATTAGCCACAAAGCCAAACAGTTTAAAAATTAATATTTTAGTTTTTTACAATTTATTGCTTAAAAGTAAATTTCAATTCCTGCTCTAGAAATGATTTCATTAGATTTGCTTCTTCTTTGTAAGTCATTCTAAAGGAAAAATATTAATTGATATTTTGTCTAAGTCCCTGTATGATATATATTCGGTATGCTGACGTAATTCGGCATAAACACACTTTTTCAACAGCTCAGTAATAAAAAAACATTTCATTTGTTGTATATTATGTACAAAAAATATTTTTGTTACCTGTAAAACATCGGGAATATCTGATAACGTGAACTCAGGCACGTGAGCTACTCGTCCAGACTTCTGCGTCTGAGCCACAGTTTTTACGGTCTCTGATCTCTGCTGTTTGATCAAAGATATTCTTTCTTTGGCCTTCTGTATCAGTGCAACATTAGGCACCGCGTTTATTTTTTTAGGCTGAATTTTTACCTAAAACAACACAAAATATAATTAGCTTTTTCATAATTCAAAATAATTTTCACACATATCAATATTTGAAAAAAAAAATGATGTCACAGTGATCTTTGAAAAGGGATTTCATTTCAAAGGCTACTGTGAAGTTTTTTTAAATCATATGATATATCTTACCTGATTAGCAGTTGGTTTATGAACGCCATTAAGTATATCATCCACAACATTACTGGATGATACTTTTTTCTGTTTATTTAACTTTTGTTCTTCAATTCTTTTCATTTTGTGCATTCTGGCAGCTTCCAGTAAACTCGTGGCTTGTCTTTTAATAGGATTTGGTTGGCTTATCATAGTTTTCACTTCGTTCATAATATTTTCTTGCTCATTGTTCTGTTGGCTCATTTTAATAACTTTGTATCTGTTTGCCAGGATTTGACCTGGCGTCAGTACAGGTTTAGGTTTAGGAATTTCTGGCAGTTTTTTGCCAGTCGACGCTAAAACATCGGCACCAGCATGAGCAGTTCTTTTTTTCCCTTGATATTCCTGAAATAAAAATTTTATTCTTAAGTTATTTCTTATCTGTATTTCAAAATTTATTAACTTACAGGTTTCTCATCAAATAGATCTTTCTGTACAATTTCCTGAGGCTCTTTCTGAACTTTAACTGGCTCAGGCTTGTACTCATTAAATATCTTGTAACACTCCCTCATTGTTTCATCTTCGTCTTCAAAATCAAGATCAATATCTGAAGGAATATATTCCTCAGTCTCTAAAATATTATCGTTTGATACAGAATCCTCAATATCACATGGGTTATTGCTACTCTCTGATGTAGATTTTTTCTTATATTTTTCTTTGTCTAAAATAAAATCTGGGTGTTTAAAATTTGAATCAAAATATTATTAAATTAATAATTTACCTGACTTATTACTATGCTTATCTTTTTGGCTAGTACCATCTTTCTTCCTGTCTTTCTTTTTAGGAGATTTATTCTTTTCCCTGCTTCTACTCCGTTTTCTGTCTTGTTTATGTCTACTTTTGCTTTTTGGCCTGGACTTATGTTTCGACTTGGACTCTTTACTTAAACTTCTCGACTTTGATCTACTTTTCTTCCTTTCTTTTGCCTTTTTATATTTTTCTTTTACTTTAGTTTTGCTACGACTTCTATGTTTAGAATGTTTTTTATGCTTCTTTTTTTCCTTATCAACACTACTGTCACTAACATCAGAGTCCGATGCACTTTTGTTGTCCTTATTAACATGTTTTTCTTTTTTAGTTTTCTTGGAATCTGGACTTTTGTCCCTGTGTTTTGACTTGGTTCTAGTTTTTTCTTCCTTAGAACAATTTTTCTTTTCTTCTTTTCTGTGTTTTTCTCTATCATTACTTTTATCATGCTTTAAACTATCACTCTTTTTCGGTAGTTTTTCTTTAATTTTTGAATCACTAGAATGTGTCCTTTTTTTCTCACTCTTTTGAAGTTTGTCCTTATCAGATTTTGTCTCATCCTTTTTCCTTTTTTCAATATCCTTAGGTTTCTGATCTTTCTCTACTTTAATATCTTGAGATTTATCCTCTTCTTTAACTTTGACATTATTTATCTCGGGAACACTTGTAATACTTTTCTCTTTTGCCTTTGCACTACTGAGCTTGGATTTCAATAAATTCAATTTGTTTTGCTGTTCTTCAATATCATTTTCAATTTCTTTTAAATCTTTAGTAACATGTTCCTGAGGTTCTGGTTCAGTGTCTTTAATTATGTCATCAATAAGATCAAATTCATTAGATAGATCTTCAAAATCAATTTCAGACTTTAAAGGATCATAGGCTTTATTAGCAATATTCTGTTGGATTTCCTGAATAGTATCTCTATGTTTATCATTCTCTGGTAATGAGCCATCTAAATTAGTAGCAGAACTAAGAATACTTAAGGGAGTTGGTTTGTAAGTGGGTTTTTCAATCTTTGGTAAAGGTCTTGCAGGCCTTTCTCGATTGAAAGCTAAATCAGGCACATAACTAATTGGTATATGACTTTTACTGTTGTGGATATTTGCTAGTTCACTTTTGGGAGTAGGTTTATAAGTAGGAACAGCTTCAGACGTTGTATCTTGTTCGATTTCTTCAACATTTTCATTAAGTTTTCTTTTGTGACGAAAATGGCAATAAGGACGGCCGCACGAACTATTATAAAATGGACACTCGATATCTTGAAAGTAACCTTTAGTCGGAAGCATGATTTCTTGTTAATTTCCCATGTTTTATTCACTCACAAGTTTATTTTTAATAATAATTACACAAATTATTCGTCCTAGAAAACTTAACCTCACTTTTTATTTTATCAATTTGACGTTGACGTTATTGCCACTAGGGATTTTTTATTAGATTTTGTTGGTTGCCCTAATTAACAAAATATTTCGAATTCGGTTGGATATTCTGATTAATCACGATATTTACGACATACGTACAAAAATTAGAATGAAACAGACAATGATTGATTATTTTTTATCTCCTTTTGTTTAAGAAGAAGACCAATAAAGAAGAACGGTATAAAAATAGCCGCGTAGTTTAAAAGTGTCGATTCAAAATGTGGAATATTCCGAAATCTTTAAAACAGGAAACGAGATAAAAATAACATGAGGTCACATCTGGTTTCCAGATGGCCCCAAACCGATGGCGTAAAGCTGCTGAAATCCGTTCCAGCTGATAATAAAAAATTAAATAGATAAATTTATTATTACCGGGGCATGTCAAATAGTACGATAATATTAAATGAAATTTGTTAATGTTAAAGTTACTGCAATTTTTTTATTAACTGGTTAATATAAGAAACAAAATCATTTATTTATATCTACAGTATACAGGGTGATCTACTGTGGACGAATTAAATTTTCAATCATATTTAATTTGTTGCTATCTATTTTTTTCTCAGTATATTTGCCATAAAAATCTATCCGAAAATACCGCAATATACCATAATCTATACTGAGCGATTTGTTAAATACTTAAAACTGTTAAAATGTTAATTATTAATGTTTTTAACACAGTAATTTATAATCATGTCTTCTTTAAAATTAATGAGACTACTATGTTTGTTTGAAACATACAGGGTGAGTTGTTAGATATACATAATCCTTTTCGCTCCGCTGCTTTAAACGGAACCCCCCCTATTTTATGTCATACCTAGGTACCGGAAAATATATTGTATAACAAATTTCTGAAACTCCCAAACAGTGAACTAAAATATACAGCAATATAAGTAAGCTTTCTGGAAACACTGATTTATTCGGTATTACAGTTTTATTATTACAGCTAGGGGACTTCCAAATAATACGAACACGTTATAATAAGTAATTTGTGTGTATTAAAATTACTGAAATATTTTATTGCCTTTATTATAAATAATTTATAATATCTATATATTGTTTACAGAAAAGATCGATTAAAGGGAAAACTGGATAACATAGATAACCAGATAAGCCAGTCAAAGATTAACTTGGATGATTCCGAAGGTCTCTTAGTGAACGCTTCAGAGTTAATAGATACTTCAATTGGAAAATTGAAACAGCTTCAAGATTTGCCTGACGAACTAGACAGCAGAAATAAGGAATTCTCTTCCAGGTAATTTTTGAAATGTCTTTGCCATTTATTCACCTAGGGTGTTAGTAAGACGATAATGCCTGAGGGGCATTATGATTGTCTTTGGCCTGACAATTAGGATACAATTGATATGAAATTGAACGATAATGCCCGGGGGATGACAAGCTATATATCGTTAGTGTCTTTAGCCTGAGGGATATTTGTTACATGATGGGCATTGTATATAACGCCAGAGCGTAAGCTATTATTTATTCACCAATGGCATTAGTAAAACGATAATGCCGAGAGGTGGGTATTATTTCATACTAACGCATTTATTTCATTATAAATACGTTAGTTATATTTTTTTTTCATTATTTGTTCAAGAAGAACGATAATGCTCAGACAGATATATCCTTAATGTCTTCGACCCTATTGATATTTGTTACATAATGGGCATTATCGTAACTCCAGTTTATTTATATATCCAGGACGTGATGAGGGATGAGGGATACAAGAAATATGCGTAGTGCCTTTGGCCTGAGGGATGTTTGGGTACACAATGCCCAAATATTTGTTACATTATGGGAATTATTGCGTACTAACTCCTGTTTATTTATATATCCAGGACGTTTAGGTTAGGTTAGGCAATAATAAATATCTCAGGTGCTTTAGACCAGAATGGTGTTTGTCACGATGGGCATTATTTTATAATAACGCCCATTTATTGACTCAGTGATACGTGGGCATTATTGCATACTAAGGCCTGTTTATTTATTCAGGAAGAGTGTTAGTAGGACGATAATGCCCAGAGGATGATAAGGAACAACGCTAGTGCCTTTGGCCGGAAGGATATTTGTTACAAGATGGGCATTATTGTATACTAACGCCCGTGGTCAACATTTAGTTTTTTACTTCATTATTATTTCAGTATTTTTGGGAATATTTTTTAATATAAAATGTATTGCATAATAATAATCAGTGTGCAGATTGTCTTGTTAAGGCGTTGCTAAGTAACTTAACCTTTTTTGTTGGGACCAAAGGGTTTTATAGTCTGTCCAAGGAGTCAGGAAAGATTTTTGAAAGATGACTTACATAATATGACAGAAAATACAATTAACCTGTGCATTAAAATGATGACACACAACTGTCACTGTCATGGATCCTCTCGTCGTTGGACAGACTATAGATCATAATGCCCAAGAAGGTGACAAGATATATGAGCGTTTCAAATTCATTTTAAGTTTTTGCTATCCTACTAGAATTCTGCTGAAGTAACGATGGGGAAAAACTAAAATACTTGGAACACATATACTTATTTTTTTGTTGTTATATTTAGGCTAGATTCAGACAAGGAAGCTATAGATAATATTAAAAAACTCAAACCTCAAGTGCAGGATCATGCCAGCAATTTGTCGGAAAAAGTGGAAAAACTGGAACACATATTGTCCGACAGTCAGTTTGGATCGAAAGATGCGATTAGGGCAGCAAGAGCATACAGGGACATCGTTGATGCTGTTAAAAGGTAGATATTTATATTTTTTTTTCTTTTTATTCTTGGCTTTAGGTCGTTGGGGTTGCAAAGATGTTACTGGATTTGTTCATTATTTTATTTTTTTCAAGTCTCTTTAAGTACATAAAAAACTGTACATAAAAAATTTATAAGTTTATATAAAAATTATTATTTTAAACTACCTGGCATTGTCATTCTTGGTATATTATTTGTTAAGTATGCAAATTATTAGTAATTCTGACCAATATAAACCAGTTCAACTACAGAATTGTAAAATTTAACTACTAATATTTTTATATTTACCAGCAAACTTAGAAGACTTCTCGAGTAATATACAGGGTGTTTCAAAAACATGTGCTATCTCTCCTGGGGAGATTCCTCACGTAAAAATATGATTGATTTCTCATATCAACAAATATTCTGATTTGTTTCGTAGCTACAGAGTGTTAAATTCTTAATAATCTCCCGATTTATTATAATTTTCTTCCAAATACCTTTAGTGATTCGAATGAAATTTTGAGAGCAAAGATTACTATAAGTGCTACATATTTTAATGCTAAAAAAGTGTCGATAAATTCATCAGGGACGTGCATCTGGGTTATCACTGGAATATTTAAAAAAAAAGCATGTGCGCCACTGACTTTATTCTTTTGATATTAAAATTGTGTAGGCCGTTTAATGCCAATTAAAAGTTATCTCTTGATATTTTGTCGAATTCGGCGTCCTTGATGAGATGAACGCTATTTTATTAATCACAATTAATAATAAAATTAGAATAAAAATAAAATTAATAAATTATATATTTAATCTAATTTATATTATTAAATATTATTACTACTAGTCCAACCTACAGCAATTTCAAATAAAAAAAAATAATGGTATTGAAGATAAATACAAAAAACCTAATTTTAAAAAGGTTTAACATCCTGTAACTCTATTCATTTCCATACCCATGTTTATAGGAACTTTTTTTCATTTTTTTTTGAAGAGAAATCAATGAGTACTTATTTAAAACTTTTGCAAGTTAATGATATTAAAATTTTTTAAAGGTTGCTATTAGCTTGGACCGAGGCAAAAATAAATATAATCTTAAAAATATATATATAAAAATATTCCAGTGATAACCCATATGCACGTCCCTGGTGAATATGTCGACACATTTTTGGCTTTAAAATATGTCGCATTTATAGTAACTTTTACCCTCAAAATTTCATTCGAAACGCTAAAAGTACTTGGTAGAAAATTATAATAAATCGAAAAAATATTAAGATTTTAACACCCTGTAGCTACGAAACAAAGCAGAATCGGATCTATGTTGATATAGAAAATATATCTTATTTTTACGCGAGGAATCTTTCCACGAGAGATGGCACATGTTTTTTGAAACACCCTGTATGTATTTGAATTAAAGAATAAATAAATTAATTAAACTATATAGCTTGGTCTGATTCATAATATACAGGTTGTTAACTGGACAGTTACTTATAGGGGAACAAAATGGCAACACTGCTTATTGAGAACGCATGCACATAGGGTTTCCTGCCGACTCGTCCCGTCGCGTCTCGTCGTCTATCGACGAGCGGGCCGAGGTTGCCATATTTCAACCATAAAGTTCTTGCCGCGAGTAATAAACAAATTAACAACCTGTATGTTCTTTAGAGTTGATTTTGTCCATTCTTCTTTTTTTGACTAATATGTTCTTTTTTGTAATCTAGCGCCCATGATGCTGCTGAATCAGCCCAAAACGACACCGATCATGCCGTCTCCATTCTCAGCAATGTGCAGGAGAGGACTCTAGAATCGGACGGTATTTCCAGTACAGCCCTGGACGATGCACAAAAGTAAGTTTTCATTTTTTAATGCCCATATTAGATATTAGATACAGTACAAAGTATTTTAGGTTAAAGGAAAAGGCCAAAAACGATTTGGAACCGGTCTTGAGGAGGGCCATTTTGTTGTTCAACCCGGTCAAAGGCGTCCACGAAAACAACGACATGCTGCTGAAGGACGTGGAGCAAATCCTGAAGAACATTGAACACTTTTCGGAACCTCTGGACAAGAATTACAGGACGGCCACCAAGATGGCGGAAGAGGCCATAAGTCATACGACCAACGTCGACGAGAAAGTTAACGCTTCTTTTGCCAAGGTAAAAATAAAAATAAAATAAATGCCTTTATTGTCAAAAAATTTTACAATTTGTAGGCAAAGGTAAAGTAAACAAACAAAAGAGAATACAAAACAAGTATACAAATTACATTGTCAGTCTTTTTGTTTAAAATAAACAGTTCTAAATGTTTACAGTGTCAGAGAAAAAATAAGATTCAAAAATATTTACTATATTTATAGTAATATTAGACCAGTGTTTACAAGATCAAATTCGATCATCAAAATATAAGTCATTTACGGCGTAGAAAGCCTTGTCTAGTAAATAAGATTTCAATGCTTTGCGAAGAAAATGATGTTATGGATTTGATTTCAAATGGCAGGTGATTGTGCATTTTTTTCGAGTGGTATAATATTGAACTTTTAACTAACTCTGAGCGTGGGGTAGGTAGTTAAAGATCTTGCTCCGCGTTCCTGAGTTGATAAGTGTGAGATGGCCGTTCTTGAGAAGCTGATACATGCTTACGTATTAGGCAAACGGATTCAAATATAAATAAGGAAGCAAGAGTTAATATTTTTAATTTTTTAAAAAAGTCCTGGCAATGATTTCTGCTGTTTAGTCCCAGTTAATATCGAACAGCTCTCTTCTGGAGCTTGAAAATGCGGTCAAATTGAGTCGCACAACACGTACCCCAGAATGGAAGGGCATATTTGAGGTGCGACTCGAAAAGTGCATAATAAACAGTTCTAGCCACCGACAAGTTAAGCTCCTTAGAAGTAAACAGTAATAAAGATCTTAATAAAAGTTATCTCGCTGGCGCTATATCACGGGATCCCCTATACCGTGCTGGCAACTGTTATATTTGGGTCGGTATTTACATGTGTGGAAGTAAATCGCATCGGGATCTTATTAAGTCGGATTGAGAGAAATGCGACGGTGTGCTGTTGCGGCTTGCCACATTTCGCCGGTACGCCTTTCCCTATCAAGTAAAGTAAAATCACGATCGCAAACCGCTTATTTTTAAACGCCTTTTTTTTCGAAAAGATAACTAGATAAAATCATTAGATATTTGAAACGGAATTATAAGGATATCGTTGGGATGTCCATTTTTTATAACGATAAAACGTCAGGAATTGCGATAATTTATAAACTCAATTTTTAACACATAATACGCCATAACTTAGGAAGCACTATAGATATTGAAACTTTTTTTATTTTGAAGATTGGATCTTTTACAATATGTTTAAATAAGAAAAATTCGATAAAGTTGTTTTTCTTCATTCAAAAATTTTAAACAACCCATCCATTTACTTTTAGTGCATAGCAATTTTCAGCAATTGTGTAACTTTTTTATTTATAAAGATTTTCACATACTGTCTGCGAAGAAAATATAACAGAAATGTTAAGAAAGTTCCCGAAAAAACTACAATCAATTATTTTTAGTAGATTTTGAGATATCGATTTTTGAATTCAGAGTTCTAATAGCGCGACCACTGTCGAATACCAACTCAGTTCCACTTATTTTTACCAAAAATGCAAGTGTTTTTAACATGCACTTAAAATTTTTCAAGCTATAGGGAAAATTACAACGACTCGTTAATAAATAAACAAATTAAGTATCACGAGACGTAATTAAATCATGAAGCTGAACGCATCATGTACACTTTTCCCTAGAACTTGAAGTACCGACAGAGGTACCGATTGAGTCGACTGCGACAAATCTGCTATATCTCCTTCCACGTCTCTTAACAATGTGCACAGTTTCTCGGTTTATTTCATACGTTTGGCAACGTGTTTACTGTTCTATCTTTGTTCAGTACGTTATAAACGCATTTTACTCTTCTTACAGACGGAAATCTCGACCCAAGACTAACGTTTGCCTGTCCTTAGTAGACTTCTTAGTACGGGAAGGGTGAAAACCCCTACATAAATTTTAGTTTAAATATTTTCCAACACCACCGACGACAAATTTTCTTTTCGTAAAATGGTGCTTTTAGTATTTACTACATTTTTTGTGTCTTGTAAAAAAACGCCAAATCGCATAGTTTCTGGGAAACAAAAAATAACAAAGCAGACCTACAAAATATACAGGGAGTTTCAATATCGCGTGGACATAGAACAACTACGTATTTTTTGTATAACCCAATATTTTTAGCTTCCTGAAGAAAAAGAGAAGGCACAGGCTTTGCCCAAGGAGGTCGATGATATAAAACGTGACGTCATCCAGACGCAGAAGCAGATTGATGCGGCCAACGAAACCCTACCGTCAATTATCGAGAGTTTGGAGCAATTGCCGAATATACAGAAGAAACGAAATGAAACGTCGGAAGGTAAATTGAAAAAAAACCGTTTTCTAATATATTTTGTATAAGAAAAACACTTATGGACAACTAAAGTGTCCAAATTTTGTGACCAGTTACATTCATGTTACATTTTTTCAAGAATAGCACTGACGCATTATGTAATTTTTACATAAAAAAGTCTGAAAGAGCATCAGATTATTTGGGCTAAATTTAAAAAAAAATATAGTACATTTTTTGCAACCAAACCATTGGCGTAACTACAGGGGTGCCCGGGAGTACCTCCCCCCCCAGGTACTGCTGGGCACCCCCCAGAGAAATCCTGAATTATGACTCTTGGCTACGTATTAATTTTTATTTGCTTGTGATGTAGTAAAAATGACGTTTTCTAGTTTTGTTTAGTTAATATTGTTTTGTTGTGTTCAAAAAATGTATTAATTTTTTTTTTAGAAAATTTGCAGACAATAAATCTTGTATTTACGTGAGCAATCTCCCCACGAGAGATGGCACATGTTCTTTGAAACACCCTGTATATATCTTGATATTTTTTCAGGAATTAAAAACAGCATCAATAAGCTAAGTCAGCAGATCGAACTGGCTCGGGATATAGCTAATCAAATCAAAGTAGGCGTCAAATTCTATCCCAACACCACCCTGGAGCTGAGAAACCCGAGCAACATCGAAGATTTGACAACGTCGACGAAAATCAGCGGGTACTTCAAGACGGATAAACCAAACGGTTTGATTTTCTATCTTGGCAATCCCAACGGAACCAGCTTGAGAAAAACCAAAACGGTAAGAGATGATTCGAATCACAGCCAGTTAATAGCCAGCTTGCCGACTTACGAGCACCTACTGTTCAATTTGCGAAGTTTGAAACTTTCGTCATCATTTTCGGCGCCATATTGGTTTTCACGTATTTCGTGACTTGGTGCATGAGTTTGTTTATATCTCTGGTTGTAAACTAACAATAACAAATTTAATAACAAAATATTAAACAATGACAGGTTTCTTGTAGCCTACCCGCAGTATACAATGAATAAATACGTCCTCTAATATGTTCATGGACCTTGTAAGCAGGAATTCCACGGGACAATCGAATGTTGTGGACTTTTTTGCTGCTTTTTGTTCTTTACCTTTCACGATTCCTCTGGAACTTATTCTTTGCACAGTCGAATGAAATTAAATTCTTAAAGCCTACGATGCTTTCTATAAAACACCTGAATATTTTCGATTTAATTACAAAATATTAACTCGGTAGTTGTCCAATTACATCGTAAACAGCCGACACAGGTAAAAGGGGTTTTCCAGCATCCTTTTCGAGTTTCAAATACTCGATAACTTTTGATATGAGCCGTTGTTCTTTTTCACTAAAACGGGACGGCATTTTAAACACAAATTAAATCACAAATAACTAAATAAACACAGAAAATCCCACAAAAATTTACGGGAAACTATAGGAAATTTAACGACAACTTTGACAGTCGGCAATTCGTTTTGTTCGATATCGGCGGGAATACAAATACGATGTTTGCCTTTTTCTATTCGTGCACATTAGAAGGATGTACGATCCTCTATTTGTAATGAAGGTGATCCGTATGTAAAAAAGAAAAAAATACACGTACGATGTAAGAAATATAATGGTCTGAACGTTTTTGATGCAAAATTTCCATTTCATGTGATAGACATGGATAAGAGAGAGAATGACAATCTGTGAAGAAAGACTTCGCAAATTGAACAGTACCTAGAGATTTGCTTATCTTATGTTATACAGGGTGAGTCTTCAATAAGTGCAATTATTTTTGGGGGTAGTATATTTCGACCCCAGAAACACGTCTATGAGGTTTTTTTCGCAAAAAGATCTTGGAAATTTTTGAATTTTTTTAAATTTTAATTAAAAAACATAATATCTTCATAATATGGCAACATAGAGAGTAGATTAAATTTACAAGAAAGGAAACCCACATGGTACAAAGAATACAAGGTATGATCGATAGCGGCTCCAATTTCGTTCAGTTCGCGCATACCACCTGTGACGTCACTAGGAAAATAATGAATAAATAAAAAATAAAGAAAGTTGACAGGAGATCTGCATTTTTTGGGGTTATGGTTAAGAATTGTTTATTTTTAAGACTTTTTAGTTCGTTTAATTTAATAATTACTAAAACCAGCAGTTCCAAAAATATATTTAAAAATAATTATCTATTAACATGGATTTGGACGATAATAATAGGTAAGAATACTAAATTTATTTCTATATTCGGTATAAAATTGTTTATTAGGTTTTTAGTTTGCGATGTTTATGGTAAATAATTTTCATGTTCATTGCCTCTGAATTCACATGAGGACAGAGATGAGGATATCTATGGAAAAGTAACCACAAGAGGAATTGTTACATCATTTAAAAAATGTTGGGAAGTTGAAGTTTCCCATCGAAAAGTAGAAAATGCCAATGCAGATGAATGTATTGTAATTGTGATAGAAGTAATTCCAAGGGTGAAGTCTATTATAATTAGTGACCTGTGCTTCTTTTTATATGTAGATGTTTCAGGTTTTGAGAATAAATCGGTTGAACGAAACCCAAAATTTAGAGGAAGTATTTGCATACCCAGAATATGACCATCAAGGATTATATAGCTCAAATTTCCTTTAATGGTAGGCAATTATTCAATGCAAATTAACTTTTTAAGTGACTGAAATATTAAATAGTTTACAATATGGTATATCACTAAAAATATATTACTTTTAGGTACAATTAGTGCCCGATACATTTCAAAAAGTAGATATTATTTTATATTAAATGAGGTATTGTACCAACAATCAATTTATATTAATACCGGAGATTAAAAATAACAGAATAAATAGTTCTTTTTTTTATACTACAAAAATAAACTATAGAATACAACAGTATTTAAAAAAATAAATAAAAAGTTATGTCCCGGCCGAGATTCGAACTCCGGTCTCTCGCTTCCTAGCCCGACTCCTTACGCACTGCTCCACAGTAACTTGCTTAGCGATAATTCAATGACGGTATATAAACAAAAAAACAAGTTTATAACAATATCTTGACGATTTGAATTGGCGCGCGGAGAGTGCTGACCAATTGCACCTGTTATCACCTGTGACGTAGCGACCAACCTGCGCAATATCATACCTTGTATTCTTTGTACCATGGGAAACCCAGAAATGGTCCAGTGGTTTTTAAAATTTAAGCGAAAAATATTTTTTTGTAATTTTCAAAGTAAAATATCTTAGTTATTTTGGACGTATTTGAAAAACAGTAAAGAGAAAATATGTTTCATTTATCGAGATCTACCAGCCTTGCAAATAGTTGCGCTTATTTAAGACTCCTGTTTAACAAGTCGAGTTCTGAGCCCTACTGAAAATCCGTTTAAAAACGAAGAAGGTGCTCTTGCTGCTGGCACACGTACGAGAATAGGCGTAGTAAGTTACTCGCGGATACTCAAAAATAAGCGAAGACGACAAGCTGGTACTGAATAAGCTGTGATTCAAATCATTGACTAATAAAAAGAATGGTAGAACTTTTTTCGTTAAAGATTATAAGTACCTATAATCGAAATTAAAACATAAAATAAGTGATTATATTGAATTATGGAAATCTTTTATAATATTTTCCAGGATGATTATATGGCATTGATCGTTCAAAACGGATTTCCGGTGCTCAATCTGGACATAGGAAATGGCAGGGAACAGGTCATCCTGAATGACAAACGAGTCGACGATGGCGTATGGTATCAGTTTATAATAGAAAGGTCAGTGTAAACCACAATATAGAAACAATATAATCTGTGATATAGATAACGCAATAGATGTAAATATAAAATGCTTTTTTTTCGATCATACGGTATATTATTAATAATTTCAACTATTAGATATCACTAAAGAGCGAAAATACGAGATATATTTTTATAAATACACTTTTTAAACTCTTAAGCAGGCAGTATTTATAATATAGGAAATTCAAATAATTAGTTATCTGACATATGGAAATGAATTGTCTGAGTGTTTGACACTTAATGTCAAAGGAAGCTAGATAAAATCAAGAAAAATATACGTTTTAAAACTAAATCTTAAATAACATAAAAAAATGATTTATGATAAGTTTTTAAAAGCTCAATTCCATGACAGCTACTAGATTTGTTAAAATCAAAATTTATAGAATTTTACAGAGAATTTAATTATGTAATAAAAAATGGGGGCACCCATTTAAAATAAGAAAGTTGCTGTCTACTTCCGGTATTTCCGGAAGTGCTGCCATACTGAAAATATATTTAATCGATAGATCACGTTGTAAAACATTGATATGCAAAAAATCCTTGATCTAGATATTGTAGTTTTCTAGAAATTTCTAATGTACGCTCATCCTGCCTGGGTCACCCTGTATAAATCTTTTTATGTATCATTTTATATTATTTGAATTACAGTTGTAGTAGTTCTCTAGTTAAGTTTAGATTTAACATTTTTCTTTTCAATTTAATAACAATTTATATCTGTGATATTCACAGGGTGGGTCACAACGTGAAACTCTCCATCAGGGAGGAGTATGCCGATGGTCAAGACCACGTGATAACCCAGGAACAGTCCCTTCAAGGACCACTGACAATATTCAATTTGGACAAGGAAAAATCGAAATTGTTCGTGGGCGGATTCCCCGTCAATTATGACATGCAACATGACATCGACGTCAATTCGTTCGACGGTGAAATCGAAGACTTGGTGGTGGGAAATAATCCAGTGTCTTTGTGGAACTTTGTCGAGGGATACGAAAACAATCATGGAGCTGTCGAAAGGTAATGCCATAGTACAGGGTGAGCCAACGATAAAGTCTATTATCTCATCTGTTTCGAGGTTTACAAAAAAAATGTTAAATATAAAAGTTATAGGGAAGGTTGTTTTTTTAAACAGAATTAGACCTGTATTATATCTTTACCTCTTGAAAATTAGACTTTGCAGAAATAGTAGTAAACTTATAGCTATACCGTGCTGGCAACTGTTACTTTAAAATGCGAGGGTGTGCTGTTGCGGTTTCACTATCAAGTAAAGTAAAATCACGATCGCAAACCGCTTATTTTTCGAAAATATAACTAGTTAAAATTAGGCATGTTTCTGAGCATCTGAAATGGAATTATAAGGATATCTTTAAGGTGTCATTTTTTTTAAACGAGAAAACGACAGTAATCGCGATAATTTAAAAACTCAACTTTTTAACACATAACACGCCATAACTCAAGAACCACTTTAGATATTGAAACTTTTTTTACTTTGAAGATCGGATCTTTTACAATATGTTTACATAAGACAAATTCGATAAGGTTGTTTTTTTCCATTCTAAAATTGTAAACAATCCATTCATTTACTTTTAGAAGATATCAATTTTCAGCAATCGTGTAATTTTTTTATTGATAAAGATTTTCACATACTATCTACGAAGAAAATACAGCTGAAATATTAAGCAAGTTTTTGAAAAAAACTACAATCAATTATTTCTAATAGATTTCGCGATATCGATTTTTTGAATTCAAAGTTCTAATAGCGCGACCACTGTCGAACACCAACTCAATTCCACGTATTTTTACCAAAAATGCAAGTTTCTAGCTTGCACTTAAAAATTTTCAAGCTATAGGGAAAATTACGACTCGTTGATAAATAAACAAAGTATCACGAGACGTAATTAAATCGTGAAGCTGAACACATGCTGTACACCTTTCCCTAGAACTTTAAGTACTGACAGAGGTACTGATTGGGTCGACCGGTCAACTGCGACAAATCTGCTATATCCCCTTACACGTCTCTTAGCAAGACTAACCTTTGCCAGCCCTTAGTATGTATAAGTCTAAGACTTTTTTAACTCGACAAAATAACCCTACATGAAAATTTGAAATTAAAATTACTGTTTCAGAGATAAGTTGGTGGTACTTCAACCAAGTACTGGGTACAGATTTAACGGACAAGGTTACGTACTGATCGATGCCAGATCGTTCCAGTTGAGATTGAAATCAGCCATAACCCTCGCATTCAAAACTTTCGCTACCGAAGGTTTATTGTTCTTGGCCGGCAAAGAAAACACTTTCGTTGCTCTGGAGTTGCGCAATGGCAAAATATTGTACCAAGTAAGTTTTTAATCGTAGAGTGCCTAGTGCGAAATATTTTTTGGTAATCCAACATCACAAAATTATATCTATTACCTTTGTATATGAATATACCTCCTTCATTATTCTGTTTTTTCAAGTAAAAAATAATATTTGGTTTCTTAATCTGTTTATTCAACAAAAAGATAATATTTGACTCCTTTCTTAGTCTGTTTATTCAACAGAAAAATAATATTTTACTTCTTCCTTTGTCTGTTTATTCAACAGAAATATTTGACACCTTCCTTAGTCTGTTTATTCAACAGAAAAATAATATTTGACTTCTTCGTAAGTCTGTTCTCTCAACAGAAATATTAAATTCCTTCCTAGTCTGCTTATTCAAAAGAAAATAATATTTGACTCTTCCTTTGTCTGTTTATTCAACAGAAATATTTGACTACTTCCTTAGTGTGTTTATCCACCAGGAAGTAATATTTGACTCTTTCTTAGTCTGTCTTTTCAACAGAAATATTCAACTCATTCCTTAGTCTCTTTTTTGTCAAAAGAAAAATAATATTTGACTCATTTCTTTGTCTATTCAACGGAAAAATATTTGACTCCTTCGTTAGTCTGTTTATTCAACAGAAATATTTCACTCTCTTCTTAGTCTGTTTATTCATCGGAAATATTCAACTCCGTCTCTTTATTCAACAGAAATATAATATTTGTCTCCTTCGTTAGAATGTTTATTCAACACAAATTTTTGACTCCCTCCTTAATCTGTTTATTCAACAGAAATATTCAACTCCTTAGTCCCTTTATTCAACAGAAAAATATTTGAGTCCTTCCATCGTCCGTTTATTCAACAGAAATATAATACCGTATGATCGAAAAAAAAACGGCGCCAGTGATGGCTATGAAATGAAGAATGATGGATATGTAAATTTATATGGGAAATATCATCGATCGTCATTTCCCAGCCAAATGGACGCCGTTTTTTTCGATCATACGATATTTGGCTCCCTCTTTAGTCTTTTTATTCAACAGAAAAATAATATCTGTCTGATTCGTTAGACTGTTTATTCAACATAAATATTTGACTCCTTCGTTAGTCTGTTTATTCAACAGAAATATTTCACTCTCTTCTTAGTCTGTTTATTCATCGGAAATATTCAACTTCTTAGTCTCTTTATTCAACAGAAAAATAATATTTGAGTCATTCCTTTGTCTGTTTATTCAACAGAAATATAATACCGTATGATCGGAAAAAAAACGGCGCTAGCGAGGGCTAGGAAATGAAGATGATGAATTGAAGACCGATGGATATGTAAATTTATATGGGAAATGTCATCGATCGTCATTTCCCAGCCAACTGGACGTCGTTTTAATCATTTTATTCAACAGAAAAATAAAATTTGAATCCGTCCTTTGTCTGTTTAATCAACAGAAATATAATACCGTATGATCGAAAAAAAACCTGGCGCCGTTTTTTTTTTCGATGATACGGTATTTGGCTCGCTCGTTAGTCTTTTTATTCAACACAAAAAATAAGATTTGAGTCCTTCATTTGTCTGTTTATTCAACATAAATATTTGACTCCTTTCTTAGTCTGTTTATTCAAGCTTTTATCTTTTACCATTTTTTAGTACAATCTTGGAAGCGGCACGAAGAAATTCGCCTCAACCAAACAGTACAACGACGGCAATTGGCACAAGATTTCGGCAATCAGAGACGGCGCCCGAGGCAAACTGACAATCGACAACGACGAGGTGATGGACGTGACCCAAGATATCACCGGATCTGGCTTGGAAATGATCGAAACGGTTACTTTCGGAGGATATCCTCATCCGCACCCATTCAAAGACGTGACCAACATCAAATTTGACGGTTGTATCAACAACGTCACTATTACCGGTGAGCTGGTGGACCTGAGGAACCATCTCAAATCGTTTGACGTTACTCCCGGATGTCCTGCCAAGTTTGCTCCTTTGGTATCCTTTAACAAATCGAGACGTGGATATGTCGGTTGGGATCGTATCTCCATCGATAACGACCTGCACATTTCGCTCAAATTCAAGACCAGGGAGAAGAACGGACTCGTTTTCTACCTAACCGACGCCGACCAAAGTAACGGCGTGTCCTTGGCACTGGTCGGAGGTCACCTGAAGGTCATCAGCCAGAAAATCGAGCTGGTTTCCAGCGAGACCTTCGACGATGGCGACTGGCACGTGGTATCCGTTATCCATAACGGCACAATCTTGAGGATTGACTTTGATGATCTTGGAAACAAGGTGTAAGTACCATATGATAGAGATGAGCAAAACTGCGATTCTTAAATCGCAAATGAAACTGCGATTGCGATTTTTAAATCGCTCCAACTGTAACATGCGATTGCGATTTTAATATTTAAATATTTTACTAGGTATACAGGGCGTTTCAAAACAAATGCGAAAAACTTCAGGGGGTGAAGCCTTGTTCAAAATAAAGGGTAGTTTGCTTTATAAACGTTGGGTCAAAAGTCAACCATTAGGGAGATATCGCGGTACAAAGATGGCGGAAAAATAATGTTTTTATTTTTTATCTTGAAAACGAAAAGAGATAGACTAATGAAATTTTACGGAAGCATTACTGTTGTGAAAATACACTTTCTGGTAATTTTTCACTTTTTAAAATGAGTGGAAGGGTTGAAATAAACTACCCCTATCATTCTTGTTAACGAAATTTAAAGAAAAATCTTACCAAACACATGCAAAAAATTAATTTTGATAGTTTAGTTTATTTAGAAACTTTTTATCTCTTGTGTTTTTGATAAAACTCACCGATTTGAAATTAAAAAATAAAATGTAAAGCATTACATGTCAGGACAAAAAACATTTTTAGATAAAGAATCTAGTGGGCAGCTGTAATTTTTACGAGAAAAAAATCTAGTCGGTCGCTGTCACTTTTTAGGATGTTTCTAATATTGTTTTATTTGACATTACCCTACTGCAATACGTTATTATCTAGATTATTATTATTATCACTAGATTCTTAATCTAAAAATATTTTTAGTCCTGACATGTAATGCTTTACATTTTATTTTTTAATTTCAAATCGGTGAGTTTTATAAAAAAATACAAGAGATAAAAAAGTTTCTAAACAAACTAAACTATCCAAATTAATTTTTTGCATGTGTTTGAGAAGATTTTTCTTTAAATTTCGTTAACAAGAATGATAGGGGTAGTTTATTTCAACCCCTTCCACTCATTTTAAAAAGTGAAAAATTACCAGACAGTGTGTTTTCATAATAGTAATGCTTCCATAAAATTTCATTAGTCTATCTCTTTTCGTTTTCAAGATAAAAAATAAGAACATTATTTTTCCGCCATCTTTGTACCGCGATATCTCCCTAATGGTTGACTTTTGACCCAACGTTTATGAAGCAAACTACCCTTTATTTTGAACAAGGAATCACCCCCTGAAGTTTTTCGCATTTGTTTTGAAACACCCTGTATAATTATCTGTGTAGATACCTATAGCTTAACAGCTAAAAAAGTTGATAAAAATCGGTTCTTTACTATACATATCTATTATTTTTTTCTAAACAGAACAGACAGTACGCCTCCACCACTACACGTTCTCCATGCCACCATGTACGTGGGCGGCTTGCCACGTAGAATCCGACCCTTACAAGGTACCGTTGGTTCGGAGGAACCTTTCCATGGGTGTATCACCGACTTGACTGTCAATGGCAACGTGAAGAACTTCGCCAACACTACCGACAAACTGCTGGAGATTCTCGACAAGTGTATCTTGGATGCCGACTATCTGCCTACGGATCCATCAGTCCATTTACGTGAGTTTTACATGAGAACTGATGCAAACTTTTAGAACTGCATTTTCTGACAACCCTCTGAAATATGTTATCTTTAATTATACAGGGTGTTTCAAAACAAATGCGAAAAACTTCAGCGGTGATTCCTTGTTCAAAATAAAGGGTAGTTTGCTTTAGAAACGTTGGGTCAAAAGTCAACCATTAGGGAGATATCGCGGTAAAAAGATGGCGGAAAAATAATGTTTTTATTTTTTATCTTGAAAACGAAAAGCGATAGGCTAATAAAATTTTATAGAAGTATTACTTACTTATTAGTTATGAAAACACACTTTCTGGTAATGAGTGTAAGGGGTTGAAATAAACTACCCCTATTATTCTTGTTAACGAATTTTAAAGAAAAATCTTATCAAACACATGCAAAAATTGATTTGGATAGTTTAGTTTGTTTAGAAACCTTTTTATCTCTAGTGTTTTGTCGATAAAACTCACCGATTTAAAATTAAAAAATAAAATGTAAAGCATTACATGTCAGGACAAAAAACATTTTTAGATAAAGAATCTAGTGGGCTGCTGTAATTTTTTTAGGAAAAAATCTAGTCGGCCGCTGTCAATTTTTAGGATGTTTCTAATATTATTTTATTTGACATTGAAAAAATTACCAGAAAGTGTGTTTTCATAACAGTAATGCTTCCATAAAATTTCATTAGTCTATCTCTTTTCGTTTTCAAGATAAGAAATAAAAACATTATTTTTCCGCCATCTTTGTACCGCGATATCTCCCTAATGGTTGACTTTTGATCCAATGTTAATGAAGCAAACTACCCTTTATTTTGAACAAGGAATCACCCCCTGACGTTTTTCGCATTTGTTTTGAAACACCCTGTATAACAACCTGCATATATTTATATTATTTCAGTACCGGAATTGCCGCCTATCGAAGAAGCTACATTGCCTCCAATTACTGAAATTCCCATTGTGACAGAAGATCCGTTCCATCATAGTAAGTTACCTATTATTCATGTCAAATAAACTTCCGGCACAGCGTTGCTCACTTTTACATATTTTCTTTTAATCAAAATTTTTTAGGAAACAAAAATAAATTAATTATAAATATAAAAACAATTATTTACGTCGACAAAACTCACCTCCTTAACAGCACTTAAGGACTTAAGGGACATAAATTACTACCGCTTTTCCGTTCAGAATATTTTAATAAAGTTGCGAGGAGTTTTTTACGACTATTAAGCTATCTTGTCCACTTCGCACTAAAAGAGGTTCTAAAAAGAACAATGTTCGACTGCAAGGTCTGCTAGTAAAAATGTTTAAGCTTAAAGAATCACAACACCATTATTCAGTTAAACCAAAAACTCGTAAAACAAAACTAAAGTGTCAAAACGAAGAAGAAATACCTAATTTTTTTTTGTTTATTAGTAAACAACGCCCGTGGTGATGGTGGGTTGGACGTACTGCCTGAATCAGGTACGCAACAGCCCAAAGTTGAACAAGAACAGACAGAAAAACCTGCGGTTACACCTGCAGCTAGAGGGCCCGTACCAAGGCCACCACTAACAACACCTAAAGTAAGAATTAAGGATTCATACAAATGTCATAAAATTTTTAAACTGTGTTTATACTCTCAAGTAGTTTGTGCAAACCCGTTGTTTCTTAGCTTCAATTTACTGAGGTGTTCATTAAGGAGACAATGTCCTGTCAAAAACCCCATGACATTCCGAAGTTTCTTCTTAGGCTGTATTCCGTTGCAAAACCAGGCGAACCAGACCGGTAAACTACGGTAAAGAGCGGTTTCTGAAAAACATCGGTTTGATACGGAACGGTTTGGTAAAATACTGGAAATGTCAAATGTTGACGTTTTCTAAATTTCAATACCTTTATTATAAAATTTATCTTTTATGCATTTTTAATGTACATATTCTCTGCTTTTACGTTTGCTTCTTCTTTTCAGTGGATTTTAATATTGAAAAGTACTTTATTAATAAACTGTTAAACTCGTTCGACTGCTCAAATGAAGATTTGCAGGCCAATATTAAAACAGATCAATAATAAATAAACAAATCTAATCAATATTTATATTTTTATAGCTTACAAAACATTCACGATTACTTGTCTTGTTTTTCATGTTTTCTTTAAATGTTCCATGTTCCTGACTCTAAGAAACAATGGCTGCATGATAAGTTTAAATGGTCCTAAAAAGTCATTCTAGAATAATATAATAGAATAGAATAGAATAATTTATTGATGTCAATACCATACAAATAGTGGCGTACATAAGTCAAAATATAAAATAAAATACATATATAAAACACAATTAACTTAAAAATTAACACAAAAGACATAAAGTTAAAACCATCATATTAGATGGGTATACAATGCCAGTTATATATTCTAGTTAATACATTGTAATATAAATATAGGGTGGGAGTTTCCAGTTCCCACATTCTGTTGTAGAAGGAATTTCCATCAAGTGAGATTAATATGTATATCACTTGAAAGAAACTCCCTCGTGTCATACAGTGGATTTTCAAGTAACCAGCCACGAACCCTGCCCTTAAACACCTTATCGGACAATAGTTTATACCCATCCGGGAGTTTATTGTAAAACTTCACACCCCAGTATCTAGGTCCATCTCGAGACCTTTCTAATCTATGTATAGGGATACTGAGGTGCTCCGCCCTACGAGTGTCATGAGAGCCGTGCTGAGCATTTGTGGGATATTTTTCCGTATTGGCTTTAACATATAATAGATTTTCCAATATATAAAGATTTGGGAGAGTAAGTATATTTAACATTTTAAAGGTTTCCCTGCAATCATCCCTGTAGCCCAATCCTCCGACAACTCTCACAGCCCTCCTCTGAAGCGCGAAAACCCTGCGCCACTGAGGTGCGTGACCCCAAGCCAAAACAGCGTAGGACATCACAGAATGAAAAAGAGCGTAGTAAGCCGTCCGCAATACGCAACAGGAAACAGTACCTGACAAATTACGCAGAACGGAGAGCGCGCTTCTTAGCTTCTTGCATAGTTGCTCAATATGAGCATTCCATCTCATTTCACTGTCCAACTGAACCCCTAAAAATGGAACAGATTCCCTGGAGAAGCGACAGTCCTCAGGCACACTCCTCAAAGAAAAAATTACACAGTTTGTTTTGGCCTCATTTAAAACTAGGTTATTTTTCCGGAACCAGTCAGCCGCCCTCGCTTGAGCGTCATCCGCGCTTCCCTCTAGGTCTTTTAGTTATTCTATTTAGTTAATGAAATTTATTTACCTTTACTGCCTACCTCCATTGCTTTTGGATGTAAATACAAAATATTATTACAAATTTTAGAAATTAAATGAGAATTTCACTCGGACTTCCAATATTTGCTTGATTTCTGTCACATAAATGACATTGATTGACAAACAAAGCCGGAAAAACCAGCCTTGTCGCGCTGGTTAGTTTGGTGACAGTTATAACCGAATTTTTCAGGAACCGTGTTCCGTAATAAGAAAGCTTTCAAGAAACCGATAGAAACGGAACATATAACCATACCCAAGGTAAGCAACGGAATACACCCTAATTATGTAACAACCGGATGACAAGATTAATACAAAAGAGTATAGGCTTGGTGCATTCTCCGCCGGTGCTGCCACCATCGGAGAATATCGTAAACAGCTAATACTTACAAATAAACGAGTTTAAATAGCGAGAATACAAAAAAAATATTATTTAATCATTCTAAAAGTGTTAGGAAGTATAATTTGTGAAAATTCTAAAAATAAAAATAAAAAAGTAAATATTTTGATATCTTCAGAAGAGAGAGAGAGAGAGAGAGAGAGGTCTAACTTCTAATTATCCCAGTTAAAACAACTAAAAAGTTGTTTTAACTCATCTAAAAAGATGAGTTCAACTACGGTAGCGAGCATAGCTTTAATCACCGGTTTTGCTAGTGGGGAATAATTGGGGTTATTTCGGCTATAACGAAATTTTTTAAAGGTACATAATTATAATTTTAGAAGATGTTCATAAAACAAAACATTTAATCACTAGTTGATTAAAAAAGTATACCATTAATATTGCAAATTATATTTATCCTCTCATAGTATATGTCTATTTAATTCTTTGATTATGTAATGAACACTTTGTTTACTCACTTGTTTCGTCGAACTGCTTGAATCCATTTTTGCTTTTGATCAAATCGGTGTGAGAAACTATAACGCTATAAAATGTTGTTTCGAGCGAGTTGAATATCCGGGAAAGTTGAATTATTAAATGTTATTGCATCCAACAACGCCCTAATTACGCTCTCCTTTACGCGTTAACATTTTTTCGGCAATTCTATTAACATTTGAAATTGTCATAACGCGCGCCTAGTTGGAATTCTTTTTCATTTATTTTTTACTACTCGAAACAGCGTTACATCATACAAATTTCGTACCTGTGCACTAGCAAAAAACTAAAATACTTAAAGATTATGAAAAAAAACACGATTTAAATTTTATTTTAAAGCGATCAACATGACGGCGGCGTGAAATAGGTACGGATAACTTCTGATTTTTGCCGTTGAAGCGCTGCGGTCGGAATTTGTTGAAATCAACTGAAATGCACCAAGCCTATACAGAAGTCAGTTAGTTACTCAGAGTGGTGAACACAACTTCTGACAAGCAGCGTCCGTTTAGGTTTAACGCCAGAAGTGTTTACAAAAAATAACTATTTTATTTTGTAGATTTTTCTTGCAGTGCAGTGGCGAAAAACCCATAAGGATTTTTTTGGATAGATGCATATTATTATAGAACATATATTTTTATTTGTCCTGTTTTAGCCTGCTCAATCAGGATGTGCCTTGCCAGCCAATCCTCCAAGAGAAGATCTGAAGCTAAACGGACACAGGTTCGGAGCTCAACCTAACAGCAGAATGGAATACAACACTCCGAGGGGCAAATTCAGGAAATCCTTCGATTTTTCGTTGGAATTTAAAACGTCAGAACCGAACGGTATTCTTTTCTACGTGTCTGATATCAAGGGCCACAAACAGTATGCTTCCCTGCTTCTGTCTGATTCTTACGTAAGTAAATTTCCATATTCAGAATGTTTATGTATTAAGGTGCGTCCACATTGCTCGCAAGCAGGCCGAACGAATACGTGAAACACGAAAAACATGGTAAACGGTCGGAGCGAGATGTTCGCGGCGCTCGCGGTGCTCCACCTGCTTGCGATCACATAAAATGCCAGTTTCGACTGTTCTCTGTCGCGGTACATCAAAGAGATTCTTCGAAGCCATGCGAGCATACTTTACGGCGCGGCGGTTCGAAGCGCTCGAGCTTTTTGCGTTGTTTGTTTAGCTTTTAGTTTGGTTTTATTCGTAGGATTCGGTATTTACTGCAGTATGATGATACTACCATGAGATTTTTCTTCTTTTTTTGTTCAGAATTACAAATATTTGTGTTTTGTTCTTGGATTAATAATATTAAATATACCTTTAATAAAATATAACTATATTTATATTGCCCACTTATCTTAATCTGATCTTTGAGAACTTTATTTATATTTTGGCATACGCCTAGTACTATTTTGGAAATGTTTTGCTTGGAAACTTCGAATAAATAACCTAAACTGGTATGTGAGTCTCCAGTTGCAAGGAATCTTAATGTTACGGTTATCTTTCTTGAACTCTTTCTTTAACTGGAATACATTTCCTAAAAGTTGTATTTTTTCTTTCTATACGGGGGCCAACTAAGTTAATAAGTCTTTCAAAATGAGTAGAGGACATGCGATAAAAATTATTAAAAAACATTCTCTCTGTAAATCGCGTAGAAGTTTACTTTGACTGTGTTGGGATCTACTTTTGAAATTATAAGGCATCTAACACCGCCTTTTTTCCTCGTTGTCTCCTTCGTTTTGCAATAATGATCGCACTAGCAGCCGCTATTAACAATAATTCGATATATATCATCCATGTCCGAACAGCACGAACGCAACAATATTACAATGAGGACGCCGTTGCTTGCGATCCGAAAGATCTTGAGAAACACGACAAACAGGAAGCGCAAGCACAATCAGAAGCAAGAGTGCGATCAGGATTACGAGCAATGTGGACGCACCTTTATTAGTTGTATATATTGAGTAAAAATGAGTAAGGAAATTGATGGCACTGCGAAAGGTCCCAATATGGCTGACTTAACTTCCGGTTGATCCTGATTAGTAGATCTCCACCGTCGCGGGTTCGAATCTCTGTGGAATGAACCTTTTGTAATTTAATATTGTTATTAATATTTTATATAAATCCTTTCACACTATTTTAATTATTGTCAAGACAATCGAAACAACAGTTTCATTAATTGTATCTAACATTCATCAACGATCAACGAAATAATTAAGTAGTTACATGGTTGGTTGCTGAAATGGTATATGATGACTATGACATAGAAACAAAAACTTTTTTAGCATTGATTTTTTCCTATAAATAAATAGGCAACTACAGCCTTTTTGAACTTCTACTTCTACTTTATTATATGTATTGATCATAAATTGATGCACACAATTTCAGCTGGTGTTCACATTCAAAACCGAAAATCCTCCTTTGGTGATCAAGTCTGATCTGGCTTACAATGACAACGAATGGCATTACGTACAGTTTAGCAGGCAAGGCTCGGAAGGCAAACTGATAATAGACAACAAGGATATTCCTGGCAGAAGCGTTCACAAGACGCAGACCTTGGATCTTCACATACCTTTCTACCTCGGAGGAATCCATCCGGATGCTACAGAGCAAGTCTTGCAAAATCTGGTAAGTATAAACTCGTCCTCTTTAAATATCTCACACGGTACAAAAAATAGATTATATAAAAGGAAAAGTAGATTATATAGTTGCCGCCAACAATAATTCAGATTCGTATAAAAAACGTCTTTCGCATATTTAACTATTCTTAATTTTAATAATTTATAGTTCGTTAGTAAAAGAATGATTTCAAACTCTGTCAAATATCAGGAAACTAACAAAATCATAAGTCGTGACATTACACTACAACTTTACTATATGATATTTTTTTTCAGAATACCACAGCGCAATTTAAAGGCTGCATTAGAAATTTCCATATGAATAACAAACCTATGGAGAACCCTAAGGAAACTGGAGTTATACCATGTTCAGATAATGTTGAGGTAAAGATTAAATTAATGTAAAAATATTTTTTATTACGTTTATGATTAATTCGTTATGCTTTTTGTTGACCACGTTGACCACTTTGTTAATATCATTCAGGACGTAGAGTGTGATATGGGTTGCATGTATTTTTTATTATTATTAATGGGCTCAAACGATAATTAGTTTAAAATGTTCATTTCAGTTTGGTACATATTTCGGTGGCGGTCCAGGTACTTTCGTCAAACTGAAAGAAAGGTACAATGTAGGTCAAATGTTCAATATTAAGATGGACATCAAACCCAGAGTAAACTCAGGTGAGTTGGTACATTCATATTTTTCACTTCATTCTGTTAACTTGAGTTGTATTTTTTTGGGTTCCGTACCCAAAGGGTAAAAACGGGAACCCCCTATTATTAAGACTTCGCTGTCCGTCCGTCCGTTCGTCTGTTACAAAGGTCTATCTTATGAACCGTTATAGCTAGACAGTTGAAATTTTTACAGATAATGTATCTATGTTGCCGCTATAAGAACAAATACTAAAAACAGAATTAAATAAATGTTTATAGATAAAAAAGTACTTTCACTAAACATTATCTTTTAAGTAAGAACTTTATATAGAATCTTTCAAGTCCTCGGTGGCCGCGTGGTTAAAGCGTTAGGACTTTACGCTGCTGTGACGTTGGGGCCGTAGTAAGGCAGGTTCGAATCTTAGTCAAGGCGACTTTTTTTAGTCTTTTTTTTGAAATTTTACTTATTTTTACATATTTATTTTTACTTTTTACATATTTATTATTGATAAATTGTACTGAAGCTGTGGTTGGTTCCTTATGAAACATCGTTGAAATATTAGTATTTTAATAAAGCACGCTTTTAGATGTTTCAAAAAACTTTTAATAAGAGTAACTTTTACTCAACATATATGTTTCGGCTTGTTAGGCCTTTTTCAAGAGTTTTTTAAGAACTAATCGTCTAACTACACTGTAACTATATATATTTACTATGGGGGTGGGTTCAGAGAGTTTACAATAGGGGTAATAAAAAATGTGTTTAGAAATCCTTGTTGGTCGTTAACATTATTTTCGTTTTTAACAGATTTTAGTATTTGAGTATGCTTGAGGTCAGGCATCTTATTAATTTTGCCTGGGCTTCCATCCTAGGCATTGTTTCGTTTATACTTTGACTTGTTTTTGCCTTTATTATTTGTCTAAATTTCTTTTATTTGGTTAATAGTTTTACATCCTACATTGAGATATTTGATAATTTGTTACAGTTAAATTAGAATGTTGAAAGCATGTTAAATTGTCGATATTGTCTTTAAATTGCGAATGTAATTTTTCATTAATATTTTCTTTGTTAATATTTCATAGTTTATAGTTTAATAGATTAGTAATGCTTCCACTGAGCCCAGAGAATTTAAAAAAGAGTTAAATATTATTAAACAAATCGCCATCAACAATGGATATAAATGTTCCCTTATTGATAATATGCTAAAGAAAAAACAAAAGAAAATATTAATGAAAAATTTTTATTTCGCTAATTCTAAAGACAATAACAATTATCGACTTTTAAACTACATTCCTAATTTAACTAACAAAATATCAAATAATCTCAATAAAATAGGTTGTAAAACTATTAACGTAAATAAAAGAAATTTAGGTCAAATTTTATTAAATAATAAAGAAAAAACTAATGTCAAAAATAAGTCGGGTGTATATAGGGTGGATTGCAATGATTGTGATGCCGTGTACATAGGCCAAACAGGTAGAAATTTAGATATAAGGATTAAAGAACATGTAAAGTCTATTAATAATCTCCAGCATAGTTCTGGTCTTGCAACTCATTGTATAGTAAATAATCACAAAATTAATGAAAACTCAATTAAGTTACTACACAGAGAAACAAAAGGTAGATTGGAAATTTTTACAGATAATGTATCTATGTTGCCGTTATAAGAACAAAATACTAAAAACAGAAAAATAAATGTTTATACGATAAACAAGTATTTCACTAAACACATTTTTAAGTAAGAACTATTATAGAATCTTTCTGAAGTCCTCCCCCATAGTAAATGGTTAAAGCGTTAGGACTTTACGCTGCTTAGACGTTGGAAAACCGTAGTAAGGCCTAACAGGTTCGAATCTTAGTCAAGTTGACTTAAAGTTAGTCTTTTTTTTGAAATTTTACTTATTTTTACATATTTATTTTTACTTTTACATATTTATTATTGATTAATACAATTTTTAGTAATGTGTTTCTTCATTTTTTTTAAAATTACTTATATACGAAAATAAGTTTATAATAATATAGTGTCTAATGTTGTATAGATAATGAATGGTACGGAACCCTTCTCGCACTTGACCAATTTTTTTAAACATAGTGGGTCTCACGTTGAAGGTTCGACTATTATCAAATGCATAATCTTTATTTTAGGTCTGCTGATAGCGGTTCATGGTAAAAGAGATTGTGTGGTATTGGAAATGGCGCATGGCAATTTGCGTCTTACAGTTGACAATGGAAAAGCCAATATCACAACCACTTATATTCCACCTGGAAACGACAGTTTTTCTTTGTGCGACGGCCAATGGCACGAAATACAAGGTGAGTTGTAGTCGGCTTTTCCTCAAATAATATTTTTTATTTAATTTGAACTTCCAATATATTTTGCTCTAATAGGTATAGTAAACGCCACGAATGTTTGGGAGTGATTTATCGGTCGCTACCATGTGAACTAATCTGTTCAAGGGCACATAAAACTTAATTCCAGTGCCGTGGTGTTTCAAGTCATTATAATAATCAATATATAATCTATTGTAATTTGTTGTTTTAACTGTCAAAGTCTTGTCAAAACATATATTTGATTATAAATATAAAATGGAATGCCCCATTAGTCACACCAATGGACTGATGCACAAAAACGAATCAATCAAAGAAACGCGATATAGTATCGTCTTTGTCAATCACGCTAACATTTTAGAATAAGTAGGAGGAGCGCAGGCAGATGATTAGACCGGGCCTTTAGAAACCTACGTCTGCGGTAAAAATTTACGTTTTTAATGTAAAAATGATAGCGCGCGTGTCGATTCTAACTTCATCAAGCGATGAATCACTCCCAAACATTCGTGGCGTTTACTATAGTAGATTTTGATGATTTTTTAAGCCTTTTGTAGCCAAATAAGTTGGCTTTTTTTTAAAACCACTTCATCGTGAATGACATAAATCAGGAGTGATTGACGTATTCAACTGTATTCGGTCATTTCCTGTTTCACCGGAAATTACTACAACTTTATTTTTTAAATGGTACCCCCGGTATTTTTTTTACTTTAATCGATACAATGACACTGAATTGAATGACATATCATATAATATGTCAACTTTTGACATTCTCGTTTAAAAAATTTACCACTATTTTTTTTAATCATAACTCAATCTTTTCAAATGGAACGAGGGTGGCTCATTAGCATATTTTTTGGAAAAGACATTCTTTACGAATAATTTGGTACCACACACTTGATATTTTGGCACACTAAATTGAAATTTAAAATGTTATTTTTTTTTTAATTGAAAATGTCAAAAGTTGACATATGATATGTTATTCTATTCAGAATATAATTTTCTATCAAAAGTTGTAGTCAATTCTGGTGAAACAGGAAGGGACTGAAAACAACTGAATACGTCAATAAATCCTAATTTGTCATATACTAATACCGGGTGTGTCTCAAAAGTGGCTCACCCCCTATAACTTTTTTATTTTTTCAGATAAAGAAACGAGATTTGGTATGTTACTATATGACATAAATTAGTATTGATTGACGTATTCAATTGTTTTTGGTCACTTCCTGTTTCACCGGAAATGACTGCAACTTTTGATTTTTAAATGGCACCTTCGGTATTTTTTTCCTTTATTCGATAGAAAATGACATTTTGAATAGAATGACATATCATATGTCAACTTTTGAGATTCTCGCTTAATAAAAAATACTATTTTAAAATTCAATCTAGAGTGCTATGGGTATGTTAAAAACACTAATTCCTAATAAAGGAGCCTTGGAAAATAGATTTGATCGTCTAATGTTTTTAGTGTCTTGTCCTGGCCAGTTAGAAAATGTTCAAATCGTATTTTGAATCATATCTCAATTTTTTCAAATGGAACGAGGGTGGCTCATTAGCATATTTTGAAAAGGCATTTTTTTACGAATAATTTGATACCACACACTTGTTATTTTGTATTTGTTTTATATGATATGTCATTCTATTCAGAGTGTTATTTTCTATCGAATAAAGTAAAAACATATAGAGGGAGCTATTTAAAAATCAAAAGTTATAGTCGTTTCCGGTGAAACAGGAAGTGACCGAAAACAATAGAATACGTCAATCAATCCTAATTTATGTCATACACTAACATACCAAATCTCGTTTTTTTATCTGGAAAAATAAAAAAGTTATAGAGGTGAGCCATTCTTGAGACGCACCCGGTATACCAAAGTGCGGGTTTTATCTGAATTAATAAAAAAGTTATATAGAGTTGAGTCACTTTTGAGAAATACCCTGTATACGAACTGTCTCTATCTTTGACACTGATACACGTGTCATATAATTTTTAAGAAATAAACTTAAATTTTAGCCCTGAAAACATGTTATAATATTTTGTTCCGTATTTCAGCTGTCAAATCGAAGAACGTAGTGACTCTCTCCGTGGACAAAGTGTTCACCGATCCCCAGATCGGACCCAGTTCTGTCATTTCGAGCAACACTGGCAGCGCCCTCTTTCTGGGAGGGCACAAATTCATCAAGAGGGTTAGGGGCATCACGTCACGAACCTCTTTCGTTGGCTGCATCAAGAACGTCTATCTCAACAACGACTTTATCGATTTAGAATCGACACACGTCGAAGGCAATGTAACAGTTGGCACGTGTCGTACCGATTAGTATGAGATAATACCTACTGATCATGGGACGTACTCTTAATTTCTGTCATGATTTATTTTAGTTTTCGTAGTTTTGTAATCTTGTACTAGTTTTGAGTATAAATAAATTGAATAAAATATTTAGTAGCTTTTGTCTATTATTTGTAACAAAAACATCCCCAAAACAAGGCATACATACGTTGTAAATACAGAGTAATTTAGGTTTTCCTGCACACTTGATTAAATAAAAGGTTATTTATTTTAAAAATTATCATATAATTCTTAATAAAATTACAATATAAATTACAATTAAAAAATATCATTGGCAGCCAGATACACCTAACAACAAAATCTAATGCCCAGCTTTTTGTTACTAAGTGTTCCCCACATTCAAAAAAAAACGCTTAAAATTAAAAAAAATCCTACATCGGTTATAAAATATAATTGAATTTAATGAGAAAAAATCACAATTTATACAAGCGTGTGCTTGAGTAAAAGTCTTCCTTTAGAAGCAATCACAACACACGGCTTTTCATTTCAAAAATGAAAAATCACAATTTTATTTTGTAGATCGGTCACCTGACTAGCGTAACACCAAATCTAAATGATTCTCTTCCAATTTTTTTGCGTGACCTTGGCATTCATTCGAGATCCACATAAAACGCGCGCACCAATATCAAATTATTTCAAATATAAAAAGGTTTAAGAAAAAAAAGTAACGAAAAAGACGTCATAGTAGGCGTAGAAATTACATTTCCACTAGCGCTGAAGGTAAAGAAAATACATAACAGTGTTTCCAATACAATGTTTCCAATCCCATCATAACTCTCTATTTTTAGGATTTTTACGAATATAATTTATAGGAATATTAAAAAAACAATATAGTAATAGCTTGCAACATTTGATCCTCTTGGATATACAGGATGTTTTAAAAAACATGTTTTCGATTTATTAGAATCTTGGCATTTTCGAATGAAATTTTGATGGTAAAAGTTAATATAAGTACCACATATTTTAGTGATAAAAAGGTGTCGACAGATGCACTAGGGACGTGCATAAAAATCATCACTAGAATATTTTACTAAAAACACATGTGCACCACTGACTTTTTTTCTCTTGTTAGCAAAATTGTGTTGACCGCTTAATGCCCATTCAAAGTTGTATTATATCTTGATATTTTTGATAAGATAAACGTAATTTTATTAATCACAATTAATAAAATTAATAAATTATTTACTTAATCAAATATATTACTTAGTTTTATTAAAATTTAGAACACTGATGTTCAGTGTGTAGCAATACCTACAGTACATTCCAAAAAATAATGGTATTTCAGATAATGATCTATTTTTTAAAAGTTTCAATAGACCTCCATAGCTGTGCTAACAAGAGAAAAAAGTCAGTGGCGTATAGTTTTTTTAGATAAATATTCCAGTGATAATCCATATGCACGCCCCTGGTGATTGTATCTACACCTTTTCAGCACTAAAAGATGTAGCTCTTATCGTAACTTTTACCCTCAAAATTTCCTTCAAATCGTTAAAAGATCGTGCAACAAAATTATAACAAATCGAAAGAAAAAAAATGATAACTAACCTTTTGTACCTACAAAACAAAGCAGAATCGGACCTATGTTTTTACGTGAGGAATCTCCCCACGAGAGATGGTACATGTTTTTTGAAACACATGTTTTGTACTTTTATTTAATACCTAATATAATGAGCTTTAGTGATATAGTAAATCATGAAATGAAATGACATTTCTACGCCTAGTTGACGCCGTTTTTATTCGACGGCACGGTAAATATTTACCATTGCAAGAGATAAAACCAGGGGAAACCAGAAGTTTTAAAGAAACAAAAATTAATAATTTAAAACATTTTTTTAAAAAGCAGTCAGTACTTTAGTAGCACCGCCATAATGATATCCAAAGATATCAATACTGTATAAGAAAAAATCTCTTGATCAGTCCATTTTATTTTATTAATCACTGATCACTTTATTATTTTAGTTTATTTAACATTTTTGGTTAGTTTATTTAAGTACACCTTTGCAGTTTTGAAAAAGCTCAACCTTTTGTAACGTTTCAAAAAATTGACCTACTATGATCGAGAAAAAACGGCGTCATAGTGGCTATTGAAGTGATAGTCGATGATAATTTCCATCGGGCCGAAGTCTATACACGTCATTTATTAAAAATTGTCTATAATAAAACAAATAATTTATTTTTCAAAAAAGTATTCATGGAATTTAGATCGTCATCTCAAAGGCTACCTTGATGCCATTTTTTTTCGACTGTATTAAAATCAAGTATTACTTAAATAATTTCCTATCTTCATTTTATTTTGAATTATCTATATCTTGATTATCTAAAATATTTTAAAATTACAATCTGCACCTAAAACCGATTAGGTTCACCGATTCCTTTAGGTACTTATTTTCATATTTGACAATACTATCTGTCACAGTCTTTAATGTTTTTTGTTGCTAGTTATTTTTACAATTTAATATTACGAGGAATGTAAGACATAAAGTTTATAAGAGACGAGAAAAGTATTTAGAGAAAACGATTTGAAAGAAATTCGTGCATTTATTCTACTCCGTGCGCAAAAATCATGACCAGCCCTGGTTCGACCATCATGTCTTCGCCCATATGCTGGTTATCGCAGTGAAGCACCAATACCGCTTGTTTACCTATTACACACACGAAAAAATAACAGTCAACCACTTTTACATGTTATGTTACATACATAACACTCACAACAACTTTTTCTATAGTAAATCCACTGTTTGACAAACAAATCTGAAACAGCAGGGCACCTTAGAGTCCATTTTACTGGTCCGAAAAAGTAGCAAAATAAGCGTTCGGCATTTAACGTTTTATGTAAAAATGGCTAGGTATTTTTACACAAATCAAGAAGGAAATTAAATATAGAGGATTATACTATATCCGTATTGTAGCACATTTTTAGATAACTTTTTTATTTTTAAGATTTTGATTGTCGAACATCAAGAACAGTTACTTAATAGGACTGCTCATTCAGCCGAAAGTGTCTGTTAGGTGCATGCGAAAACTCTTCGCTTTGTGACGTAATTGTAGTCCTTGTCATGATAGTGTGTGTATTATTGGTTGCCGTATGCTTTTACAGGTAATCTTTTTAGAGCATTTCCATATTTTGCTTTAAAATAATTAATATATCGTATAACATATCGTAGGCACTTAGAAAGCACTTAGTCACAATCCACAACACAAAATGAACGTATTTATAAACTCTATAGCTCTAAAAACTTTAAAAACATCTTTTTCACATTTAAAATCGACAAAATAATTAACTCAAAATTTCTCAGCTGTTATTTTCATTAGTTTACCATAGGCAACCAATAATAGACACTATTATGACAAGGAGTACAATGACGTCACAACTGTCATCTGAAGCGCGGGGCGAAGGTACGTCTTATGAGGATGAGCAATCCTATTAGTTTACCGTTCTTGGTCGAACATCAACAAACTATTCCTTATGTTTGGACTAAATTTTCTCGGAAATAAAGATATAATTTAAAATTCTGTTACAATAAGGAAATTTGAATTTGAATAAAATTTGATTACAGTGATATATAATTTATATTGTTTTGTAATAAATTGCTCGCTATTTTATGGCAAATGCTGAAGCTCTGCAAACCTTAATCAAGCCTTAATCCAAGCAGGTGTGTTTGGAATTTTGACGGTGGCTTAACAGTCGGGCTAAGCCTTAGGCAGATTTCTGAAATATAATATACAGGGTGTTTCAAAACAAATGCGAAAAACTTCAGGGGCTGATTCCTTGTTCAAAATAAAGGGTAGTTTGCTTTATAAACGTTGGGTCAAAAGTCAACCATTAGGGAGATATCGCGGTACAAAGATGGCGGAAAAATAATGTTTTTATTTTTTATCTTGAAAACGAAAAGAGATAGACTAATGAAATTTTATGGAAGCATTACTGTTATGAAAACAGACTTTCTGGTAATTTTTTCACTTTTAAAGTGAGTGGAAGGGTTGAAATAAACTACCACTATCATTCTTGTTAACGAAATTTAAAGAAAAATCTTATCAAACACATGCAAAAAATTAATTTGATAGTTTAGTTTGTTTAGAAACTTTTTTTATATCTTGTATTTTTTTTATAAAACTCACCGATTTGAAATTAAAAAATAAAATGTAAAGCATTACATGTCAGGACTAAAAATATTTTTAGATTAAGAATCTAGTGATAATAATAATAATCTAGATAATAACGTATTGCAGTAGGGTAATGTCAAATAAAACAATATTAGAAACATCCTAAAAAGTGACAGCGGCCGACTAGATTTTTTCCTAAAAAAATTACAGCTGTCCACTAGATTCTTTATCTAAAAATGTTTTTTGTCCTGACATGTAATGTTTTACATTTTATTTTTTAATTTCAAATCGGTGAGTTTTATCAAAAAAACACAAGAGATAAAAAAGTTTCTAAATAAACTAAACTATCAAAATTAATTTTTTTTGCATGTGTTTGATAATAATAATAATAATAATAATAATAATAATATATTTATTGAAGTTTGTATATATACAATGCAACAAATTTATACAGATGAGTTTAAAAAACATTATCATACAAAAAAAACAACAATATAATCTTACAAACTACAAAAAGGCTGGAAAAACAACAGTTGCTGATCAAGTTCCAGCCTCAAAGTTAAAAAAAAAAGTAATATAAAAAATAATAATTTAAATATAATAAAAACAAAACAACTAAAGGCAATCTAAAATTTCCCACAAAAATCAAATAGAAAACAGCACCTACACGCAACATGCAACCTAATCAATATTCAGAAAGTATTTTTCTGGCTTTTATCTTAAATTCACCCAAAGAGGAGTTCTTACACTTAACATCTAAATTGTTGTACATACTATAAATATTAAATGTAAAAGATCGTTCAAAACAACAGATCGGTGTGGAGTAGGGTGAAATGAGACCCCTGTGCCTTTAAATTCAAATTGTGAATATCAGTACGAAACTGTATTTTTCATAAAGGTAAGGTGGACTTTTATTTATTATAATTGAATGGAACAGAGTCAGAGAGTGCAGTCTACGCCTAGTTGCCATGTTCATCCATTTTGCCTCCTTAAGTTTATGAGATATTCTATCATATTTCCGAATACCATATATATAACGCAAACAAGATTTCTGAACTTTTTCTATTCTGGCGGTATCTCTAACGTCTAAACAAGGCCCATACAATACATCACAATAATTAAAATGACTAAGAACTAATGTATCGGTAATTTTTATTTTAGTTGGTATATCAAGTATTTTACGATGGGGATAAAGCATCTTAAGGTTACAATATGCTCTCTGAAGTAGCTTTGCCAGTATGTTTTTTAAATCTAAGATCCACATCCAGTTCAACTCCCAGATTCTTAGCACACGACACAGCACTTAATTCTTTATTGTCAACCATTATCTTTAATTTACTTTGTACTTCTTGGCGTTTATAACCAAAAAATTAACACTGAAGATTTATTAGATTAATAATTAAGTCATGTTTACTGGAAGCTTTAACCAATTTATCTATATCACTATTTGCAGACTTTATTAGCATTATCTATGTCATTAGGATAGAATGAATAACTTAACTGTGTGTCGTCTGCGTAAAGTATGTTTTAGATGTAACCACTTCCGTAGAAACTTGTGCTGCATAAATATTAAAAAGTAATGGGCCCAATATGGTTCCTTGAGGCACACCTCTCAAAATTATTATTTTTAGTAGATTGCCTGTTTTCCGTATGAACAATTTGATATCTATTAGACAAATAGCTATGAATCATTGCGCAACCGCGTCCTTGGAAAAACCTGTATAGGATAATATTGCCAAAAGTAGTTTATGAGAAATGGTGTCGAATGCCTTTGTATAATCCAGTAAAACTAAGACTGTTGTTTTTCCAATATCTGTCATTCTAAGAACATCATCCACAACATCAAGTAAAGAAGTTGTGCAACTATATCCCTGTCTGAAACCAGATTGCCTCTTCGGAAGTAAAACATTTCTATCTAGATATACTTTAATTTGAGCATTCATTATCTTTCCAAGCACTTAGAAAGCGTTGGTAAAATGCTTATCGGACGCAAATCGCTAAGCTCTAAGGGATGTGACTTCTTTGGCATTGGTAGAACTTTACTTATTTTCCATTCATCTGGAAATGTGTTAGATAAAAGACAGCTATTGATAATATTTGTTATTATAGGCAATATATACGGACAACAAAGCAAAATCATTTTTATGGACACGTCGTCAATGCCAATTGCTTCCGATTTAATATCCAGTAAATACTTATATATAATGTCTTCGTCCACCAAACTAAACTCAAAAAGTGCATTGAAATTTTTAACTGTGTGGTTTTTATAAAAATGTATTAATTCCAAGTTTGACGACGTCTCTATTCCACTATGCTGCAAAAAATAATCATTGATAAGTTGAGCATTATTCAGTGACTCTGGTATTATAGTTTTTTTATTCCTCGAATATATCTCTAAGTCGCGAAATTTTTGCCATAATTCTTTTTGAGATCTATTATTATTTATGGTTTCCTGGAGATATGCCCTCTTTTCGTTTCTAATTGCTATATTTATCTGATTTCTAAGTGTTTTATAGTAATTCCAGTCTTGTAAATTTTTTGAGTTTTTATATTTCTTAAAAGATTTGTCTCGTAAGGTTATCATTAGAATTATTGTGTCTGTAATCCAAGGTGGTTTTTTCTTCTTAAATGTAATAGTTTTATATGGACAAACAGTATCAAATAAATCAATCAGCAAACCGCTGAATGCCGCAACTTTCTCATCTATGTTCTCAATATACAGAATTAGGTCAAAAGGTGTTACCAAAAGCAATTCCATTAACCAATCCTTATCGAGTCTTTTAAAATTCCGAAAAGTAAATTTTAAACTATTAGCATCACTTTTTGGTTGCTTAAATCTACAAAAAACTAATAAATGATCCGTAACATCAGGATATTTTACACCAAAATCAATTGGTTCCAAGTCCGATGATATTATCAAAGCATCCAGCAGTGTTGCAGACTGACGATCAACACGTGTCGCAGAATTTATAATTTGCTTCAAACCGAAAGAATCTAATGCATCTAAAAACTGAATAGTATATTTATTTTCCGTATTTAACAAATCTATGTTTATATCTCCACCACATATAAATTTATTACAAGATATTACGAAATTAGATACATTATCCTCAAAAAGTTTAAAAAAATTTGAATAATTTTCTTTTAGGGTACGGGAGGTCTATAAAGGGTACCAATTATACAAGTACATTTTGAGAGGTATACTTTTATCCATAATTGTTCAAGATCATCAGCACACGAACCGCCCAAATTTATATACTTTAACTTATTACTTACGTAAGCTGCAACACCTCCTCCTCGACTGTTACGATCCATTCTTACAAGATCATAACCTGATATATTCAAATTAACAGAAAGCATTCGAGCATCTAGTCTAGTTTCAACCACACCGACCACATCATAACGCTCTGCATTTAATATGTCCTTAAATTTTACAAAGTTGCAGGTAAGCGATCTCACATTAAAAAAGGCAACAGAAATATTTAACATATTAATTTGGTAGAGAAAAAAAGTAAACAAAAAATTAGGTATAAAGTAA